CCGCTGTACATATTTGACCAATGTCGTCTGGTCTTTAACGTCATAGGAGAAAATTAATACCAGTTCAATTTTTTCTTCTTTATAGAAAGGCCACTTTTTGTGATTGAATGCTTACAATTATTTTGTCTTTATAATCCAAAAGTGATGCCAGAATTTGTCCAGGTATAATCTGCACTATACGTTTATCTTCAGAACTTTTGTGGGAGGCATATCCCATTGCCACGGTTTCCCTCCAGCCACAGCCATTGCTGCATGGGTTTCACTGGTTCTCGGCCAGTATTTATGCTAATTTCCCTGCATTTTTCCAGTGGTGGGAATTCCAACCTTACCATCTCAGGTGGGGTTCTGACTTCTCCCAAGTGGCTCATTTTTGGCCCTGACTGGGCACTTGGCATGTTTCTCTGCATCTACTCAAGCCAGTGGGCAACGTGTTTCTAGTCCTCAATTTGTAGACAAGTCCACTCTGAACCTCAGTTCTATGTAGTTAGCTGGGTTCTGACCTTCCCTACCTGCGGGGCCCTCCTTCCAGATTCCCTCTTTGTCCAGCCATTCAAAGTCCCAGCCCCAGCTGTTCCCTCTCCAATGAGGTCCTCACCTTCACCCCTTGCTTATAATCACTCATTTTACTTTGGTAACTTAAGATTTTCTTTTCCTGATTTCATGCTCAACTATAAATTAAACAATTTTGGTTCTGTTTTACCCAACCTTGTTACATGTTTGGATTGGGGAGGGCAAAAGCATCTTTCATGTCAGCTCAATCCAAAAGGGTGATGCATTAGTTCTGCACTTTGATTCCCTGGTAATACTTTATCACACCCAACACAGTGATCAAGGGCACAGCTTTTAGAATTGGATAGATCAGGGTTTGTATCAGCAGTAGAAAATTATCCTAGTTACATAACCTCTCTGAGGACCTTTCTTCATTTACTATACGTGCATAATGACACTCTCATGGAATTTTCCCAAAGTTATCCTTTATCATTTATCACATAAGAAAGCACTACCACATAGCCCCAGAAGCCACTGGTCCCACAATTATCTAGCACTTGCTGCATTATGGCTTTCTATGGTTGTGTCAGTCTTTGACTGTTTGGGTCCTGCTGAGGGTTCCAAACAATTTTGTTCCATTTTCTTTGGTTCCCTGCAGGGTCAGTCTTCCTCTGAGTCTTCAAGATAGCATTCCACTGCATCTGTTACTTCTTATTTTTCATTGTTGACACTGTCTAGAATAAAGAATCTCTCCATACCTAGTGTCTGATAATAGAAGGTGGAGAATGTATGCTCTACTCTTCATCATGGGACTGTTCCTTCTCAGATTTAAGTGATTAAAATGTAGAGCTCTCCGTAAAATTTCTAGAATCTTGCAGGTGTTGGACCAGAACAGCTCTGCTTCACTGAGGATGGTTCTCATCATACCCCAACTGTCTCAACTGCTTATACTCTGAACTGATACAGAGCATGTGCACACACATGCACATGCACATACACACTAACACACATCACTGCTATTAGCATAAATTATTTATCTCCATTTTCATCTGTAAGTTGTGTAACTCCCCACCTATAGACAATTGTGTCTCAAAGGAAAAGAAGAAATCAACATAGTATTAGAGGAATGACATCCCAGTTTTTAGTTGGTATTGACCCCATGTCTCTAAACCAGGGGCAAGGCAGTAAGGAAAGAATAAAACATATTTTTACAGGCTGGAAGTTTTTCTCTCTTTCAAGAGGCAGAGCATATATTAAAGGTCAGTTGTGATCCTTAGTTCTGCTCTACAGATCTCTTTTTATATTCTGACAGTAGGTTCACCAACATTAGTTTTTAGCATGACACATTTATGTTTTTCTATATACAAAGTGTATGTAGTTGTGAGAGGTTGCATCCAGGACCACTAATCTTAAATGTTGCTTTTAATTCAAAGTGTCTTGTAGAATTTAACAATTTTTATACTAGCTGAATTTTTATACTAAAGCCCCAAGAAAATCAAGACAAAAAGATAAGCATATTTTAATACAGGTAGGGTCAAACTAGGCATCTAATAAATGTTTTTTGCACTGAATCTAAATATGTTCCTATATTGACAGTACCATCATTTCAGGGTGTCTATTCCCATAAGACGTTGGAGAGGAAACCTCAATAAATTGGATGAGTTGAATCACTCAATTACCTTATTGTCCTACAGATATCATACAGTATCTCTCTGGTACACATATGCATGACTAATCTATTCTGTCATCATGCTTCTCTGATCATCAACACTATGTTGGGAAAACGTGCTTTCTCTCCACTCTGCTACCCATGACTCTGGTCTATTTACACCTGCCCTGCAATATACTTCTTCCAGAAGAAAATGTTCCTAATTAACCCACATGCCCATCCTGCCTGCGTCTAGCTTTAGTTTAATCTGCCTCCATTGTCTTCTTAAAAGATGCATTTATATAATTTCAAGGTGTATGCCTGTTCTGATTGTCAATGACTGGAAGCTCATGGAAGACAAGCCCCATTTTATTGATGTGTTCCATGACTCCTCCTTCCCCCAGGACATAAATATCTGGTACAGGGCTCTGCACACAGTAACAATGACTATTGATCACCACCTCATGTACAGATCAATGCTAGTGAAGGTGAGATTACTGAGGAAGTTCTCCTGGATGCTAGTTTATGCTAATGTAAGGAAAATCAAACAAGTTTTATTTGCTGCTGTTACCCTTTAGCAATTCCTTATAATGTGAACCTCATTGCCATCTGGGTATTTGTAGCAGTCAGGAGGGAACCTGACTACCGTAGTAAGGGAAATCACCAACATGAATTAATTATCAGTCTGCTAGGAAAATACTGGAGGGCAAAACTATTATCCTTAAAGCAAGGCAAAATGCAAACTAGATTGGACTTCAAAATTCAGTCATTTCAGGGGCACCTGGGTGGCTCAGTCGTTAAGCATCTGCCTTCGGCTCAGGTCATGATCCCAGAGTCCTGGGATCGAGCCCCGCATCGGGCTCCCTGCTCCGCGGGAAGCCTGCTTCTCCCTCTCCCACTCCCCCTGCTTGTGTTCCCTCTCTTGCTGTGTCTCTCTCTGTCAGATAAATAAATAAAATCTTTAAAAAAAAATCAGTCATTTCAAATTAGTATTATGGTAAAATAGTAAAGGAGTGCTAATGGTACAAAATAGAAACTAAAAATTGGAATATGCTATGAAAACCACTGAAATAGGCAAAGAAAGCATATACTGTAGCATTAAGCATAGCTAAGATGAAGACTACCTGCTCAACTGGATCAACTAAGATCATTTGGATAGGGGATGCTGTTCCTCACAGCATGTGCCCATGGGTGACAACATTAGTAGATCACTGGAACACCTTTTCCTGTCTTTCCATGCAGCGACTCAGAATTCTTCTTAGGTCACTACTAGCCATAGATTGAACTTGTCATGTATGGTAGTCTGGATTATCATTCAGCAAACATTCATGCCCCTCTCCCTTTCTCTACAGGCAGAGTAGATTTCTGTTCCTCACTGATGTTGGACTCGGCCATCTGGTTTGCTATGATCAATGGGCTGTGGTGTGGAGAGAGGCCTTGAGTGTGCTTCTGTGATCTAGCGTGGCCCCTTTGCTCTGGTGTACAGCATGAGAAGAGCATGCCCCAAATAGCCACGGCCTCTTCAGCCTGGGCTTCACAACAAATGTACATGAACTACACCTGAACTCAACCTACAGAATGAAGCAGAATACATGAGACAAGTCAAATAATTAATTCTTGTTGTAAGCTACTAAGTTTTAGGGCTGTTTGGCATACAGCATAATTTTGGTAATAACTGGTTAATACAGCATTTTAGATGAAATTGATGAAGCAAAATTCTACCATGCATTAAAACAATAAAACAAGAAAATGACACCTTGGCATAAAAAACCCATCTAATGGTTTAACCTCGGGCAATCCATTTTTAGGCTGGAAAGGAAGAAAGCCAAGAAAGGGGGCAGTTTCAGACACTAACCCTTTGGCTAAAGTTGACTTAACACTTCAGCAGACTAAGCTGCTGCCTACAGATACGTTCTCAGAGGCTTTAGGAAGAACAGTCCCACCCCCACCAGGTTCAAGTACCACTCTTCATTCCCTTTGGCTCAATGCTTCACCTGGTGCCAAGGAAAATTAATTATGGTTATTACTGAAATGTCAATCTGGAAGTAAGACTCTAGCACCTTACTTCTTAGAACCCATCCAAGTGCTCAGGACATAAGAGCACTCAATAAATATTTTTCAAATGAATGAATGGACAAACACACAAATGAACATTAAATATGTTACTGCTCATCTGACTTAGAGGTTTAGATTATAGTTTACTAATTAACAAAGGAGTTCTAAATGAGAAGAAATAAATAGCAGTGAGGTCAAGTTTAAATTCTAACCTCTCATTCATTAATTCATTTAACAAATATGAATGCCTGTAATGTGCAAGTAATGTGTGATTTTCTGTGGTTGCAGCAGCAAACAAAATAAAGTCCCTACCCTCAGGAAGCTGATGATAGTTTAATGAGAGAAAGAGCTCAAATATGTACACCCGTGTGTGTGCACACACACATACACATACACACAAACACACACATTTAAAATATAAGAAAAAGCACAGAGAGCTACATGAGAGCACGAGAGCAAATACACAGTTTAGAGGATCAGGAAAGGACCCACAAGTAAATATTTTCAAAGGCTTCATTTGACATCTGTAAACCGGAAAAGAAGCAGACAGAAGGGAAAACCATTTGTCACATAGCCCTGCATCTGAAATGCAGGAGCTGACTGAGTAACATGTACATACATACAAGGAAATGATACCCCTTTGTTTTGGCAGCTCAGCCTTAAGAACCCTATCCTCTTCCTGAGGTTCCTCACACCACTATCCTCTCTAAGCTAAAACCCAACAAATCACCACAATTAAACCTTCACCACTTGATTAGACATTATATATATCTGGTTTTTATAAAATGCCTAGACATTTCAAACATACCAAGCAAATAATCTGTGTATGAAGACAGAAGATCCACGGTGGCAAATTCTGGGATATTTGGTAATGCCCCTTGGCTAACTTCATCAGTTCTAGCATTCTTCTTTCCAATAAGTAGATTAATTCCCAACACAGCTTCACTGACCTAAAATTAATACATAATCAGAATCCATAAATGTAAGCTTTCTCATTCATAGATTATCCATTAGGTAAATAATGTGAAAAAGTGAATTTATAAAATAATATTCAATATACATTGGAAGAAAAAAAAAGATAATCTGGAAAACAACATGTGATCCCCAACATGTAGTATGTATCATTGTCAAACAAATCATTACTGTTGACAATTTAATTAATGTATGAGCCACTTTAAATAGGCTCTCTCACCTAGCTACAACAGGTATTTGCCAAAATGTCAAAACATGCACATATGTATCTGCCAATACTCTCATTAAAGGAAAGCTGAAACAAACAAAGCCAGGTCTGGCTAATAAAGATTAAAAACATTATGTATATAAGGAGCATTTCTAATCTTCCCAAGAAACATCACCAGCATAAATCCAAAAGAATGTGAATTTTCCTTTCTCTCACAGAGATACATTGTGCTGCCCTAACAGCTGGTGGTAGAGGATACGGATAGGACAGTGAAGAGAAAGATTAAATAAAAATCACACCAACCTGGGCAGCAGCTCTTATCACAATCCAGGCCAGTGAACTGTACATTTCAAATTTATTTACTATTGGTTCTTTAATAGAACTATGCCTTCTGGTAGAAGCCTAAAAAATATAGTACATGCATTATGATAAAGATATCATGAAGTTCCATGATTAATTTTCTCATCCTCTGAAGATGACATTTCAGTGGAACAGTATGTAGCCATTAAGAATAATAATATAAAAAAATAATAATGTATATGTATCTATTGACATGAAAAGATGTTCAAAGCATATTGGAGAAAGAAAAGTGGGGGTTACAAAATAGTATGCAAAGTATGATCCTATTTCTAAAAAGACATGTACACACATATACTCCCTGTATATACAAGCAGAGAAAGTTATTAACACCCATTATCCTGGGTTTTAAGGGTGATTATTTTTATCATCTTTTCTAATTTTTTATAATGAGCATGTATTATTTGAATAACAATAAAATAAACACAAATGGCATTTTAAGGAAAGTACTTAAAATGATATTTGCCATTTTAATAGAGGATTTATAAGTTGAATATATTGTGTGTAAGGATGTCAGAAATAAGAACATTACTTAAGATTTTTGATAGGTATTTGCTATCATCTTTTCAACTAGGAAACTGTTAAAGGGACAATGTAATCATAAAGTTCCACAGAATAGCAAAAGTAACAATGAATGGAGATAATTTTTACTGTGTGTGTTCAGTTTTGTGTTTTGTGTGTATTCAGTTTTTTATTATTTTTTTTTAAAAAAGATTTTATTTATTTATTTGAGAGAGAGAGCACATGAGAGGGGGGAGGGTCAGAGGGAGAAGCAGACTCCCTGCTGAGCAGGGAGCCCAATGCAGGACTCGATCCAGGGACTCCAGGATCATGACCTGAGCTGAAGGCAGTCGCTTAACCAACTGAGCCACCCAGGTGCCCTGTGTTCAGTTTTTTAAACATAAGAAAGTCAATGCTACAAAAGTTAATAGAAACTCCACTAGTAACATAGTATCTGCCTGTTTTACATTTTTAAAGGTAACTAAAATAAGGGGCACCTGGGTGGCTCAGTCGTTAAACATCTGCCTTCTGCTCAGGTCATGATCCCAGGGTCCTGGGATCGAGCCCCTCTTTGGGCTCCCTGCTCCGCGGGAAGCCGGCTTCTCCCTCTCCCACTCCCCCTACTTGTGTTCCCTCTCTTGCTGTCTCTCTCTGTGTCAAATAAATAAATAAATAAATAAATAAATAAATAAATAAATAAATAAATAAATAAATAAATAAATAAAATCTTTACAAAATAAAAAATAAAAAAAAATAAAGATAACTAAAATAAGCATTAAGAGTCAATTCTTAAGATTTAACTAATCTGGAAAAAACTATTCAATTAGACTGCTTGGTTCTAATTTTTTGATGTTCATGTTTTGGCTAATTCTTTAGTCTTCAACAAGACTGCAGAATAAAACAAACAATAACAAAAGATATCTTTCTTTTACTTCAATAACAAGGAAAAAGAAAGTCAATGAATAATGCTGATGCCAGAGCAAGGAATACAATGTGCAAATGTGGCCTGGCCTAGATCAAGTGCTAAGATTGTTTGGAAATAGATGAAACCCGGAGAAGTCTGCCTATGGAGAATCTAAGCAACATCCCCCTGTCCCAAGATATGAAGACCCACTTGGGTTCTGGGGTAGCCCTTGCCAACTTACTGGCTATGTAAGTTTGGGCAATTTACTTAAATTCTGGAAACAAGACTAACAGACATTAAATGAAGAATACATAATAACATTAAATAATTACAATGTAAGAACAATTAGTGACACAGACATTTAAAAAAGAAAGTTCATTTTGAATTGAGAGGGAGACTTTATTAAGAAGGTTGGACTTGAGTTCAAAATGGGAAAATGTGGACAGAAGACTATAAAGGGTATTGTTTTTAGATGGAGAAGGTGTTTAACACTGCATTTATGAGATTCTAGCTCATGCAAACAAACAAGGAAAAGAGGAAAATGCATCTAGATTCGAAATGAAGAAGTAAAATTGTATTTGTTTGCAGAAGACATGGTCCTATATGTAGGAAATCCCAAGACACACACATACACATACACCTCTAGAATTAATAAATGTGCATAACAAGATCACAGGACACAAAATTCAATATTCATAAATCCACTGTATTTCTATGTATCATCAATGAACAATCTGAAAATGAAATGAAGAAAATATTCCACTCACAATAGAGATAAGCTTAACAAAAATGTACAAAATCTGTACACTGAAAAGTAAAAAGCATTATTGAGAGAAATTAATATCTAAATAAATGAAGGGACAGTTCATATCCATGAATTGGAAGATTCAATATTGTTAAGATGGCTACTGTCCCCAAATTGATTTACAGATTTAACACAATCTCTACCAAAATTCTGTTAGTTTGCAGAAATTGACAAGCAGCTCCTAAAATGTATATGAAAATGCAAAGAACTCAAAGTAGCCAAAATGATTTGGAAAGGAAGAACATAGTTGGAGGACAGGTACTTTCCAATGTCAAAACTTACTGAAAGCTACAATAACCAAGAGGGTGGACACTCCTATAAAGGTAGACTTATAGATCATGGAATAGGATTGAAAGTCTAGCAATAAACATTTAGATTTATGATAATTAATTTTTGACAATGGTGTGCCAAGGCAAGTCAATGAAGAAAAGACAGTCTCTTGAACAACTGGTACTGGGACAGTTGGATATCTATGTGCAAAAGAAGAATTTAGATCTTTATACACTTCACACAAATATTAATTCAAAATGGGGATCATACTTAAATGTAAAAGCTACAACTATAAAACTTCTAAAAGAAAACATAGAAGAAAAGCTTCAACACCTGGGGTTAGGCGAAGAATTCTTAGATATGCAACCAAAAGCACAATATATAAAAGAAGAAAAATGAAAAATTGGAATCATTAAAATTTAAAACTTTGTCTCCAAAGACACTATTAACAATATGAAAAGACAAGCCACCAACTGGAGGAAATATTTGCAAATCAAGTATCTGATAAAGGACTTGAATCTAGAATATACATTTTAAAAACTCTTGTGATAAAAAAAGACATCTTAGTTTAGGATATGGGCAAAAGATCTGAATAAACATTTCCCCAAAGAAGATACAGAAATGATCAGTAAGTACATGAAAAGATCTCAATATAGACAGCTGGGAAATGCACACCAAAGCCACAGTGAGATACACTTCATAACCACTAGGATGGCTACAATCAATAATATAGATAATAACAAGTGTTGGCTAGGCTGTGGAAAAACTGGAACTCTTATTCACTGGTACAGGCACTTTGGAAAACAATCTGACAGATCATCAAAAGGCTAAACATAGAGTTAACATATGATCCAGCAATTCCATTCTTAGATATACACCCAAGAGAACTACAAACATATGTTCACTTAAAAACTTGTATATAAATGTTCAAAGCAGCGTTAATCAAAATATCCAAAAAGTGGAAACAATTCATATATCCTTCAACTGTTGAATGGGCAAAGAAAATACTATATATCCAAAAAGGGGACTACTAGTCAGCAATAAAAAGGAACAAACTACTGTTACATGCTACAATATAGGCGAACCTCAAGAACATAACGCTAAGTGAAAGCAGTAGTCACAGAAGACTATATATCATATGATTACATTTATATGGAATTCCACTATGTGAAATATCCAGGGAAGGCCAATCTATGGAGATAGAAAACAAATTAATGGTTGCTTGGGGCTAGGGACTGCAAATGGGCACTAGGGATCTTGCTGGAATAATGGGAATGTTCTAAAACCGGATGGTGATGCCAGCTCCACAGCTCTGTAAAGTTGCTAAACATCTGTGAACTGCACTCTTAAAATAGGTTAATTTCATGAATGTAAATTATACCTCAATAAATTATACCTCAATAAATCTATTTTTAGTATGTATGCTTGCTAATCTCTTTCTTTGAACTATTTTCCTCCTGCTTGACTACTTGGAAAACTTCTAGTCCTTCTTCAAAATTCATCTCATCTGTAAAACTTTCTCCCAGCATTCCGCCAAAGCAAAATTAGTTCCCACTTTGCTCCACTTCTCTACTTTGACATATCTTGATTACAGTCCTCATTAGATTTTGACAGAATTATTTCTCTCCCTTGCTCCTCTGTGCTTCTTAAAGAAAGAGAGTAACATGCCTGGCATACATTAGGCACTCAGTAAGTATTTGGTTAATGAATGAATACATGTTCATGAAATAGTCAATTCCATTTAGCTAAAAAAAATAATTATTGAATACCTACTATATACAAAACACTCTAGAAAGATAAAATGGGAATGTTTAGCCAAAGTCATATATTGGTAGAGAACAGTGCACCCCTCTTTTTGAGTACTTATTATGTGCCATGACCATTATCTTGTTTAATTCTCCTACCTACTCTAAGAGGTCAGTATCCTCTCATCTCCATCTCACAGATGAGAAAACTAGGCTTAGAAAGGCCCCAATCACCCTGCTGGTTGAATCCAAACCAGTGCTCTGGTCACTCTGCTCTGTGGATTCTCCATAAAAGTGAAGCAATAGTGCTTTCTTTTAAGAGTTTATAAAGCATTGTCTTTACTAGGACAAACTTCTAATGTGGTATTTCAAAGGTTGAATGTGTCTGGATAAATTCTTGTTTGTCTTTGGCTGTTTTCTGTGCTCCTAGTAATTGTACGACTTGCTAAAATATTTCTATTATGTCACACAAAAAATAATGTGATATTGTATGGAATTATGCTATGTTTTTCATTCAAATTCTACCTTATTCAAGCTCTTAATTATAAATACTTCTCCAGTAAAGGCCAAAAAGGTGATATATTATTATCCTAGCATCCTATTAATTTGCATTGTTACTTGCCATGGAAACAAAGATTTTTGTTTTCTCTTACTAGAAATAAACATGTTTATCACACCAGAAAAAGTTTTCTATGTAATTGTCTTGATAAAAAAATAATAATAGCTGCTATATCCACCTAAGTAGCTACCATATGAGTAATTCAACTGACTGAAAACCTGTTTGCCTAAAGGTTTTAAATCAAGTCTATGCTGTCTCAAAAATTAAAGATTTGACACCGAAATTTTCTGAAAAAAATCTCTTGGTGGGTCAAAGGATTACTTAATTGGGATGAATTATGGGCGCCTGGGTGGCTCAGTTGGTTGGGCGACTGCCTTCGGCTCAGGTCATGATCCTGGAGTCCTGGGATCGAGTCCCGCATCGGGCTCCCTGCTCAGCAGGGAGTCTGCTTCTCCCTCTGACCCTCTACCCTCTCGTGCTCTCTATCTCTCATTCTCTCTCTCTCAAATAAATAAATAAATAAAATCTTTAAAAAAAAATTGGGATGAATTATAAAAAGCCTACTGAAATTTAAAAAGTAAAAACTAAACATTACTGGGCTCATATATCTCCAATGCACCCACATCCTGCCCACAGGATCTCCCTCAGTCTAGACCCCTGGAATTCAAGTGTGGCCCCCAGACCAGCAGCAACAGCATTTACCTGGAGCTCCTTAGCAATGTCAAACATCAAGACCCCAACCCCAACTTACCAAATCAGATTCTGCATTTTCACAGGATCCCCAGAGATGCTTCTGCCCCTTAGTTTGGAAGCACTGCTCTAGATAGATGCATGATGCAGATGATATGCCTCTGCAACTCTCCTCATCCAACAAATCCCACCTTGAACCTTATGTCTTCCCAACAGAATCATTCACAGTCCCACCACCTGAAGTTCTTTCCTAATCCCCCATTTCACCACCTAAATCATCCCCCCTTCCTTCTTTCCACTCCCTCCCTCCCACCTTTCTTCTTCTCACTTCTTCCTTTACTGGTTTATTGTCTGTCTCCCTCTACTAAAAAGGTAAGCTCCATGAGAACAAGGACGAAGTTTGTCTTAATCACTGTTTAATAACCTTCCAGAACATTGTCTGGGTCATAGTAGATGTTCAATAGGCATGTGATGAATAAATGAATGACTCTATCAAAAGGTGATCTGTTTGTACACCATATCAGGGATGAAAATCTTACTTGTCCATCTGCTTAACCAGTGTATCATTTCTTGTAATTTCCTGATTAATATTAATACCTTAGAGTATTTACACACACCTACATTTCATGTATAACATTTTAACAGGTAAAAATGTCCACCTGATAGTGGGAGGGGAAGAATGAAGCGGGGGAAATCGGAGGGGTAGACGAACCATGAGAGACGATGGACTCTGAAAAACAAACAGGGTTCTGGAGGGGAGGGGGGTAGGAGGATGGGTTAGCCTGGTGGTGGGTATTGAGGAGGGCACATTCTGCATGGAGCACTGGGTGTTATGCACAAACAATGAATCATGGAACACTTCATCTAAAACTAATGATGTAATGTATGGGGATTAACATAAGAATAAAAAAAAAAATGTCCACCTGAACTCTATTTCCAGAGCCTTATATAAAATATCCAGAGAAGTATCTAAACATGAGTGTGACTATAAAGTAATGAATTAATTTCTCCAAGTCATACAGGAAAATCAGTCTCATTAGTTCTATAGCACATTGTTACCAAAATAGCAAGGTCAAAGATAATTAACATAAGATTTCTAATAAAATAGTTTATTACCTTAAGTGTTAATGGTGATATTGAAAGTTTGTTTTTTGGCTTCCTCATATGTAAAAATAACAGGGCCATTTCTAAGTAGGAGTCTCTTATCAACCTAAAATTATATAACATTGTACTTATTAAATAGCTTCACCATTCATAATCATTTTGCATCATTTTCCACAATTTCTGAGCTAATGAAAGGGAAAAATAGAAAAAACCAGTATCTGTCCCAAACTCACACCTTCTTTTCATAGCACTTTTGGCATAGACACCAGTACCTTCCTCCCTACTGAAATTGGAAGCTCTTGAAGAGACATTCTACCCTGTCCTGTGCTGGCAACACTCCATGACATGACTGCTCTGAAGCCCAGCATCAAGACCATTCTAGAATAGTCCAGCCCACAAGGCACTAAAGAAGTGAACGTCAGGGCTGAAGGAATCTGCCTTGCAAAGCAGATCTCTCTTTCTATCCTCCTACACTAATTAAAATAGAAAGAGACACACAGAGTTATGCAGAAAGCAGTGATTTGGTATGGGTTAGATCTGTGTATTCGCTATTAAACCTGTCAGTTGAGGCCATTTAAATCAGTATAGTTTGCATCTAGTAGATGATCAGTAAATGACAGGAATCATCATCATCACTCTTCTCATGGCTAAAATAGCCACAATAAAATTATATGAATGTATTATGCAAATATGTATTGTACATAAGTTATAAATATAGGTATGCTTATTCTCAAACTTAAGATGATTTTTATATAGAATTAAGTTGGCCAGCCCTGGTCCTGTTGACATAGTGAACATCCACATAAATCCTTTCTAGATAAAATTTCACATCCATGGGAGGCTGCTAGAATCCTGGGACAGACAGGAGATGGATGTGAGTAAAGACTAGAAGCAAATTCACAGTCCCGTATGCCACCGTGATAACTGCCATCATCAACCATCACTGTAAACAAGGCCTTGGATCAGAGCCACGGTCAACAATCTTGAAAAGGAAGTCAGTAAACCTGTTGGACAATGGACCCCAGTGAATGAGTCCTGCGGTGGGAAGGGGGTCTCCCAGTCATCCCAGCCTTGAATGTTCAATGCACTACCAAAACATGGGGCTTAAATCAAAACATATACTGTTATAAAGGTGGAAAGGTTTTTTTTACCCTGAGTTTTGATCATTTCTCAAGCTTAGCTGTATAGCTTCAAATAAACTCTCAAGTTGTAAACTTGGAGATTTCTCTTCCATCAATATTTGACGTTCTATTTTGCCTGAAAGAATAAAAAAAATACACAAAAATGTTTTTTCCTTTTTCTATCATTTAGAACTTCAGAATAAATATTTCATGCTGGAACTTCAGAAAACTGGATGTTCTGTCCTTTTTGCCCATCTGTCTGTTGTTTTTGCTGTAAGGTCAGCTAATAGTGAAAGATTTTCTGCTTCCTTCCCCAGGAGTCTCCAGGCTCGCCCTGCCTTTAGTTAGCAACATTGAGTCAAAGCCTCCTTTGGGGGCTTCCAGACACAAATGTTCTTATCTTATTTTTCTATTTCCTTACTTTGTACTTTCCTTTCCTCTGTAGGGCTCATTCCCTTTGTCTACATCCATGTCCTCTTTCCTCTGTCTAGTATTGCAGATATCATAGAAAACAGCTGTTAAAATAAATCCTAAAAAGTCAACAAACACTTGAAAACAATCACAAATGATCCAAATGCTTTAGGGTTCACCCAGCTCTCAGGCCTCATTGTAAGCCACAGCCTTCACTGGAATGGCACTTCTGTACCCAAAAGGGCAAGAAAGGGAAATCTTTTATCACTATGAAAATGATTCACAGTTTTCACGCAGCATGTGAATACGGCACAAAGCCTCCCAGTGTTAAGTTCACATCTAGGTACTATCATTTAGTAGCTGCTGACCTAGAGAAAGTTATTCAACCAGACTGTACCTGATTTTCCTCATCTGTCAACTAGGATTGGCCATGCATATCCTATAGAGCTGTTGTAAGAATTAGCAATATGAGATGTTAAATACTGGCTACTACAGTGCCTTGCATCTAGTAGATGATCAATAAATGACAGCAATCATCATCATCACTCTTCTCATGGCTAAAATAGCCACAATAAAATTATATGAATGTATTATGCAAATATGTATTGTACATAAGTTATAAATATAGGTATGCTATAGCCACTTGACTTAAGTGGGTTTGTATCTTTTATAGAAATTAACTAAAATGCCTAGCTAAGGAATGAAATTATGCATAAAAAATGTCTTCCAAGCATTATTTAAGAAACATTATTTATAGCTAATTGGCCAATGATGACATTTTTGAGTCAAACATGAAATTTTGCATAAGGAGGGTCAATTATAATCATAAAAGAAACTAAGAAGTAGCACTTTCTCTCCCTTTCTTGATATAAACTTAAAATGAGCAATGTTCTCTTTATCCCAAACTAAGTCTGGCAGAGGTACCAATGTCTTTGCATCACTAAGCCCTTTGTAAAATCTGTATTTTTTATAGTCACTGACCAAGTTTTCAAGAAGTCTATTGTTAATAGGAAAAAAAAAAAATTCCACAAACTTTATCATAGTTCTGACCCCAAGTACATCTTACCTTTCTGAAAAAGAATTTCAGCTTCCACCTCATGTTCTTCTGTTGCTGATACCTGACAGAGCTTCAGTGCTATTTCAAAAAGATGAAGGGCAGGGAACCACTTCGAGGGATCCTTCTTTTTACTGGTATAATATACTTGTTTGGCCATTGTATGTCCTACAAGGAACAGGTTGTTCATAACAAGCCTCCAAGTTACCAGACCTCTCTCACCACCAGTTCTATGAAGAACTCTGGTACTCTTTACTTTTTAGTATCTAAGAAATATTTTCTTAAAACTCAATACCCAAATATTTCAATGAACTATAACAGTAGCCCTTTGCAACTTTATCTTTGATAAATCTTGATATTTTCTCATTTTTAAAATGAAGGATAATTTCTCCAGTCTCTTTCAGTTCTAAAATTTCATTATGTTCTACAAAACAACTGTGTTCCTAAGATGAGGTTGTTAGCAGGGAAACATCTGGAAGTTTTATGAAGTTTTATATTGTTCCCAATAAAAATTTGCATGTATTAATAGGCAGTAATTTTGTTTCTATTCAGCTCTATTAGAGGTTGCTTGCTATGCATATTTTGTCATTGCAACTAGATGGAAAAAGCCATTTGGATAAGGGCCATGTGCTATACTTCTCGTGTGGTCCCATCATCACTTAACATAATGAAGGACTGCTGTATTCTTGAAGAGGCATTAGATTTAATCTGCATGCCCTCACAGACAGACAGACAGACAGACAGATATCTATTTAGCATGTATTTTCCAATGCTGGATAAAATGGGAGGCACTGGAAAAAAAAATGAGAAAAGAGAAAAATAAGAGCTCAGGTTTATTAAGTGCTTTCTACAATCCAGGTACCCTCCCAAGGACTTAAGTATTTTCTCATGTAATCCTCCCAACTCCGGCTGGATTTCATTAGTACACTACCTTTACAGAGGAGAAAGCAGTGCAGAGTGAGGTTTGAGTAATTTGCCCAACATCACGTGACTAGTAAGTAGCTGGGCTGTGATTAGAACCGAGGCAAGTCAGGCTCCAGGACCCACACTCTAAACTATGACAAGAGTCAGATCGTGGAGCTTAGTGTTTAATGGGGAATGAGAATGTCCTGAGCAGCAATTAAAATACTGTGTGGTCAACAATGTGGCAGGGAAAGCACAGGGCGATGTGGTGGCAGGTTACAGGGGCCTTTGCCCAGACCCCAGAAAGGCTAGGGAAGCCCTCCCAGGGAATGTGGCTGTTGGGGCTGGCAGCTGATGATCGCCTTGTCTTTTGGTAATTTTACAAAAGGAAAATGTTGGGATAAAGAGTAGAAGGCAGTGGGGGGGAAATACTTATCGATGGGAAAGTTCAACAGCACAGTGGAGAAATATAAACAGGAAGGTAGTGTGGGATTGCGGAATGATACAGTGGCTGGGTCCCAGCTGAAGCGCTGGGTTCGAGCTGGTCACTGGTGCTACCATGTCATTTGAGGCCTGAACAAGTCCCAACATGCCTCTTGGGTCTTGAGTGTCTTCCTCTGAAAAATGAGGCAGTAGAACTAGAAAATATCTAAGGTCCCTTTGGGTTCTGAAATTTTCAATTCCAAAATGCTATGCCCTACAAAGACTTTTCAAGAAACCAAGAACTTTTTGTAAATTTTCAGTTGAGAAATGAAAGGAAGGGTGGTGGAAAAAGTGTATCTCTCCCTCTTTCTCTCTCTCTTATCCAAGGAGATGGTACGGAGCCCTGACTCTGGACAAAGCAGGTTGGTAGCATGCTGCTGAGAAGATGGAGATGAAGAAACTGAGCCTTGCTTCCAGGGTGCTCCCAGAAGAGCAAGGAGGCCAGGCATGGAACAGTGAGAATCGCTACCACCTACAAAGCTGTTAGAACGAACTGGGTGCCCTTCTAACAAGGTACACACTCGCTTCATCCCACAACAAGCCTGTGAGATTGGTATTTTTCTTAACCACATTTTATGAGAGAAGAAACTGAAGCACAGAGGAGTTCAAGTGACCTGCTCAAAGAAAGTGGACCAGAAATCTTTCTGCAGAGTCCGTGCTCTTCACCCCAACAGTGACCAATTGTGAGTAAATCCCAGGCAAGGATATGCTAACATCATCTGTCCAATACAACCTCATATTTCAACACAGCTCCTATTTTTATGTGTCTCACTTCTTGTTTCAAATTATACTACAGCTGTTTATTAATATAAGACAATAATATCAAGTATCTTCATGTAATTTAAGCAGGTATATATATGTACTATATATGAAGTATGTATTATATATAATAAAGTATTAATATATAATAAAAGTACTTGAATTGTCTTCTAGATTTTTGTGAAAATTAGGAAGAGACTTGTTACAGAAATTACCAACAGTTTCCTTTCTCTGTCCCCCTAACTGGATAACGGGCTCTGTGAGGGCAGAGATGGTGACTGGTTCCCTCTTACATCCCCACTCCCCAGCATCATCCTTGCAACTTTCTTCACTCCTATTATACAATTAATCAGTAATCTACTTTTTCATCTTATGAGAAAGCTCAAAGTTTTGCCATTATTTGGAAAAATAATCTCAAATAACCATGATGTTTATTTTTGGTTTTATAAAAACAATCTCAAAGTGCCTTTTTCTGTCAGAGGCTTTCACAAAGAAAAAACAATTACTTAAGTGGCTCTATTCTTGTGATGCAATCTATATGCTCACTATAAAGGAAAACTGTTGAGAAAGCATCAGATCAGATGATTTTATGCTTCATAATATTGAAGTGCTCCTGTTTCCAATAAATCTCAACTCTGTGAAAAAGAAGTTGTGAAACTGATGTTATTTTGACAGAAAATCTGCTTTTGGTTTTGTTTTTTAAGTCTGTATATAATATAATATAACAGAAAGCAAGCTGTTCTGCCTCAAGTGAGTCTAAAAAACGGTGGCACTATTGTCACTGAGTGGTGACACATCTTCAAGATTAGGAAGTCATGAAAGCAGAGAATACATTTGATTTAACACAATCTGTACTTTAAGCTCTTGTAGCAATCAAATATACTGATAATATAACAAATTGTGGACTAAAAATGCACAAAAATAGCTCTCCTGGGATCAAATTGCTGGAAGGAATTCTAGAGGTCAGCTAGGCCAGCCAAATTTCATAAATAAGGCAACTCAACAACGTAGAGGTGATGCAATTTACCCAAAATAGCAAAATTCCTATCTGATGATGATGATGATGATGATGAATCATATAATAATAATAATCAATAATCATGAGCGGGAGGAGCAGAAGGGAGAAGATTCTGGACAGATGATGATTTGACCACACCCCTGTTGCCCTCCCTTCTCCATCCTAGTCCAACCATCAGCCTCTCCTAAGCTGAGCAGCCGCTGGTACAGGAGGCAAATGGGCCCCAAGAGGTGAAGGTAATGTTTCAAAATGTAGGTTTTATTATTGTTCAGGTGTGATGAGGTCAGCAGGCCAGGTGACAACTACCACTGAAAAGAGAGTTTGTTACTTACACTTCCCAAGAGGATGGGGCACACCACACCATAGAGAAAAGCACAAAAGTCAGTCAGGAGCAAGGGGAAAAATGTGGACAAGAACCTTTATTCTGGATTTTAGGAAGGGGTGATTAGGTTAGGGTAAGCAGGCTAAGCAGGTTTAGGATTGGCTAGTTTGAGTAATTTCAGTGGGCTCTGCTAGTAGTCTGATACCTGTTCCCAGGGTGAGTAGGGCAGGAAAATAGTGCCTCGGCAACGTGTCAGAGTCCAGCAAAGGACAATAAGGGAGCCCAAAAATGGTTCAGAGGATGGGCTCTGGAATAATCTGCATATAAAAGGCATGTTTACAGGACAGTGGCTTGCGAATCTCTAGGAATTGGCTAGCCCTGGGAAGTCCCTCCCTGGTCAGCAGGGCCCCAGATGTCAAAGCCTCAGAAACACAGAAATTAAAAAGGCATGATTAATATAGGTTAGAACAGAGAGCTGCTACCAGGTTTTCTGCCCTCTGAGCTGGGCAAAAGCTGGGGAGCTAGAGGTAGGCAGCCTTGGGTCAAAGACCAGAGAGGGTGTCCTAGAGAAAGCTTGAAAAATCTGTGAGCTCCTAAGGAGGACAGTACCGGTTGGTTCCACTTTGGTTCCCAAGGGCTATACGCCTCCTATTTCCTGCTCCAACAACTCCCATTAGGTGCACTTGTGGCTGGCTCCAGGCTACCCTCCAATCTAGGCTTCATCCAGCAGCCAGGGTAATCTTCTGAAACATAAACCATCCCAGCTCACCTCCTCCCATGAGGCGGCTCCTAGTCCACTCTCATCAGGCTGCACTGGTTTCCCAAAGTTCTAGAATAGGTCAAGCGTGTCCTGACCTCAGAACCTACAACTCAAGGCTCTCTCTGCCTCTACCATGCAGAACTAGTCACTTGCAATTTAAGGTTTAGGGTTAAATACCACTTCCCCAGAGTGCTCTGCCCCAATGACTCGCTCCCTTCATTATTCTTTATCAGCAGAATTCATCCACATCTTTCATAAAACTGACCATGATTTATAATTACATACCTATACATAATTCAGTACCATACATAAGCTTTCTATATCCTCACTGATTTTCTGTCTGGTAGTTATCAAATAAACATTTTATTTTATACAGTATTTATCTTATTAAATTTTATAAATGTTTACAAAATTTTAGAAATATTTTACAAATGTTAATATTTATAATATAATATGCACTTCTCCATATGGTTTGTTTACTTGCTTATTTCTGTCTCCCACACTAAGATCAGGGACTATCTCCATTTAATCTCCAGTAACTTCCCAGGACCTCACACAGAGTCTGGCACATGGTAAATAATCAAAAACTATTTGTTAAAATAAACGGAGCCTAGGTATTCATAAATATTGCCCCATTTGAATGCAATCCTATGACAACGTGCCCGAAAATAAAAATTTTTCATCAGTGACTTGAGAGTAATATATGTTTAAGTGTTCTTACCAATTCTCATTTTTGTTTTGGCCAATAACATGACATGAGGAAGATAGATATTTTTCAAAGGCTGTAATGGACTTGCATAGTCAGTGTTTGATAAAGGAAACTCAATTGTCTCTCCAAAAGTTAGCATCTGTAAAAGGAACATTGTAGTTAGTAACTAGCTAATGTGGTTTGGAATAAGAAGACAGAAAAATAAGTTTCCAAGTCTTGAGGATACAAAAGTATGCTTACCTGTTCAATAAGAATGTTGTGAGACTGAATCAACAAATGTAATTTTTCTGTTTTTAAAGGAGTTTCCTTGAATTTCTCGGCTTTTGTTAAGTCATCCAGCAAAAGCATGCTTCTCACCAGGGTTAAATGAGATCGAGGAGAAATAAATTCACTTTCTTCAAGCAAATGTATTATCGCCTATTAAAATAAAATTATTCCTTTTGATAGTCCCATTTCCAATTCACTGAAACAAGAGCTAGCCAAACTGTTATGCAGCATTCAGCACCTAATAGAATTTAAAATTCTCTCCTTTTGTTCTAATCAGAATCAGTAGTTAAATATCAATGTGAGGGGCGCCTGGGTGGCTCAGTTGGTTAAGCGACTGCCTTCGGCTCAGGTCATGATCCTGGAGTCCCTGGATCGAGTCCCGCATCGGGCTCCCTGCTCGGCAGGGAGTCTGCTTCTCCCTCTGACCCTCCCCCATCTCATGCTCTCTCTCTCATTCTCTCTCTCTCAAATAAATAAATAAAATCTTTAAAAAATAATAAATAAATAAATAAATAAATAAATAAATAAATAAATAAATAAATAAATAAATAAATATCAATGTGAGTGAGGTTTCCTTCCTACCTGAAGGTTGGTTATGATGTCTGCCTTCAGATGCTTTTCTTGGAGGCCAATGATTACAGCTTGCATCAAGAACTCGGCCTGTAGCTCCCTGTCACCTGCACTTTTTGCCTCCTCGCACACTTCATTGATGAGGCTGACGTAATCTATCATGTCGTTTTCTAAAGTAAATAAATGCAGTTATTTAAAGTACCCTGGGAAAGTAAGAAATTACATACGCATAACACCCCCAATGTTCATCACAGGAATATTGTATAATACAGAAGGACAGGAAGATATAAAGATGGAAAACAGACTCTACACGAAACATGAAAAATAAATGTGTTGCAATTTGGGAGAAAGTACTTTAGAGTACTCCAGTGCTGCAAAAGTAAGGATGCTACATGAAAAAAATTAATGTGGAAGATGAAGAGAGATGGGTGGATAGATAGATTTACAAATAGACACTTATCAGTCACTGTAAGAACATGTATATGTGCCAGGCTATAATCTAAAACTTTATAAATTTAACCCATTTAAGACTGATAATAACCCTAAGAAGGAGGTACAATTATTTCCATTTTTACTGAGGAGTAAACTGAGGCATAGGGGGATTAAGAGACTTGACCAAGATCACACAGGGAGAATATGGTGGACCAAACATTTGAACCCAGAACAAGTACCTGGAGCCAAAGTCTGTGCTCGGGACCCCTACACTATGCTGCCTCCCTCAATGATAAGAAGACCTGCACGTTAGTATTTTGATCTCCTTGCCTGGTCTGCATACATCAGAAACCTAGATGCCATTTTCAGTGATACAAGGGACTACTGACATGATTATTCTTATTTAAGGACATGAATTTTTTTATTCTGGAAACAGATCAAGCTATAAAGTTAGAAAATGTTAATGTTATAATAATAAAATGTATCTCAATAAAACCTCCATTACCTGAGTAAAACTAATGTTTATGAAAACTTGGCTTAAGAAAATAGGATATTTGTACCTGTCACCATTCCAATGCCATGAATCTGTGCAACAAATGCAGTCACCAGTGCTAAGCGGCACCTCAACCAGAGATGAATGTTGAAATATTCTCGAGAATTTAGGGAAACGGGATCTAAAAACTCGTTATCTTTATTTTCAGTAGCCTAAACAATACAAAAATGATGGTTATCTTGCCATTTAATAATGTTAAAGGTCTAGCCTAATGCTAAATGTTAAGAGAAGTGTCTGGTATCATTTAATACTATTAGATTTTTAATTTTGGAAATCTGTCTTGCACATTCTATAAACTATGAAAAATACACAAAATAAAATCATTCACAATCCCGCCATCCTTATTAATATTTGGTTATACTGATTTTCAACTTTTCTTTTCCTTTCTCTACCCATTGTAGACAATAGTTTTGCACTCTGAATTTTTCATTGCAAATTATATTATCAGTGGTGTCTATGTCTTCAAAAATTTTGTAAACATTATCTTAACGGCTGAAAAAAATTAAATAATGCTGGTTAATACTTATTGAGTACTTATTATGTTCCAGGCACTATGCCAAGTATCTTATACACATTATCTTATTTGATCTTCCCGAAAAGCCAAAGAGGAGTTATTATTTCTGTTTTACAGATGTGAGAATGGAGACCTACAAAGATTAAATATTTGCTTAAACCTGTACCTCTGAAACAAATAATATATGTTAAAAAAAAAAAAAAAAGAAGACAATAGCAGGAAGGGAAAAATGAAGGGGGGCAAATCGGAGGGGGAGATGAACCATGAGAGGCTATGGACTCTGAGAAACAAACTGAGGGTTCTAGAGGGGAGGCGGGTGGGGGGATGGATTAGCCTGGTGATGGGTATTAAAGAGGGCACATACTGAATGGAGCACTGGGTGTTATATGCAAACAATGAATCATGGAACACTACATCAAAAACTAATGATGTAATGTGTGGTGATTAACATAACATAATAAAAAAAAGAAGAAGAAAAAATATTTGCTTAAACTCCATTACGTTTTGGCAGAGGTAGGATTCAAACTTGTGTCCTTCTGAATTTAGAGCCCCCCAGTCTTAATCCACTGTTGTATGTTGCTCATGTTCCAAACATGTATTATAAATGATTTCCCATCTTCATTACTGTACTTTACAAAGGGCTGACCAATGTTCAGAGCTCCTGAGAGGGAAGGACAAAGGCAAGTTTTCCCAAGTGGGGGCGGGGAATCCATTTTAGACATTTGGGAACTTTAAAATCATCTAGAACAATGCCCATTTGTTCTAGGAATTTCCTGCTATGCATCTCTGACAGCTCCAACCAATTGGCAACATGTAATATCAAGGAGTGGCCATCAGGACTTGGGGGAGGCTGGAATGTGGAGAGACAGGTGGGAAGCACAGAAGAGGAGGGTAAGCCAGCACTGGGAACAAAGTAAGAAGTGAACAGAGGCCTCAAGGCAGAACGGTGACTAGAATGGGCACATCAAGTACTCCAGAAGTCTAGGATTTAGATTAGCAATACAGGACAAAATGCCTATCCACACACCTTAATCTCTCAGCGCTTACACTTCCTGTGACTACTGAAGAGCCACGTCACACTTAATCTGAATCAGGATTTCTCAACCTCAGCACTATGGATAGCCATGGAGGACGTTATAAGTTTAGCAGCATCCCTGACCTCCATGCACTAGATGACAGGAGCACCCTCTCTACTTGTAACAACCGAAATGTCTCCAGATGTTGCCAAATAACCCCTGGGAGGCAAAATAGCCCCCAACTGACAACCATTCCTCTAAGTCAATTTTTGAATTAGATTGCTTTTGAGCATTTTTATTTCTTTTAATATAGTAAGAAATGAGTTTCTATTTAGGATAATTAGTTTTGCTCATTTGTAATGACACTAGTTATTAGCAATTTTATTAGTAAAGCTTAAAATAATGAGCAAGGATTCTATGTGATGAATCTTTATGTTTTAATCCTAAACAACCCCTTTTTATTAAATTACTTGGTCTTATCAAACTCCAATAAAATGTCCAAGAATTCATGACACCAGTCGTCAAAGAGATTTCAGAGCTTTAATGTGGAAGAATTATCTATGGGAAATCCAAGGTAGGAAATAATGCAGGTGTCACACTGGTGATGTTGAAGTAATAAATTCAAAAGTGAAATGAAGAGCCAAATAAAGTGAAACAACTTTATTTGCTAAAGAAATCAGATCTAGAATACTGGAATGATATATCTGGCGGGACCTTAGTTATTATTACATTCAATTCCATCAGTTCACAGATGAGATTTAAATGAAAAGTTAAAATTTTTAATTAAAAAAAAATTTTTTTTTAAAGTTTAAGGGACTTGCCCAAGTATACCACTAAATGAAGAGCATAAGTGGGGCTTCAACACTTACCTTTTTACTCTGAATTCAAAGTTTTTTCTACTTTACCCCTTTATTTCATCCAAATAATTAGACAATTTCCTAGCATGCTAACAGTTATTATATAGTAAGTATTGTAAAGAGAAACATTAAATTCATACATACAGAAGCTCCTGGAGAGACAGAATTCTCTGTGTCATCTTGTACTCCCTTCCTTTTAAAAAGTTTTGAATCCTGGAGAAGTCTAAGCGTAGAAAATACTATTGCAGCACTAAAATAGAAAATATATTTTAAATCTCATTAGTACTGACAATCTCATTAATAAAATGAGCACATATGCATTTCATATGTATCACAATGTGGTTCTCCAGTCTTTCAAGGTTATAGAACTTTGTTACTTAAAGCTATACATTTGGAAACTCTTACACTAAATTATTGCTTAATCAGTGTCTAGAAGTACCAGAAGGCAGATGTACTAAACTAAGAAAACCGAAGTTAGGAGACAGGAATTCTCCTGACTTCCTGTTGCTCCATACATAAGTTTGTCTGCACTTTAAACCAATTTATAACTGATATCACACTTCTTCAAAATACTTAATAACATATATCGAGAGACTTCTTTTGAAAATCTATTCCAAAATGAAATCCAAAATGCGGAACAAGCTGTATACCTGAAGATGCTTTGTAGCATTATTTTATAACATGGGAAGAACTGGGCGAAAGCCAAATGGACAATATACCTATCTACCTAAGTCCCCACTTGAATAGTTAATAATCATATTTAACAGGTGTTATAGGTTGAACTGTGTCCTCTCAAAAAAAAAAAGAAAGAAAGAAAGAAAGAAAGGGGGCGCCTGGGTGACTCAGTTGGTTAAGCATCAGACTCTTGATTTTGACTCAGGTCATGAACCCAGGGACATAAGACTGAGCCCCATTTTGGGCTCTGCACTCAGCAGGGGTTCTGCTTGAGATTCCCTCTCTCCCTCTCCCTGTGCCCCTCCCCCAATTTAGGTGCATTCTCTCTCTCTCTCTCTCTCAAATAAATAAATAAAATCTTTTTTTTTTTTTTAAAGGTATGTTGACGTCCTAACCCTCAGTACCTCAGAATGGAGGTAATCTGAAATGATCAAGTTAAAATGAGGTCATTAGGGTGGACACTATTCCAATATGACCGCTGTTTGTATAAAAAGGGAAAATTTGGACAGAGAGACAGATATACACAGAGGGAAGGTGACACGAAGACACACAGGGAGAAGACAGCCACGTGACTGGAGTGGTGCCTTTACAAGCCAAGGAATGCCAAGGATTACGGGCAAACACCAGAAGGTACATGAAGCAAGGAAAGCTTCTCCTCTAGAGCCTTCAGATAGAACCTGGCCCTGCTGACATTTTGATCTTGGAGCACTGACTCCAGGACTCATGAGACAATAAAATTCTGTTGGTGCTCTGTTATGGTGGCCCTAGGAAACTGATAGAATAGGTTAAAAGCAGGTCCCCTGGCTTTTGCCTCCTACACCAAACCTGCCCTTCTTCCCTTGTTTTCCATCCCAGAGGGAGAGTCCAGATCACCATCGCTTCCTCACTAACTCATGCTCTATATTCAATCCATCAGCAAGTTCCGTCAGCTTCACCTTCAACATATGGGTACCAGCCAGCAGCTCCTCACCTCCTCCAGGGCTAGTGCCTTCATCCAAGCCACCATGATCTCCAGGCTGCACGAATGGGAGCTTCCTGATCGGCCTCCTTCTCTGGCTCTTGTCCCTGCAGCCCTGTTCTCCACACAGCGGCCACAGCGACCCCATCAAGAGGCAAATCAGATCCTACCACCTCCCTCCATATATATTTCAGAGGCCCCCTGTGTCCCTGGACTGTGGTCGGTACACTTCTTCCTATGGGTCAGTTACTGAGGTTTCTGGCCGAGTATATGCTCAGCTTCATACGTGTCCACAGATGCTTGTGAAAAGGTACAGTGTTTGTAGGTTCCCAGAGTGTGTACATATGCTCAACTTTTAAATTATATTTTTAAACCCTCTTCTTTTTTGTCTATATGTTGTATTAAAAGCTGAAAACAGGGGCACCTGGGTGGCTCAGTTGTTAAGTGTCTGTCTTGGGCTCAGGTCATGATCCCAGGGTCCTGGGATCGAGCCCCGCATTGTCCTCTCTGCTCAGCGGGAAGCCTGCTTCTCCCTCTCCCACTCCCCTTGCTTGTGTTCCCTCTCTTGCTGTGTCTCTCTCTGTCAAATAAATAAATAAAATCTTAAAAAAAAAAAAAGCTGAAAACATTGTGCTAACACACATATTCTGTCCACAGAGATTTTCTCTTTTTTCTTTTTTTCTCCACAATCCTTTAAACAAACAATAACTGGCATTTACTGAGTGTTTACCACCTGTCAGGTGCTGTGTTAAGTGTTTTGTGTGAATTACTTAATCTCCACCACAAACCTACAAGGTAGATACTATTATCATTACTTGATAGATCAGGAAATAGAGACAGAAATATTAAGTGCCTTGCCTAAGGTGACACAGCTAATAAGAAGAGGCAGGATTAGAACCCAGGCAACTGGCCTGAGCCTGCACACTTCACTGCTGCCGATAGTGTGGCCTCCGTCTTTCCGCAGTTCTAACAAGTTTGGTTTGGTTTTGGTATACTGTTACTCGTTGCCATGTTTATGGCGGCTACATAGTCATTGTTGACTGCACCCTTCATCAACACAAAGGCCCTCTCTGTCCACTTGACTGCCTTTTGCTTTACATTCTACTCTGCAGACTTCATGAAATAGTATCATTCTGAGGATCAAATGAAGTATTTGTTTTTTCACTTGTTCTCCTATTGGCAAGGAACAAATCTAAGGGCTGTGGATACAGTTGCTGCCTTCACGGAGTTGACCTTCTTGTAAGAGTGGGGTGTGCTTAGCACATAGGAGTACTTAGCAGATACATGATGCTCAGTGCACACTAGCTGTACTCATTTCGTGTATCGAGTGGGCCAGGCATATGGGGGGGAACCAAGCTGATTTTCTTCTATGTTAGTAACTAGAATATAAAGCTTCCTGCAATTATTGAATTTTAAATTCCCAAGATTCTACTGAGTCATTAAAATGGTTTAGATATTTGTAGAATATTTTCTAAGGTATGATTTGTGATTATATAACCTTACTGGTTTTTACTTAAAATAAAACTAAACAGGGGCACCTGGGTGGCTCAGTTGTTAAGCGTCTGCCTTTGGCTCAGGTCATGATCCCTGGGTCCTGGGATCGAGCCCCGCATCGGGCTCCCTGCTCCACGGGAAGCTGCTTCTCCCTCTCCCACTCCCCCTGCTTGTGTTCCCTCTCTTGCTGTATCTCTCTCTGTCAAATAAATAGATAAAATCTTTAAAATAAAATAAAATAAAACTAAACAAACAGCAAGAAAACAACAAAAGATGTAACACAGAATGAGTACGTATATGGGAATGCAATTTCCTCTCCCTGACACCCTTCCCCACTCAAGCGTTCACACCAGTTTCGAAGGCCCCTTGTTTCCTGCGCAGCTTCAGAGGTGAGCACTGTATGGTTCCGAAAGGGCCCGGGAAGAAGGACGGACGTGGTGCCCACCTCATCATTCTGATTCTGAAGGCTAAATTCTGACTTCAAGAGAAATGAGGTATGAGGTTTAGAATCTTGCTAACCCAAAAACTTAATGAATAAAATATAAACATGCTAGTATATCCTAATCCTCCTGGTGCCACGTAGGTGCACAATGGAAAATTTCTAGTTTCTGCTCTCCACCAGAGAGACAGAAAGTATAGGAGGATTACTCACTATAAACACTCTGAAATCCCCAAGGAAGGAGGTTTCATTCTGACACAAAATTAAAAGGCTCAAATGTTATCCCATTTAGACAATAAATCAAATATAAAAGAGAACGGAAAGGAACTTATTAAAAAAAAAAAAAAGATAGGACTCTGAGAGAGGCATCCCTAAAAGAAGTAGAAATACAGTTGGAATAACTTTGATCCCATTTATTTCTTATTAACATTCATGACAAAAATGGTCAGTTTGTTCTCATAAAATCCATGCAGCTCACTCTACCTGTCACCCTAGGGAATGTGCCTTTCAGTTTCCTTGACACATAATTTTATTAGAAGTATCATAAAATGCCAAGCTAACCATCATTTGGGAAAGGGACTGTCCAACACTCAGCAGTGCCCAAACCGAAGCTTGTGGGGGGTAAAGTTCACATAAGAAAAACTCATTCATCTTGACAGTAGGCTTCCCCAAATGACAACTCCACTGCAAAAAGGCAATAACATCAAACTCTTTGCAGGTTTTGTCCCAAGGGCCAGGTTCATGTATTTAAAATAGGAGCGATTCTGATACACTTGCACATTATTTGCGTATGTCTATCTGGTTTTCAAATTAAAGTTCTACAATGACATTCCTTTCTGTGGCCATTTTGTAATTTTATTTTCTTATTTCCTTCTTCCTTCCTAAAAAAAAAAAATCACTCATGTCTTCCATGGGTGTAAGACATGTGGAAGGCTGAGGATGGAAGGTAAACAGCAAGAACCATTTTCTGGGGTGGCTATTGCTCTCTAAAATAGTCTGGAGAAGAGTTCCATATTCTTCTACAGGAAATCATATAGTCATGTTTTAGAGGGAGAGGGAGATGATGTATTTACATATATATATATGTATATATATATGCAAAGCATATATTTTCTATTAATAAATCACCTAGTAAAAATTCCTGTTCTTCAAATTTCAAAAGGGAAAATGGTACATTATTATGCTAATAAGCCCATTTACTATCAATCAACTACCACTGTATTTTTCTTAAAAATAGCTACAAATGTAACAATCCTCTGAATCAGTGTGTCTCAAGCTTTTTTGTTTAGCTCAGCAGTCTTTATATCCTTAAAAATTATTGAGAATCCCCAGAGCTCCATCAATATTTACCATATTGGAACTTAAACTTCATTACTATTTATTAATTCACTTTAAAATAAAGACAATAAACCCATTACATGTTCACATCAATAATGCATTTTTATGAAAACATCTATATTTCCCAAAACAACAACAAAAATGGTGAGAAGAATGCATCATTTTGCATTTTTGCAAATCTCTTTACTGTCTGGCTAAATAAGAGAAAATCTACCTAATAGAAGACTTTCATATCTGTTTCTGTGGTCTGTTGTGACATATTGTTTTGATTGAAGTATATGAAGAAGACTAGGCCTCACAGAGATAGCTGTTGGAAATAGGAAGAGTATTTTCATATCCTTTTAAAATAATTGTGAATATTCTTCTTTGATATTATACCAAAATGTGACAAGTGATAGTTTTTTAAAAGTCTTTTGCAGTGTGAAAGCTAATACCACACGCTGATGAAATTTCCTCCTCTGTTACATTATAACCTATTGGTCTATCTTGTTACCCAGGATTTTGGAACATTATCCACTGGTGATTTGGAAAATATTAACTCCCTGATTATGCAAATCCCCTTGATGTTGAAACATTTCTTTATATAATTTTTAAAAATGATGCTTGTTAATCTTAATTACCACCAATCTCATCAGAACAATTATATAAGCATTAGAAAACTGTCAAGCTCATGGTGACAAATAGAAATTTTCCAAAACTCTCTTTTCCCTACAAAAGTTCAGATTTTATCATTAGCAACAAATACTATTTGTTGTTTTCCTAGAAGTGGCATGTTCATTTTGCTCATTTTCAATAAAATGCCTGTCAAATACCCAAGTCTGAAAAACCAGTTTGTCAGTTGGTTTTTCAAATAAAAACGGTGTTCCAAGAGACAAACTGCTTGTTTGGCTCTCATTTCAATCACGTATGTGTTCTTCCCCAAGACAACCATCAGACTTTGGTATGCAGCAAAGATGCTTTAGGTGTATTTCCCATTTAATATTTCCACAGAATATTAAATATATATTCAAGGATAGGGATTTATAAATGTAACAGATTCTACTGGTTCATCAAAGGCATTCTTAAATGAAACTAGGCCTTTTTTTTTAGGTAGGTTCCATGCCCAGTAATGAGATTAAGAGTTGGATGCTAACCGAGAGCGCCACCCAGGCACCCCTGGCTTTTTTTTTTTTTTTTTAATTGCAAGTGTGCAGCAGTAAAGAATGCAACGATCACTAGTATGGTTTGGTGCCACTGGTGTGATTCCCAGTGAGATGCCAGGAGCATTGGTGCAAATAACAACACAATGAAGATGGTGAATGACATCGTAGTTTTGTTATAAAAATAGTTCTGGGGGCGCCTGGGTGGCTCAGACGGTTAAGCGTCTGCCTTCGGCTCAGGTCATGATCCCAGGGTCCTGGGATCGAGTCCCGCATCGGGCTCCCTGCTCCTTGGGAGCCTGCTTCTCTCTCTCTCTCTCTCTCTCTCTCTGTCTCCCATGAATAAATAAATAAAATCTTTAAAAAAATAAAATAAAATAAAATAAAATAAAATAAAAATAGTTCTGACCATACAGTTCCCCCTGAAAGGGTCTTGGAGACTCCCCTCGAAATCTGCAGACCACATTTTGAGAGTCACTGCTCCAAAATGGACTAAATGGATTTTTATCACTGTTTAGAAACCACAAAAATTATAAATGTCCAAAAATCTACACTGCTCTAGCATAAAATCAAATTTAGATGTGGTTAATCATGGGATGGTCTTCGGTCAAGGCTCACACTGATAAGACGGTTGTATGTTTCTAATCAAAGCAAAGTGAGATTTCTGCTGAATTGATTTCCCCTTTGCAAAAGCTACAGCTAGGCTTCTCCTTTTTCTCACAAAGAAAGCAGCTAGGCTTTCTTATCTGCCTGCCCAGATGTGGGGCAGAAGGGGGAGTGGTGGGGCTTGAAAGCTGTCAGCCATTGAACATCAAATTGGAGACATACTCTTTATTATAACCATACAATTTTAAAACGATAGCTCCTTCTCCTCCCCCTGTCTCTACTCCCAATATCTCCGTATCATGTATCATTTGTGACCATACTATATAATTTACTTGCTTATTAAGTTCATAGTTTATTGTCAGCCTTTATTACCTCTTATAAACTCCATGAGGGTAGGGTTGTTCTCAATATTGTTAAATATTTTGCCTATATAGTATATATCCAGTATTGGGATATTGATATATCTCAAGAACCTAGAACGTTAAGTAACTAGCATATTGTAGGTCCCCAAAATCATTTTTTGAATGAATTAATGAATGGTATGATAATAAACTTGTGCATTATTCAAAGAATCATTACTGAAATGTCAGACAGCCGCATGATAGAGGTATTTACCACAAATGACATGAGAAGTTCTTGAAAATATAGGTCTATATATTTTTTATTATCCCACTTAATTGTTTATATATCTTTCAGCATATGGATACAGGAACTATATTCTATTCATCTCTATATCTTCAGTGTCTAGATCAGAGCCTAACAGTGAAGTAGTTAAAGGATACTGGTTGGGTAAATGAGTGAATCAATGAACAAGTCAAATGAAAGATCTGACACTAACAATTGCATAACATTTAAATAATCATCTACCCAAAACTGTTTCTTAAATGGTTTAGTAAAACATAATTCAGAAAATGTTACTTTTTAATAATAGAGCTTGTTTTTAATATTAACTATACTGCAGTTAAAATAAAAAAATAAAAAATACATAAATAAATAAAATTAAAAAGCAAAGCTCTCTTAATTTGTTCATTCTCTGTATAAAACATCCTAGCTGTATGCTTTAATAAAGCAATCATTTTGTTTAGAACTGTAGTTTTAAGGGTAATAATATATGAAAACTCCCCTGAAAAAGAAAATACAAGTAAGCTCTATTAATACTGGAATTTATAAAACGCACATAAGATTTAGGTATATTTGACAAATTAGGGTGAGGAAGAAATTCTCTTCTGTGCCTGAAGAGACTCACCTGTATGCCGCCCGGTGTCTCTGCAGGGCGATTGCCGCCAGCTGAAGCCTGGCTTCCACCACAATCTCCAACTCACCAGCAGAACACTGAGAGAGGTTCTTGTGGCCTGGATGCTCTATCTCTGACACAAGAACGTTTAGTCTGCCCTCAGCTTCTGTCAGGAGAATTGACTAAAGAAAGAGCACCACACAATCACGTAAGTCCAGAAACAATACAAGTAATATCTCACCCTTATTCATCCAGGTGTTTTTCATGTGCTGAGAAAAGTAACAATGAATGGAAGACCAGATAGGAAATTTGAACATAATCATCAGAGAAGCGTGCTCAGCAAACAGGAAAAAGGCAATAGGAAGTGGAAAGGAGAGTAACGGCAAGAGTAAGCATGTATCACAGTTACCCTTTATTGTATGCACAGCCAGTGCTCATTACTCACAGTATTTAAACTCTTCTATAAAGTGACTGCAAATACTGAATTAGCAAATACTGAAGCATTGCTCCTAGAGGTAATACAAGGATAGGTTCCTGTGGGCCTCGGGTCACAACATTTTTGCCAACTGATTCACACATAACTTTGTTTAATGTGTGCTTATATTTAAGGACACATTATTTAATAAATACCATAAATTCACTAACCTTGAACTAACAGCTCTAAAACTCAAGCCTGACGTTTATCTAACACATTTATTTTCTCCATAAAGCACATCACAGCCTTCTTACATTTAGGAATACTAAACAGTATTTCAGCACTATGCTTAGGGGCCATTTCAAACAGTGAAATCACCAACGAAAAGCACAAAAATGCAAAAAAAAAAAAAAATGTGGCAATAAATAGACCATGGAAAGGATACTTGTTTACAGTATGAGGGTAGAAACAAACAGAGCACTGCCTTGTCCAACTCAGCTGGGAATGTGTGTGTTGGGCAACTCAAATTTTTCTGTGCTCTATGATGTTCACAAATGACCACAAATGAGCCACGAGTATCAATACTGGAGTTATAAGTAAATTTTAGCAGATAGGCAAATTAGCAATTACTGAATCTGGGAATAATGAGAATTGGCTGTATTTCAAGTTAAACTATGGTCATCTAATTGGTAATGTGAAGATAATGAGATTTTACAATTGACAATCAATAGTAAATAGCAGCCTGGCATGGCAGAGGAGAATGGGACCAGCCAATCTTTCAAGAAACAGGTCTCTAAAAACTTGTTTGTACAGTAAATATTATATAAGTACTAGGACACCTTAGTACAATGGTTAAGAACACCATCTGTATTTTATTAGTTGCGTGGCATTAGTGAATTTTTTTCTAAGCCTCAATTTTCTCATGGTTCAGCACAACATAGTTCAAAAATGATTAATACCTACATCACAGAGGTGTAAGAATTAATCATGCAAAGTGCCTGTCATGTAGTAAGCACTGAATAAATGGTAACGGTTTGTGTTGCTGTTGTCATCACTCTTATTATTAGGAAATGAGAAACAGGGCGTGGAATACTCAAATCTCATCAAATAATGAATCATATTTTCCACAGTGCCTTAATCAGGTTGTAAAGTCAAAGTCTGACAACCTCTGGGCATCTAATTTTCTCATGAGAAGTAGGCTCCATCTCTCGCCTCAATCCATGCTTATGCAAGAAAAGCTACTCGGTCTCCTGAGAGCAAACACAACCCTGAAAGCGAGCCTGTCCAGGGCCTATTAGTGGACATTTTGGTAACCAATTTAGTATGATTTGAAAAATCTTCCAAACTTACCTTCACTGTGCTAAAAGTGAAGTCATCTTTCATTTTTACAAACTGACCAAGTGAGCTTCCATCATCCTTTAAATATAGCTCTGTAAGACAGAAAATTTTGGAAGAACCAAGGATATCTGTGGTTAACTTAAATATTAATTCTAGTTTACAAAACTCATCATGAGTTGAAAACCATCCATAAATTTCATATTTTAAAAAACCCACAATGATAACTGGAAATACTATTTTATCAAATGGTCCCTAAATATCATATATTCAAAGATTGAGGATAATTTTTTACAACACATCAGACAATTCTGAAAGGATCTTTAGGATGCTTGATGATATTCTTTAAATTACTGGCTACTGATACAGAGTAATGGTTCCTCCCCTGGACCACTGGGGAGGACCCTTTCAGGTCCCCAAAGTATTTTGGGTCTTCCAGATATTTATAACATTTCAATAAGATCTCCTTGGAAATGTCAGTTCTATTGATTTGCATAAGCCTCTCATACTAAGAGCAGAGAGTGAGACCATTTGAAATAGCACAGTCCACTAGATCCACAAGTATCTCAAAATACCGAACCACAATCTGAAGGTTGTCCTTATTCTGAGCCAGGGAAAACTGAGATAATTGAGATCACAGACTCTGCCTGCTTTAGTAAACCTGACTTCTAGAATATAGGAGAGAGAGAAGAAAAAAAAAAAAAAAACCACGACTGGGAATTACTGCAAAAAATACCCACCTAAAGAGACTAAACTTGTCAAGGAAGAAAAGGAAGTCTAAAATAACATGGAATTGAATACCCTTGCCTTCCCCTCTTCTTCCAACTCCTACCTACCTGGCTCTTCTCCTAAAATAGGGGGCTCTGGAGTGAGAGGTCAGCTGAGTATGAAAGAGGGCTTAAGAATTGGGAAAGGCCCAGCAGAAAGATCTAGGGCTGGGTTTTCTCCCCTAAGGGAGAAACTAAGGAAGAGACAGAGAAAGATAGAAATAAATGCCTGGAGACTGGTATGAAAGAATCCTGGGAGATATATCTGAACATGAGAGATGCTAGGAAGAGTGTGATCCACATTTTCCTTCTGCTCTCTCTGCCTCTGAGTGACCCTGGTGCTTCTCTGTGTGGCCCTCCCAGGTAGTAACCTCCTCCTCCTCTTGGAGGGTTAAATAACAAACTAGGTTTTTAGTGGCCATCATCTCCTGATCTGTTGGCCTCATCATACCCAAATAATAATAATAGGAGTTACATTTTGAAACAGAGCCAATATTACTCCAGTATCCAAACTGGACAAAGATACCACAAGAAAAACTACAGACCAGTATCTATAATGAATAAGGATGTAAAATTCTTCAACAAAATACTAGCAAATGGAATCCAGCTACATATAAAAAGAATTTATACACCATGACTAAATGGGAGTTAGCCCAAGAATGTAATTACTTTATTACACCATATCAATAGAATAAAAAAAATAGAATCATCTTAATAGATGCAGGAAAAGCACTTAATAAAATCCAGCACCCTTTTAAAATAAAATCATTCAACAAACCAGGAATAAAAGAGAAATTTCCCTGCCTGATAAAGAATATCTATAAAAAATCCACAGTTAACACCATACTTAATGGTGAAAAACAAACTATTCTTAGGGCAACATCCAAAACAGTTGAAAAATACATACATACGATGACCTACAAATCCCATACATGGGCATCTTATCCCATAGAAATATACATTATATGATATGGATATGTAACACTTCAACACTGTTCCCTAGAAATTGATGTGAATGCACATCAACAGGAGAATGGTTGAATAAACAATGATATTCACAGCATAGAATACTATATAACCAGAGGAGCAGAACAAACAAAGCAGTTGACTTGAAGTGGTTTTAGTGAAGTTTTTCTGGGTAAGAAACACAAGATGCAGAAAAATGTAAAATATGTCATTTTATAAATAAATGACAAGTCCTATTTTGTACATATATATATGAAAAAGTATATGAATACTGACATGTATGAATGGATATGGATACGCATGTACCTGACATGTGCGTCATGAAGTGAGATTAGAGAAAAATATGGAATATATACTAGACTGTTCATACGGATTATTGGGAGTGGAGTGGGAACAGTTGGAGGAAGAGGAGAAAGGAAAACAAGCAAAAAAATAAAACAAAAGATTACCTTTCAAGTTTGGGAGGTTGGCTCTACTCTTCTCAGAAGTAAGTCCATGGTAGATTGTTTTCATCGAATTTTCTGGGACACAATTTATTGTTGCAGCCACACTTATTAAAAAGTATGCTTTAACAAAAGAAAACTTATTTAAAAGATGTTCCTGGCCAAGTGTAACCAGAATTACAGGCAATCCTTTACTAATTAATTCATCAAGTGCCTAGAAAAGAAATGAAACAAAGAAGAAAACAAGGCAAATCAGTAAAATACTGTTTTCAGGTAATATTAGTTTTCATCCCCTTTTGCATTCCTCATTTGGTGTTAGATGATGGAATACAGGATAGACACGATGTACCATAAGTGACAGGTCTATCGCAAGAGACCTGTAACGTCAGAACTATCCCAGCGGTTCTAAGTGCCTCCGCCCCTCCCCACCAGTTTGTGACCTGGCTTCATGAGCCCAGCCCTGCCACATAAGGAGTGAACCTGGTGCTGAGAGCAAGGGAGGGAACATCTTATCAAAATAAAGAACCCACAAAAGCTCATCAGCCATGCACGCCCGGCTGTTCTGCTTTCACATGAGTAAATTAGAGGTACTAGGACAGGAGCGGGGAGAAGAATGGGTAGACAAGCATACTCCCTACCCAGCTTAGATTCCAAGCTCAATCATTAGAACTCTGCCTTGTGTACACCCTATTAACTCCCTGGTCCCTCTCCTGTGCATATACACGTCCTTGGCAAAACAGCCATGGTTTGGCTGGACCTTCTTTAGGTGTGCACACTGCAGCTGAAGAAGACTGAAGAAAAGCATGCAGTCAGGCTAAGCCATCCCACTTTAAGATCCGGACCAAACCTCAGTGCTACTTGGTCATCATTCTACATTTTCCCAGTCCATTCACTCTCCCTCTCTCCTAGACAACTATTTCAGGCTCTTTCTGTTTCTAAACCCTGACCCTTCCTCCCCATGCTCCTCCCAGCTAATGACCTTGCTTCTTCTACTTAAGAGAGAAAACTGAAGCAGCCAGAGTAGTGTCCACAGACCCTACAGCTCCATCTCTCCCACCTACCCAAGCAACTGCCCTGCCTCCCTTCCTGCCACTTACACCATGGATCCTCTCCCCACTGGTCTACTCAGTTATTCTCTCCTACATCATAAATGTCCCCTTGCTGCAGACATTCTCATCAGCACAAAGCCATGCTGTCTTCTCTTCCATCTTAAAAAAACAAAAATTGTCTATACTTTGACCTCCTTCTCCAGCTACTACCCAAATTCTCACTCTCCTTTATAGCAATGATTTAAAGAGTTGTCAATATTCCAATTTCTCTCCTTTCATTTGTTTTTAAACCCACTCATTTCCTACACTAAAACCCTTTAAGGTCACCAATGGCCTATACTTGCCTTAAACCAGTGTTCAATTCTTAGTCCTCATAAGCCATGTTATTTTTAATCTAAGACATCATTATCTTATATGCCAATTAAACCATCGCAGGTCCTCAACTATAAAATGCATTCTAATTTCAGAGCTATTAAATGTGAAAAAAGATCTTGTTTAAGACTCAGTGAGTTGTGGTGCTTGATTCATCTGCAAAATAGGACGCTATTAATCAATTCCTCTTTTGAAAATGTTTCTCTTAGCTTTCAAGTCACCACATTCTCTTGGTTTCTTTCCTATCCTGTCAGTCATTCCTTTTCAGTCCTTGCAGCTTCCTCTTCTTCTCCTACATTTTTGAACACCAGAGTGTCCCAGGGCTTGGTCCTCTTCCCTTTCCTTACTCCCTCCGCCTAGATGATCTCTTTTTTTTTCCCCTTTAGATGATCTTAAACAGGCTCATGGTTTTAATTTCATCTAAATGCTGATAAAATCCTGAGTTTTTCTTTCCAGCTCCAATCTCTCTTCTAAAGTCAAACCAACTTCTGACTCAAATAGTCCACTTGGATATCTAAGAGATATCTCAAACTCAACATGTCCAAAACTGTATTCCTAGCCTCCTCACAACCACACACACACACACACACACACATACACATGCACACACACACACTCACACTAAAATATAAGCTCTATGAGGGCTGGGAATTTGTCTGTATTGTTGATTGACTGATGTGTTTGATTGACAGCACTGAAACAGTACCTAGCACACAGTAGGCTCAATAGATCAGCTAAAGTGATCCCTTTAAACAGGTAGATCAGGCCACCCCTCTGCTCTAAACCTTCCAGTGGCTCCCCATGCTGTTCAGAAAAAGAACCCAAGTTGCAAAGACCCTACAAGGCTCTCCTCGAGCTGGCCCCGTTACCTCTCTGACCGTCTCCTACCACTTCCGCATCATTCACAGGGCTCTTAGCCACACTAAGATGCCCCTCACCACCTCACCAAGCTAGGCAATCCTGCCTCTAAGGCCTTTGCACTCACTGCACTCTCTTCCTAGATGGTTCCTAAATTTCCAGATTTCCTAAACTTGCACTGTTACCTGTTCACAAATGCCACGTCAGTGAAGACTAACCTGATTACCTCATTTAAAATTACAACCCCCAACCTAGCCCCAAGCTCCCAATCCCCTTTATGTGCTTCTGGGCTAATTTTCTCCCTTACCATGGTTCACCTTCTAACTTGCTATATAATTTACTTAATTATAATGTTTTTTCCCACTAAAATTTAAGCTCTCTGAGGGCTTGGAGTTTGTCTGTTGCTGACTGAATGATGTATTCCTTTGACAGCACCAGAATAGTGCCTTGCACACAATATGCTCTTATTAAATATTTGTTGGATTAACAATATTTGTTAATTAATAATTTCGGATGTTGGGGCTGTCTGTTCTAAAAGAGAGGGAAACTATTTGCCTTATGTGAATTAAAAAAGAAAAGTCTCATTGTTTGGGAGAGTTTGAGGCAACATTGGCAGTGAAGTCTATTGCTGTTGTTGATTCTCTACTCTCTTCTAAAAGGTGAAAATCACTACCCGCAGAAGAACCAGACATGGAACCACACTGAGCCTGAGCAGGCAACAAACTGCGTACTAGGAAAATGGCTGACGTTCTCTATCAGGGGGTGGCGAGGGGAGAAACTTCAGATTGGTTGGGGGTGTAAGGGGAGGGGAGAAGGTTTCTCTTCTCTTTTTTCTCCCTAGCAAACAGTGTCTTAATGAGCCTTGACAATTACACACAAACACTTGAGAATCAAAAGAAGATTAATTAGTAATGCTACTTAACACTCATTTCTCTCCCTCTATACAGAAAATATAAAGTGTAATTTGAAGAGTCTTAAGCAGACCAACAGTTCTGTTTTAATTAATTAGCTAATAGAAATCGGCTTTCCATTTTACTGTCAGTTTCTTTTTGTTTAAAAAGAAATGATCAGGCAGACATTCTCTTTATACCCAAAAACACTCCTTAAAAAAGTATTTTTAGGATGTTTTGGAATTTATGACTGGAAAGAAATAAATATTCTTAAACATCCGAAGGTCTTGGAACAATGAAACAAAATATGAATATGTATCTTCCTAACACCGATTCTTTCATTGCAGGCAACTTGCTTATAAATCAAAACAAATTTTAAGGCCAAACAATGAATCATCTGAAGCATAATTAAAAATGAAGTTTGTGGAATAACAAGAATAATGGAAAAGTAGTAAGATTACATTTAATAAAAGGTGGCTATAATGCCTATCAAAATTATGGAAGATAAAACTAAAGCAATATTGAGAAATGTTTCTCAAAATTGTTTAATAAAAATATCTTACTTAATGAAACAGAATGCTGTTTCCTAGCATTTAAAAAAATTAAAACTACGTGCACCTGTCTCTCTACATTGACTAACACCTGGTTGTGTGAATGCCTTACCTGTTTGTAACCCCTTAACCATGGCTGCACTACCACTCCTCCGTTCTAACACTTTCTAGTGGACAAACTGACAAGACTCCTAAGATTTAAAAAAAATAATTTCAAGATATTTAAGTGCTACATGGCATGGATGGAGCTAGAGAGTATTATGCTAAGTGAAATAAGTCAGAGAAAGACAAATGTCGTATGATTTCACTCACATGTGGGATTTAAGAAAGAAAACAGATGAACATGGGGAAAAAAAAAAAGAGAGAGGCAAACCATAAAGCAGACTCTTAACTATAGAGAACTCACTGAGGGTTGCTGGAGGGGAGGCAGGGTGGGGGATGGGCTAAATGGGTGACAGGGATTAAGAAGGGCACTTGTGATGAGCACTGGGTGTTATATGTAAGTGATGAATCACTAAATCCCACTCCTGAAACTAATATTATACTATATGTTAGCTAACTAGAATTTATATAAAAACTTGAAACAAACAAAAAATACATTTAAATGCTACTAGGTTATCAAAAGCTTAAATCCTAATCATTCAATTACTGACAAGAACAAACGTATTGAGATGGGCAGTCTAGTCTTTTCTATGTAAAGAATACTGGGATGTTAGAGGAGTTTCTTATGAAAAGGCCATATGGGGGTGCCTGCATGGCTCAGTCAGTTAAGCGGCTGCCTTCAGCTCAGGTCATGATCCCAGAGTGGAGGGAATCAAGCCCCATGTCAGGCTCCCTGCTCAGCAGGGAGTCTGCTTCTCCCTCTGCCCCTTCCCCCTGCTCCTTCTCTCTCTCTCTTAAATAAATAAATAATCTTTAAAAAAAAGTTTAAAAAAAAAACAAAATGTCAGGCGCCTGGGTGGCTCAGTTGGTTAAGCGACTGCCTTCGGCTCAGGCCATGATCCTGGAATCCCTGGATGGAGTCCTGCATCGGGCTTCCTGCTCGGCAGGGAGTCTGCTTCTCCCTCTGACCCTCCCCCCTCTCGTGCTGTTTCTCTCTCTCTCTCTCTCTCAAATAAATAAATAAATAAAATCTTTAAAAAAAAAAATGTCATACTAAAACCTTCCATTAGCTAGCACTACAGTGGTAAGTATATTGCAGTATGAAAATGTGTCAAACCGTTCAAACACCTTAAATTTATACAATGTTATATGTCAATTATGTCTCAATAAAAATTTTTTATTTTTATAATTTTTTTTATTTTCAATAAAGGAAAAAAAGAAAACCACTGACTGAGAGAGGCAGTCTCAGACTGGAGAAAGGATGTGAGTAAAAGCAGTATTGAACAAGTGAGCTAAGAGCAAAACACACAAAATCCTTTTCCTACAATCGAAGTCAGCCATTCTCGTCTAGGTAGTCAAGATAAATATTAAAATTAGATACTTGACATGGCTAGATAAACAAAATGAATACATATACATAACTGAAAAATTTACAAGTAATAACTGATATTTGCTCAATTTGAAAACCAGATCAGTTTCGGTCCAATCCTACCTTGGGCCTCAGCATTGGGAGATTAAATCCCATTATTAGAAATAGAAGAGCATATTATGTAGGAGATTTTCTTTTTCTTTTTCTTTTTTTTTAAGATTTTATTTATTTATTTGACAGAGAGACACAGCGAGAGAGGGAACCCAAGCAGGGGGAGTGGGAGAGGGAGAAGCAGGCTTCCTGCTGAGCAGGGAGCCTGATGCGGGGCTCGATCGCAGGAGCATCTGCTTAACGAGTGAGCCACCCAGGTGCCCCTATGTAGGAGATTTTCAAAAACAAGGGTTACACCTACTAAATAGATTGAAATGACTAAAAGTTATCCTTCCTAAATATCCAACATTTATAAAATATTGTTATCCTTACCTGTATATTTTCTTTACTAGTAAGAGGTTTTCCTGAGTCAAATGATTGAAATATCTGTCAATATACAAAACATTAACATTAGAAACAAAAATATTAGTTTTTATATGAAACTGATAATGTGTCCTAAAAGTATTTTAAAAATAATTTTTATTGTAAAAGTAATACATGCTCTACTCAGAAAAGCAAGTATAGAATAAAGAAGAAAGTAAAAATTACACATAAGTCAACTTCTTTTAGGTTGTCAATGTTAATATTTTGATGTCTTTACTACCAATTTCTTTTTTATGTATTCTAAATTTTTACTTATATGTATTTGTATTCCTTTTCATTAAATATTATATCATACTCATTTTTCCATGCCATTAAGTCATTTGTAAACCTCAGTTTTATAGCTAGGTAATGTTCAATCCTATGAATGAAGCATAATAACTTAATTCCTTTCCTTTTGTTAGACATTGAGGGGGACTAATTCCCACTTTCATCCCACCATTCAGCCCTAGTTTAAGTAACACGGGTGGCTATTTTGTCTGTATTTCTGATTATCCTCTTTGGATAGATTCCTGGGAGCAGAACTGCTGGGTCATAAGAGTATTAGCACTGAGTATTAGCATTTAGAAGAATCTTTGCCAGTTTGAGATAAAATCATATTACTCTTCAGAGTAACTCTTTTTGTGGTTCTTTTCCTTTGTTGTGAATGACCTGTTATATGTTTGGCTCTAAATACAATGTTACATTAGGAAACATTCCATTTATTTGCCACAGGAGATGTATCTTTGTATAGGGTGCATTCCTTTTGGTACAGAAGGCCCTTTTTTGAAGATGTCAATACTGATGCTCCACCCATAACCTCTCTGTCACCTCGAAGTCACCAGCAGCTTCTGTGGATAGGTTATTCACATATGGACAGTATCCTACTTCAAGTACCTTATTTCTTTGCTTGAGGGCGTTCTGTGGCCACAGGAGTATTCAGGAGAGGCTGGGAGTGCAGGGAGCAACCCATTCCAATAAGCATAAGATTGTTCTCCCTGGTCTCTCTGAGGGCCCGGTTGCCCACGCAGGGACATTCATGCTCTCTGTGATGGTTCTCCTCCCTTCCGATCTGACTTTCCCACACACTCACCATTCTCCTTGGAATCATCTCCCAAATATACTACTTGCTCCCAATTCCTTGTCTTAGGATCTGAGGGATTTGAGGGACCTCTAAACCAAGACATCACATATAGCTCTTACTGGAATAAAGTGTTGTTAAGTGTTAATTTTTTTTTTCCTTTTTTGAAGATATCCTGTATCTTCTCTAATCCATTGAAAAGTGAATAACTGAATCCAGGGGAAGACCTTTGGCGATATAATTGGAAGAGAGTTGATGATGGGACTTTAGATTTGGCAATAAGAGCAGAATCCCAATACAAGTATCATGTTAAAAGATAGAGTTTCTGAGGAGAAGGAAAGATGGCGGAGGAGTAGGGGACCCTGTTTCAGCTGGTCCCCGGAATTGAGCTGGATATCTACCAGACCACTCTGAGCACCCATGAAACCAGCCTGAGATGTAAGAAGATCTGGATCTCTACAAGCAGAATATCGCAGGTGGTTGGTTTTGAGGTACGAAGCAGGGAGCCCTGATTCCACGGGCAGATATCGGAGGATAAACGGCAGCAGGAGGGTGCCTGGCCGTGGGGATCCGACACCGCCGGTGAGCAACAGCCTCGTGAGCTGGGGACGGGGCACAGACTCGCAGACTGGTGGGAGGGGAAGGACTTTAGGGCAGCCCCCTGGGCGAAAATGTGGAGCAGCAGGGTCGCGTGTGCGAACTGGGAGTGGCTGATGGTTTTAGAAGCACAAAGGGCAGAGACGTGCTCCCACCTGGAGGCAGGACTGGGGGCGCTGCGGAGGGGCGAACAACCCCGGCCACTGCAGTTTATAGCAGGACGGACAGAAACGGAGACGGTGTGGCCTGGAGAGCTCAATGAAGAACAGACTGCGGTCTCTCTGCTCTGAGGCAGAGGGTTGGAAATGGTCTCTTCTGCTCTGACTCACAGAAGAGACAAGGAAAGCCGCCAGAGAACAAAAGCCCCAAAAACTGATTTCCGCTGAGCCCATCCTCTGCCACAGGGGGGCAGGGCAACTCCCCCCAAACAGGGTTGCCTGAGTAACAGCGCGGCAGGCCCCTCCCACAGAAGACAGGCTGGGAAAACAAGAGGCCAGCAACCCTAAGGTCCCAAGAAAACAGGTGCATCTTGCTTGGGTTCTGGTCAATAATTTGGACTCTATACATTCCCTCAAACACCCATCAACAGAATGACTAGGAGGAGGAGCCCCCAAAATAGAAAAGACTCAGAGTTTATGACTTATGCTGCAGATTTACAAATGGATGCAGATATAACCAAGATGTCAGAGATGGAATTCAGGCTAGCAATTGTGAAGACAATGGCTAGAATGGAGAAATCAATTAATGGCAACATAGAGTCTCTAAGGGCAGAAATGAAAAGTGAATTGGCAGAACTTAAAAATGCTATCAATGAGATCCAATCCAATCTAGATAATCTAATAGCTAGGGTAAAGGAGGCAGAAGAACAAATAAGCGACCTGGAAGACAATATAATAGATAAAAAGGGAAAAGAGGAGGCCAGGGAAAAACAACTCAGAATCCATGAAAATAGAATCAGAGAAATAAGTGACACCATGAAGCGTTCCAATGTCAGAATAATTGGAATCCCGGAGGGAGTGGAGAGAGAGAGAGGGCTAGAAGATGTATTTGAGCAAATCGTAGCTGAGAACTTCCCTAATCTGGGGAATGAAACAAACATTCAAGTCCTAGAGGCACAGAGGACCCCTCCCAAGATCAAGGAAAACAGGCCAACACCCCGGCATGTAATAGTAAAACCTGCAAATCTTAGAACCAAGGAAACCATCTTAAGGGCAGTTAGGGGGAAGAGATTCCTTACGTACAGAGGGAGGAACATCAGAATAACGTCAGACCTATCCACAGAGACCTGGCAAGCCAGAAAGGCCTGGCAAGACATATTCAGGGTACTAAATGAGAAGAACATGCAGCCAAGAATACTTTATCCGGCAAGGCTTTCATTTAGAATGGATGGAGAGATGCAGAGCTTCCATGACCGGCAGAAACTGAAAGAATATGTGACCACTAAGCCAGCCCTGCAAGAAATATTAAGGGGGGTTCTATAAAAGGAGAAAGACCCCAAGAGTGATCTACAACAGAAATTTACAGGGACAATCTATAAAAACAACGTCTTCACAGGCAACATGATGACAATTAATTCATATCTTTCAATAATCACTCTCAACGTGAATGGCCTAAATGCTCCCATAAAACGGCACAGGGTTGCAGATTGGATAAAAAGACAGGACCCATCCATATGCTGTCTACAAGAGACTCATTTTGAACCTAAAGATACATCCAGACTGAAAGTGAAGGGATGGAGATCCATCTTCCAGGTCAGCGGACCTCAAAAGAAAGCTGGGGTAGCAATTCTTGTATCAGACAAATTAGATTTTAAACTAAAGTCTGTAATAAGAGACACAGAAGGACACTATATCATTCTTAAAGGGTCTACCCAACAGGAAGATCTAACAATTGTAAATATCTATGCCCCCAACATGGGAGCAGCCATCTACATAAGCCAACTGTTAACCAAAATAAAGAGTCATATTGATAACAATACGTTAATTGTAGGAGACCTCAATACTCCACTCTCAGCAATGGACAGATCATCTAAGCAGAAAATCAACAAGGAAACAAGAGCTTTGAATGATACATTGGACCAGATGGACCTCATAGATATTTAGAGAACATTCCACCTTAAAACAACAGAATACTCATTCTTCTCGAGCGCACATGGAACTTTCTCCAGAATAGACCACATACTGGGTCACAAATCAGGTCTCAACCGATACCAAAAGATTGAGATTATTCCCTGCATATTCTCAGACCACAATGTTTTAAAACTGGAACTCAATCACAAGAAAAAATTTGGCAGAAATTCAAACACTTGGAAGCTAAAGACCACTCTGCTCAAGAATGTTTGGGTCAACCAGGAAATCAAAGAGGAACTTAAACAATTCATGGAAATCAATGAGAATGAAAACACATTGGTCCAAAGCCTATGGGATACTGCAAAGGCAGTCCTAAGGGGGAAATACATAGCCATCCAAGCCTCACTCAAAAAAATAGAAAAATCCAGAAATCACCAACTAACTCTACACCTTAAAGAACTAGAGAAAAAGCAACAAATGATGCCTAAGCCACGCATTAGAAGAGAAATAATTAAAATTAGAGCAGAAATCATTGAATTAGAAACCAGAAACACAGTAGATCAGATCAACAAAACTAGAAGTTGGTTCTTTGAAAGAATTAATAAGATCGATAAACCACTGGCCAGACTTATCCCAAAGAAGAGAGAAAGGATCCAAATTAATAAAATTATGAATGAAAGGGGAGAGATCACAACTAACACCAAGGAAATAGAAACAATTATTAGAAATTATTATCAACAACTATATGCCAATAAACTGAGCAATCTGGATGAAATGGAGGCCTTCCTGGAAACCTATAAACTGCCAAGACTGAAACAGGAAGAAATTGACAACCTGAATGGGTCAATAACCAGTGACGAGATTGAAGCAGTGATCAAAAACTTCCCAAAAAACAAGAGTCCAGGGCCTGATGGATTCCCTGGGGAGTTCTACCAAACATTCAAAGAAGAAATAATACCTATTTTACTGAAGCTGTTTCAAAAAATAGAAACAGAAGGAAAACTTCCAAACTCATTCTATGAGGCCAGCATTACCTTAATCTCCAAACCAGGCAAAGACCCCATCAAAAAGGAGAATTTCAGACCGATATCCCTGATGATTATGGATTCCAAAATCCTCAACAAAATCCTAGCTAATAGGATCCAACAATACATTAAAAGGATCATCCACCATGACCAAGTGGGATTTATCCCCAGGATGCAAGGGTGGTTCAACATTCGCAAATCAATCAGGATGACAGAACACATTAATAAGAGGAGGGAGAAGAACCATATGGTCCTCTCAATTGATGCAGAAAAAGCATTTGACAAAATATAACATCCTTTCCTGATTAAAACTCTCCAGAGTATAGGGATAGAGGGAACATTCCTCAAGTTCATAAAATCCATCTATGAAAAACCCACAGCGAATATCATCCTCAATGGGGAAAAGCTGAGAGCCTTTCCCTTAAGAGCAGGAACACGTCAAGGGTGCCCACTCTCGCCACTATTGTTCAACATAGTACTAGAAGTCCTAGCAACAGCAATCAGACAACAAAAAGAAATAAAAGGTATTCAAATTGGCAAAGAAGAAGTCAAACTCTCTCTTTTTGCAGACGACATGATACTTTATGTGGAAAACCCAAAAGACTTCACCCCCAAATTACTAGAACTCATACAACAATTCAGTAATGTGGCACGATACAAAATCAATGCACAGAAATCAGTTGCTTTCTTATACACTAACAACGCAACTGTAGAAAGAGAAATTAGAGAAACGATTCCATTTACAATAGCACCAAAAACCATAAGATTCCTCGGAATAAACCTAACCAAAGACGTAAAGGATCTATACTCTAGGAACTACAAAACACTCATGAAAGAAATTGAAGAAGACACAAAAAGATGGAAAAATATTCCATGCTCATGGATCAGAAGAATAAACATTGTTAAAATGTCTATGCTACCCAGAGCAATCTATACCTTCAATGCCATCCCGATCAAAATTCCAATGACATTTTTCAAAGTACTGGAACAAACAATTCTAAAATTTGTATGGAATCAGAAAAGACCCCGAATCACCAAGGAAATATCGAAAAAGAAAAACAAAGCTTGGGGCATCACGTGGCCCGATTTCAAGCTATATTACAAAGCAGTGATCACCAAGACAGCATGGTACCGGCACAAAAACAGACATATAGACCAAGGGAACAGAATAGAGAACCCAGATATGGACCTCAACTCTATGGTCAAATAATCTTTGACAAAGCAGGAAAAAACATGCAATGGAAAAAAGACAGTCTCTTCAATAAATGGTACTGGGAAAATTGGACAGCCACATGCAGAAGAATGAAACTCGACCATTCTCTAACACCATTCACAAAGATAAACTCAAAGTGGATGAAAGACCTCAATGTGAGACAGGAATCCATCAAAATCCTAGAGGAGAACACAGGCAGTAACCTCTTTGACATCGGCCACAGCAACTTTTTTCAAGATACATCTCCAAAAGCTAGTGAAACAAAAGCAAAAATGAACTTTTGGGACTTCATCAAGATAAAAAGCTTCTGCACAGCAAAGGAAACAGTCAACAAAACAAAGAGGCAACCCACAGAATGGGAGAAGATATTTGCAAATGACACTACAGATAAAGAGCTGGTATCCAAGATCTATAAAGAACTTCTCAAACTCAACACCCAAAAAACAAATAATCAAGTCAAAAAGTGGGCTGAAGAGATGAAAAGACACTTCTCTGAAGAAGACATACAAATGGCTAACAGACACATGAAAAAATGTTCACCATCATTAGCCATCAGGGAAATACAAATCAAAACCACATTGAGATACCACCTTACACCAGTTAGAATGGCCAAAATGGACAGGGAAAGAAACAACAAATGTTGGAGAGGTTGTGGAGAAAGGGGAATCCTCTTACACTGTTGGTGGGAATGCAAGTTAGCACAGCCACTTTGGAAAACAGTGTGGAGGTTCCTCAAAAATTTAAAAATAGAGCTACCCTATGACCCAGCAATTGCACTACTGGGTATTTACCCCAAAGACACAGATGTAGTGAAAAGAAGGGCCATATGCACCCCAATGTTCATAGCAGCAATGTCCGCAATAGCCAAACTGTGGAAAGAGCCGAGATGTCCTTCAACAGATGAATGGATAAAGAAGATGTGGTCTGTATATACAATGGAATATTACTCAGCCATCAGAAAGGATGAATACCCAACTTTTACATCAACATGGATGGGACTGGAGGAGATTATGCTAAGTGAAATAAGTCAAGCAGAGAAAGTCAATTACCATATGGTTTCACTTATTTGTGGAATATAAGGAATAGCATGGAGGACATTAAGAGAAGGAAGGGAAAAATGAGGGGGGGGTGAATTGGAGGGAGAGATGAACCATGAGAGACTATGGACTCTGAGAAACAAACAGGGTTTGAGGGGGGGATTGGTTAGTCCAGTGATGGGTATTAAGGAGGGTACGTACTGCATGGAGCACTGGGTGTTATACAAAAACAATGGATTGTGGATCACCAAATCAAAAACTAATAATGTACTGTATGGTGACTAACATAACATAATAAAATTTTTTAAAAAGAAAAAGAAAAAATAAAAAAAGAGAGAAAATAAAAATAAATAAAATTGAAAAAAAAAAGTTTCTTAAGAAGCCTGTGAAAAGTCAAATAGTAATCTGTAAGACTTTTTCAGTTACTTCTTTTACAACTAAAATCTAATTAATTAATCCTTTCTTTAAACAACTAGCCCCCAGCCTAATAACATTGGCACCTATTTTAATTATAAACCCTGAATGCATTTCCTCTTTTAATTACACTTTTTAAATTCCCAATTGAAGCTGGAAAGCTTCAAATTAACTTTGAGAACACAAAATTTAAAGTCACAATCTATTGAAAGACAATTCACACACACTTTTCTCTTATGAAAGCTGGTTAATAAAAATGAAGTTTGGAATTCACCTGTAAAAATCAATTTCAGCCTGTTTGCTTTGGTGAAAGCAATGAGCATTAAAAACTCTTTCTTGTAAAACAAAAACAAAAACAAACAACAACAAAACAAAAACAAAAAACAAACACCTAAAAACCAAAAAGCAACTTTCTCTTGTTTCTCATTCTAACCAATTGGTTTCTCTTTCCTTCTCATTTTCCTGGACTCTAAATGTGGATGACCCTAAGGCTCAAGTCCTCTGACTTCTATTTTTCTCTCTCTGCTCCAGCTGATTTCATCCAGTCCCATGATTTTAAATCTCTATGCTAATGCTCCCAAAATTTACTAGGATCCATCTCCACCAGGGAGACCACTTTTCACTCCTTTCACCAATATTACCCCAACCATTTTCATGTCTAACTCAGATTATTTGCAAAGACCTTCTAACTGGTTTCCCTATTTATACCCATGTTCATCCACAGTCTATTCTCCAAACAGCAAGCAAAGTGGTCCTTTGAAAAGTAATTCCTATCCTGTCACTCCTCTGCTCAAAACTCTATAAGGTTTCCCATCTTACTTAGAGTAAACTCCTGTTCCTCACCAAGCCCCATGAAGTCTGATATGACCGTACCTCCTGAGTCCCACCATCTGCTCCTCCTCTCTGTTTTACCAGCCTCACTTGGCCTCCTTGGTTTTCCTCAACCACATTTTGCAGGCATCCCCCTCAGGGCCTTTGCCCTTGCACTTCCTCCTAGTTGGAAGGTTGGTCCCTCAAATCTTTCACCCTCAAAACTCCCTTATAAGGGATACTTCAAGCCACTTTGAATAAAACTCACTGCTTTGATCACTCTCTGTCCCCTCAGCTCAGCTTGACTGTCCCTCATAGTACATCATCACCTGACATATATTTATGTGCTTAATATGTTTATTGTTTGTCTTCTTCACTGGACTGTCCAATAGTAACATGCTCCCAAAAGGGCAATAACTCCATTTATCTTTTTACTGGTCTATCCGCATGGCTAAAATAGTGCCTGTTATTCAGTAAGCATTCAATAAAATATTTAAATGAGTTAAAATATAATTTTAATAACAAAATGCAAATCATTTACAATAGGGAAAGGCTGTTGGCTGAGAAGCAAGCAAGAAAACACTGTTCATTTAACCCAGGTAAGAAGATGAGTTAGTTCATGCCAAAAAAATGAGCAAAAAAAACAACTCTTTTCTCTCTAGATAGAGAGATATAGAAAGAGATAGAGATAGGGATGTATATACACACACACACACAAATGTATCCTATTGCCTACTGAATGTCCCTCTTAGGCTTATTTCTAGATAACCTCACACTTACCCTGGTACAACAAATTATAATGCTGTATCAGTCATACTGAGAATTAAGCAGTGACATTTTAGGGGAGTACACTGAAGTAATGAATGCATTGTATGTATATTTAATGTCAGCTTCTACAAGTAATTTCAAGACTGATAGCCTATTCCCCAGCTTCTTCTAGGCCTTCCAAATTTGAATCCCACCAGTATGTACTGTCTGTCAGTCTCACTCCTCACGCATACCGTCTTCCCCAGGAAACTGACTTGTTACCTCCTATTTCCTTTATTGCTAGATCACAAGGGTCCAAGCGTCTGCAAGATCGCTCAGTGATTCTCATGAAACCCAAAACAAGAAAATAAGAGCTCACTCTGATTTAAATATAAATGCCAGTATTCATTTGCAAGGATGTTTCAATGATCTCATTTACAAATACAATTTGAACAATGCATGTTTAACATTCTGGCATAAAGTATATAAATCAAAATATCCAAATAAAACATGAGAAGAGACTGTTTTGACTAACAACATTAACCAGAAATTATCAGATTAGATGCCAAAGTCTAAGAGATAGTGGCTGATGTGTCCCCTGAGACCATCTGTAACATAGAGATCATAAAAATTGACTCCAATGCCGTACTCCCCCACATGACACCCTTCCCTTCCAGACGAATGAAACCTGGTAAGAGCCTATGGTTAGCTATAACAAGGCTTAACAAAGAGGTTTGCAGTACCAGAGACTTGTAAATACACTTTTGTGGAAGCATTCCCTAAATTTGAAGAATGTAGCCTTCAAAAAGGTAAAGAAATGGCTTTGAATCAGAGCAGCAGATTTACCTTCACTTTTCCAGGAGGCTTACAGCCAGAGGGTATCGAGGAAGGCATGTTTTTTCCATAAAAAATCTGGGCTATCTCATAAAAGGCTTCAGAAAAAAATCTTAAATCTGTAAGGACCTGAATCTTTAAAGGAAAGAAAAAAAAATGAGATTTTAATTAAATAATTTGTTTTACTTACAAAATAAAAATTTTAGAGAAAAATCATCAACTTTCTGAGATCCAAAATTTCTACTTAATATAATTGGTAATGCCTTATAAATTAATGCTTGGTAAACACAGTGGATGGAGAAATATGTGTTTGTGTATAAGCTAGTTTACATGTGCAATGGACCAGGAAGCTAATAAACAACAGCAGGCAACTGTTCAAAACAATGGACATTTGTCAGATGTGTCTTACTTCATCAGAGCAAACACAAAAATATGACAGGCATAGAAGAGTTAAAAAAAATAATTGAATTTATTTTTTGTTCCCATGGTGAACTATGGTTTAAAAGAAAAACAAAACAAAAACACTCCTGATGTTCTCTAATACTCTGAGGAAAGTCAAACCAACCAGATGAACTCTATAATGTATCAACATAGAGACAACTATTCGTTTTGTCATCCATAATTAATGCCACTGTCAGTTTTAAAGACATATCCTTAAAGTTAATCAGTTGGTAACTATAAATTGTACATGGCTTATTTTGAATATTATCCAGCAGGACTTTCAATCAGGAAATTATGGGAAGAAAAGTTCCAGAACAAAAATCATTCATTCAACATGTTTATTGGGCACTTCCACCAAGCCCTCTTGGGTGTTACAATCCTTCCCAGACGTGTATTGAGCTAATTTAAGTGATACATGAAGATATACACAGTATTACAAGGGATAAAGGCTACTGACAAAAATGCTACTTTCAGAGCTCCAGTCAAGAAGGACTTCTCTGAGAAGACATTCAAGAGAAAATTGGGGAATGACATGAAAGAGAGACATGTGAAAATCTGCTGAGAGGTCTCAAGTACAAAGGTCATGTGGCCTTTATATATATATATATAATATATATAATACAGACACATACACTTATTATCTCTTTTCCTTTAAGTACTACCATAGGAATCTTAAGAGCACATAATTTTTTTTAATTTTATTTTATTATGTTATGTTAGTTATCATACATTACATCATTAGTTTTTGATGTAGTACTCCATGATTCATTGTTTGCGTATAACACCCAGTGCTCTGTGCAATAAAGAGCATATAAATTTTAAAGAAATAAAAAGAAGGTAAGTTGGGAGGAAATAGGATGTGACGATAGCATGAAAATAAAGCATAAAAGGTTAGGAGAATATTTGCAATGGGGAAGAGAAAACTCTTGCTTGTCTACTGAGTTGCACACTTTGGTTCTTGCCTAAAATACCTTGGGCTCTAATCTCCCCAGTGCCATATAATATCCAAGTAGGCATTAGTGGAGCTCTTTTAGACTTCTAGATGAACACTTTCTCATTATCACTTGGAGGAAATGCTGTTTGAGGTTTGTCTCCGCTGATCTTGGCTGTGAGACACCTCTACACGAACTACCTGTAACCTCTAAGGCTACCTCTGTTTCCGTTTATCCTACTAATCTGGCCATTTGAAAAAGCAATGGTGATAACAATGAACATGTATTTTCAGAAATGACCAACAGTGTGAACATAAACAAGCCAGATGGATAAAAGGACTACCCTTAAATCAACCCTTCACTTGCACAAATACAGAACCATCAGTGGCCTTCCCAGGAATGCTGGATATGTTGAGACTAATAAATCTTTCAAGATGTTGGCAGTTCTAAAGTGAAGCCAGACCGGCTGATCATAAAGAGGTCTTAAAGCTTTCCCTGAAAGACACTAGTGCACAACAGAAACTTAACAGTATGATCTATTGCTGTTTGACTTGTCAGAAAGCATTGTTTGCTGTTTCCTGACTATGACTTTTCTCTCTTCCCACTCACTGACCCCGGTTTACTTCAGAAAGGTCAGGCAAACTCTACTCAAACAGGCTCTCATTTCTCCCTCTGCGTGGTGCATCGGTTGCCCTTTTTCATTGCTTCTGTCAAAACCCTGGTTGGGTGTTTCTGTTCTACTGTTGCCAATAAGATGCCACTTCCGACCCACTCTGCTCCTGACACTGTTGCCACGATACATCTGATCGTGTCCTTCTTCTGACCAAGATTCTGCAATTCATCCCACCTCTCAACCCAAGGCTGCAGACTAGAGTCCACAGTTCTTCACGGGCTTTTAAGCTACCCTAGTACAAAAAGTTGCCAAGTGCTAACAATCCAATAAAACACGGTCATTTAATCAAAAACTTTGTTCCAGATTATATCTTTTAGTGCCTCTCTGGATCTCCTTCTGACACGTTACTAATGGTCACTGCAACCCTTCCTTGCTTCTCCAGCCTCTAAATGACAGACCAGAACAAAACAGCTACCCAATTTTGATTCCATAGTCTCCTCATTTCTCTCACTGTTCAGCCTCCACATTATGCCTTAGTTTGGAATTCAAGACTGGGCCCCGCTGCTCATGGACATCATGGACCACAATATGGATCTCTGGTATTCTCATATTATGTTCTCCCTCCTCAAAACCTCCTCTCTGGCTTCACTGAACCACCCCTGCCCCCTTAACAAGTCCATACTGTCTCATCTCTATATGCTTCACACTATTACCTGCCAAGAATGTTCCTTTCTTCCTCTCTCCTGCTCAGTTAGTTCTGCTTTCTTCACTAAATCTTACCTACTTAGTAAAACCAAGAGACCCAAGGCCATTTTCCCTCTTTCAAACTCCAGGAGACAATGCTCATGATACTCATTTGGAAATGATCAAGGGATAGATGCACGTGTTATTGTCTTATATATATGTCCTGTCTTTCTTCCCTTATTTTCACTTCCTTATAAGCAAGGACCATGGGTTATATTTCTTTGATTAGTTACGAACATGGTGTTTTTACATAGGAGATACTCAATAAATGTTGTTTCAGAGGTAAAGCAATAAATATTTACCAAGGATCTTCTAGATGAGTTCCCACTAAACACTATGGAAATTGTGGACAGTAGGCACTTGATAAGTGTCTATAGATTTTAAAATCAATTCAATAATTAATTACCGAGTATCGATATATGAATTTATTATTTAAGATACAATCAATAGGGGACTAAAAGATGAATAAGATTCAGGCCCTAACCTCGGGAATTTTGCAATCTTGAACAGAACACTGTTTTTAAAAAAGAGAGAGGGAAGTTATACGCAGTTTATAAAAAAGTGTTAATGGAAATCAAAAAGCAGGAGAACTCTTAAGAGTTCAGGAAGTCAGAAAGAGTGATCCAGAAATTTTCATGGCTGACAAAAAGTTATTTATTCCTGAGTTAAAATATATCCTCTTAATAGCACCAGAATTCCTCTTAGGGAAGGTACTGTTTTTATTTAGAAATAGAATGTTATGGACTCTTTGGGTCTGAAATAATAGGCCCAAGGGCAGGGTCCAGATGGAGAGAGGAGTTCAAAGGGAAGTCTAATTTTCCCTCATGAGAAAATAGGAAAGATTTGGGGAAGGGTATCTACAAAATAGGATAAGGAGGGTTAAGCCAGTGGTGTGATGGAGCCCACTTACTCCCAATTGCAAGAGGAGATCGTCCATATCTTGTCCCAATTCCACATTCAGTAATGCCCAGTTGATACGCTGAAGTCAGCTATAGTGGGAATATCTGCACCATGGAAACTGAAAATGCTACAAACAGGGCTTTTTTTTTTTAGAGTGAGGTGTGAAACACTTATCAGCACACAGCTGATTAAGCCATGGGGTGGGAGGCAAAAGCATGAGATGTTGGCTAAGAAATATTTTAAACCCAGAGATGCCAAATAGTCTATTTTAAATTGTTTGCTTTTCCTCAACTTAAATTTTCCTGTGTTTCAAATTTTCACTAAATCCAGTATGAAAATAAAGGCCTTAGGTGAATGTGTTGTGTATGTTTATGTGTAAGTGAGTGAGTGAGTGTGTGTGTGTGTGTGTGTGTAGAATGTGGATTAGGACTGAACTCCATATTCAAGATGAGGAGGTGCAGAACAGGGAGCAAATCTGCTGGATGTTGAGATGATCCACGTGCAAAAGGAATTCAACAGAAGTGAGAGACTGTGACAATAGCTAACTAGGAAAAGGGCAGAGAAAATGAGGTGCTTGAGGTTCCCAGTCCACATGGGGTTCAAGCCAACTGTACATGGATCTTGAAGACAGAGAGCCTCACCTGACTTCTAGGTTACAGAATTAGTTATAATTTAGCATCTGTGTGTTTTGTCACTTCAATTGCCTGTACAATGAAAACTTCTCACATATTATGATATACATAAAGACCCTTAGCAAAAAGTTCACAGGAACTTCAGAAAACAGACTCATTAGTTTCCACCAGGAAACCAACATTCCAGAAGAGGTGATTTCCAGGCTGACTGATGTTGAACGAGCCTTGTTCCCACATGTCACTGTTCCTCACTTTACTGTGGCCCAAGCATAAAACGAGCTAACGATTCTAACTAGCTCCCTCTCATACTTTATTATAATAATGGGCATGTTTTTTTAATATCAGCACAACACCATATTATTATCAGCTTATTATTATGAGTATTAGAACCAAATTAATTTATGACAGTATCTTTACAGTTCAAGAATATCAAACATCTTAAAAGTTTGTCACATACCTTGAGGATCCTTGCTTCTAGATTTCTGACGAGGTCTTGGCAAATTCCAGACACAAAATATTCATACAATGCAAGGAGAGGCAGAATCTACCAATGCGAAAAACATTTTTTTAATCTAAAACATGTTTTATCAAGTTAATAACCTAATAATAAAATGTAGCCAAATATTAATGTGGGAGATGTTACATAAAACAGCAATTGATTCTGCCATGCTAAGAGACTATACTGTTTAGCTAAGTGAAATGATCTGCCTAGCATATGCTTCGTAATTTTATGAGAACTTAAAAGTGCCATCAGGGGGACTTGTAGATGCCACCTGGTACCCCACACCTAGGTTTCAAATCCCTTCAAGCATGGAAGAGTGAAAATCCAATCAATTATCTTCCTTGAAAAAAATTAAACATATATGTATGAATCACTGAGGCCTATAGAAACATTCTAGCAAATGAGCTATCAAATAACTGCAAAATTTAAAGCAAAGGAACTCCCATCCATGTCACCTACTCAGTCATGGAAGCTGCTATTTGTTTTCAACTGGAATATCTCTATCAGCAAAAGAATATTTAGAACATGCTCATTATGTATCAGGCACTGTTGAATGACAACAAAATCTAATGAGTCCTTGCTTTCACAGAGCACATATTCTATTGATGACCCAAGCTTACTCTTCACATAGTATTTTTATTTTCCTAAAATTAACCCCCAAAGTTCAAATCCTCTTGAAATCTCATGGATATGGGTGAAGGCATACAAACTATCCATACTGCGGTTGATCCAACCACTATCCGGCCAGAGTCAGGTGTTGAGGGGATAGGTGTTTGCCTAGAATTCTGAACAGTTTCTGATCTCAACTGAAAACCCAATTTTGGTTCCTACAACTGGGCCCTTCTCTACTAAAGGGAGATAGAGCAAGGAAGAGTATTGGGATCCCCATTATTTAGTAAACGATTTCCCATGATTCCACAGCAATGGGTCTTCCAGCAAGTTCTGTATGTGAGAGCAGTCTCCTTACCCACTGGGCTTCTTCTGGAGGGTAGTGGGATACAAAATGGAAACTGTTTACATCTTGCAAGTTCAGCTAAGGAACCTCTAATTGTCAGTCAACTGGCAGCTACTAATAGCAACAGCTTTTTAAACGGTTTAGAACTGGTCTTAAACGATTTCAAATATAGTACATTTTTCTACAATTATGCACTACAACATAACACAATATCTTTTTCTACAGTTAATGCAGCACAAAACAATAAGAGTTGGCTATTACCTTTGAGATTGTTTCTTTTCTTTAGTGAGAAATAAAAACACACCACTTTATTGCTGCCAATTGCTCAATTATTCAGAAAAATGTTCTCAATTTCTTAAGCTTCAGAGAAAAAAAGTCTCATTTCTTTTCCAGTGCAGTGATATGTATTATATATGAATATGACTAGGCAGCTAAAGGTTACCCAGAGGATAGAACTATTTTCTAAATCCAGAAATGAATCCCCTTAACAATGAGAGAAGTACCATTTTGTTATCTTTTTCTAATAAAAAATTTCTTGCCAAATATGCCAAGTGTTAAAAGCATTTATCAATCTCTTCACTTTAACACATGGCTTTATAATTTAACAACTCATATCAGGGGACAATAAATCTTTTAAATATAAAGAGAGAGTGAATTTAGAACAACAGAAAAGAAAATAATATATGAGGGGAAAAAGAAAGTAGGTATGAAAATTATGGGAAAAAAGGAAAGAACCAAAAAAAGAAAGAATAGGTATTAAGAAGCAAATATGGTGGGGGAGAGATACAAATGTAGAAGAAATAACATATAGGAAGAAAATAGGAAAACAGGAAATAAATAGGAAAAATAAAATAAAGGAGAAAAATATAAAATGACCAGAACATACTGATTTATTTTTTAAAAGCAACCAACTTCAAATTTATGACATATACTATGATTTATTTCCCCAAAGGAAGAGAATTGTATGAGGTTTTGAATGTCCTTGGATATTAAGAAGTATTTGTCTTTCATTTCACAGTTTGAATCTGTTGTTCACTTAGAACAGGGAGAAGACAAGAGACCAAAGATCAATTTATCTCCACAAAGAAATACTCTCATAGTTTGGGTACTGATATGGCCTGCACGAGTTAATGCAGTGAGTTACATGTGCACTAGGTTCCTCTGTTTGAGACCAGGGAAATATTCTAATCAATTTCCCCAATTGTCTTAAGAAGGAAGAAAAGAGATAAAGTAATAGAGTAAAAAGGGAACAAAATCAAACAGACATTGACTTTGTATCCAAAATGCAGTGCAAATAACAATGTCAAAGAAGGAATATTAATTAATATATTTTATTTTGCAGTACAGGTAAGAATCCTGAATCTAGAGTTTAAGAGTTAAACAAGACCAGCCAAGAGAACATTAGCAAAATTTGAAAGGTTTAAGGTAAGGCAAAAATACCACAGTGAATTAAAATTTGTTGATTTTACAAATAACTTACTATTAGATTTTGCTTAGCATAGTGTAGTTCACGTATAATGTAATACAGACATGCGACTACAGAGCAAATGTCAGCCCTGTATCTGTCTGAGAAGAGCTCGATGCCTGGGAGAAGCTGACTGATTTCATACTGAGCATAGCAATGTTCAGCTTTGGGGTGTGGAAGTGTGGTTCTAAGCAAACCCTGAAAATGAAAACAGGTGAAATGAAGAGCTATAAATTGTATTTGCAACACTGAAACAAAAAGATAAGTATACGTATTACTTCCTAAAGTGCTTAGCATAAGCCTAGCACACTGTACCTTGTAATAAACGGTACTTATCATTAACATTATCATCATTATAGTTCCAAATGCTTCCATCATCACTCAAGATGGGCTTTTTAAATTCCATGGTAGTTGGATACTTATTATTTTCAGATGAAATTATCATTATATTATCATTTGTTGGAGTCAATTTTGTGTTGGACACTATTGGTAAATTCTTTATAAACACTACCTCATTTAATCCTCATTTAACCTACCTCTAGAAGGAAGGATTATTACCTCACAAATGATATAATTGAGGCTTAAACAATTAACTTATATGAGGTCACAGAGCTAATGGTGGAAGAAAGAAGATTCGAAGTCACATCTGTTTAAATAAAAAAAAAAAATCTATGTTCTTTCCACTATACCAACCTATAAGTTAACAAATGATTTCAGAGATAAAAGATGATTTCAGAAGTCTAAATCAAGCAGAGTTAATTCTGAATTTTTAACTGAATTAACTAAAAAGATGAGTTGTTTAATTCTGCCAATATTTCTTAGGTAATTTATATGACCAACACTGTATTCGATGTTGGGAAACAAAATTGACACACAAAATCAAATTTTACATTTAGGAGTGTTTCTGATGTTATCCTAAATAATTAACATTAACTGATGACATGTAATACAAAATTATTTTAATGTATATATCAGAAAAGAATTTTAATCAGATTGTTCATTAAAGTTATAAAGTACCTACTCTAAAATACTATGTAGCACTTGTTTAAATTTTTAATTTTACAAATCTGCTTTAAAATCATAAAAAAATTAAGATTTTTAAAATAAATCTTACCAGCTTTTATTTTAGGTGCAGTATTACTAAAAAATTATGCCCACAGTAAGCAAAAATTTAATTTTTTAAATTGCTTATTTTCTAAAACAACAGCATTATCTTCAAGAACAAGGAGTATCAGACAGTAAAGAATGCAATACAAGGAGTCAGTATCAGATTATTGTGCCCTTTGCACTCTTGCCTCCTCCACCTCCTCTCTTTAAAGCACAGGCAAGAGGTGCATGGAGCATAAGAAAACTGAAAAGTCTGGCCTTACATCCAGACAAGGCTTTCCAGAGAGCTTATCTATCTAGATTTCATAAGCTATCAGAGGCCTCTGATACACAGAACAAGCATGTCCACTCTTCAAGGTAAATAGAACCTTTAGTAGAGTGCAAAGGCCCCTGGCTACCTCCCTGTATCTCAAAATATCTTATATTTCAGATAAAAGCTCTTTTCTTCTTCAATGAAGTCAAACCAAAATTCTAAGAGCTGCCAACACTCTCTACTTCTGTAGTCTTCAACTTATTTCTTGCTTTCATTATATGGTATACTTCACATTGTGCAATCAAGCAAAACTTTATTTAGAGATGAGATAACCTAAGGCCACCATTTGGAGTTAAACAGACTGGCTTCACAGCTCATTAGCAACACAGTCTTACTAATGATGAGAGACTCAGTTTCCTTATCTGCAAACCTCCTTCCGGAGTCTAAAGGAGAAAGAGATTCTGCTGAATAGTCAAGGTAAAAATGCCACCTTCAGCTAGTGAAGGAAAGATGGACTCATGATATCTCATCAAGGTCCGTGCTATCTTCCTACCTATGAGTTTTTTGACTACGATAAACCACTGCACTTTTTTTTTTCTGACTGAATGGTCACTACTGTCAGAAGATACACATAAAGTGTTACCTGAAAGAGTAATGCAGACAAAATGCAACAATTGGTTCTCTTGTCAACCTCCGAGATCATAATAAATCTAAATAAGTATAACAAAAAAGAAATGGATTCATGGACAATTTTCCAATAATACTTTTATATAAATACATCTATATACATACATACATATATAAATACATACATATAAACACTCATAGATTTTCCAAAATTAAAATAGACTTTGTGATTCTAAAAGTGCTACATGCTTATATAAGATCTAGAACACACAAAAAACATAAAACACAAAATGAAATATCACCGATAAGCCTACCACCTAAACATGATTACTGGTAACATTTTGGCTAATTTCCCTCTAGATTTTTTTCCATATATAGAAAATTTTTAATTTTCTCTACATATCAAGATACTATGCATGTTTTTGCCCACCACACCCTATAGATAAGGGAAAAATGTACCTGGAAAGGTGAAAGAAAACTGTACCTCTACTCCTTCCATACTTTTTAAATTTCTCACATTACTCAAGTCTTTAAGATATCTGTCAGTGCTAACTAGGTATAAGACACTGTTCCATTGATCTGTGTGTCTGTTTTTGTGCCAGTACCAAACTGTCTCGCTGATGACAGCTTTGTAATCGAGCTTGAAGTCCGGCATTGTGATGCCACTAGGTTTGGTTTTCTTTTTCAACATTCCTTTGGCTATTCGGGGTCTTTTCTGGTTCCATACAAATTTTAGGATTATTTGTTCCAGCTCTATGAAAAAAGCTGGTGATATTTTGATAGGGATTACAATGAATGTATAGATTGCCCTAGGTAGCATAGACATTTTAACAATATATGTGCTTCCAATTCATCAGCATGGAATGTTTTTTCCATTTCTTTGTGTCTTCCTCAATTTCTTTCATGAGTATTCTAGTTTCTGAGTACAGATCTTATACCTCCTTGGTTAGGTTTATTCCTAGGTATCTTATGGTTTTTGATGCAATTATAAATGGGATCAACTCCTTAATTTCTCTTTCTGTCTCATTGTTAGTGTATAGAAATGCAACTGATTTCTGTGCATTGATTTTATATCCTGCCACATTGCTAAATTGCTGTATGAGTTCTAGTAATTTGGGGGTGGAGTCTTTTGGGTTTTTCACATAAAGTATCATGTCATCTGTGAAGAGTGAGTTTGACTTCTTCTTTGCCAATCTGAATGCCTTTCATTTATTTTTGTTGTCTGATTGCTGAGGCTAGGACTTCTAGTACTATGTTGAACAACAGTGGTGACAGTGGACATCCATGCCGTGTTCCTGACCTTAGGGGAAAAGCTCTCAGTTTTCCCCATTGAGAATGATATTTGCTATGGGCCTTTCATATATGGTTTTTTGATATTGAGGTATGTTCCCTCTATCCCTACACTGTGAAGAGTTTTAATCAAGAAAGGATGCTGTATTTTGTCAAATGCTTTTTCTGCATCTATTGAGAGGATCATATGGTTCTTGTCCTTTCTTCTTTTAATGTAGTGTATCACATTGATTGATTTGCAGATGTTGAACCAGTTCACCCTTGCAGCCCAGGAATAAATCCCACTTGGTCGTGGTGAATAATCCTTTTAATGTACTGTTGGATTCTACTGGCTAGTATCTTGGTGAGAATTTTGGCATCCATGTTCATTAGGGATATTGGTCTGTAATTCTCCTTTTTGGTGGGTTCTTTGTCTGGCTTTGGAATCAAGGTAATGCTGGCCTCATAGAATGAGTTGGAAGTTTTCCTTCCATTTCTATTTTTTGAAACAGCTTCAGAATAATAGGTATTAGTTCTTCTTTAAATGCTTGGTAGCACTCCCCTGGGAAGCCACCTGGCCCTGTACTCTTGTTTGATGGGAGATTTTTGATTACTGCTTCAATTTCTTTGCTGGTTATGGTTCTGTTCAGGTTTTCTATTTCTTCCTGTTTTAGTTTTGATAGTTTATACGTTTCTAGGGATGCATCCATTTCTTCCAGATTGCCTAATTTGTTGGCATATAGTTGCTCATAATATGTTCTTCTAACTGTTCGTATTTCTTCAGTGTTGGTTGTGATCTCTCCTCTTTCATTAATGATTATATTCATTTGGGCCCTTTCTCTTTTCTTTTTGATAAGTCTGGCCAGGGGTTTTCAATCTTATTAATTCTTTCGAAGAACCAACTCCTAGTTTCATTGATCTGTTCTATGTTCCTTTGGTTTCTGTTTCATTGATTTCTGTTCTAATCTTGATTAATTCTCTTCTACTGTTGGGTTTAGGCTTTATTTGCTGTTCATTCTCCAGCTCCCTTAGGTGTAAGGTTAGGTTGTGTAATTGAGACCTTCTTATTTCTTGCTACATACTTCCCTCTTAGGACTGACACACAGGTCAATAGAACAGAATAGAGACCCCAGAATGGACCTTCAACTCTGGTCAACTAATCTTTGACAAAGCAGGAAAGAATATCCAATGGAAAAAAGACAGTCTCTTCAACAAATGGTGTTGGAAAAATTGGACAGCCACATACAGAAGAATGAAACTGGACCATTTTATTACACCATACACAAAAATAGACTCAAAATGGATTAAAGACCTAATTGTGTGACAAGAATCCATCAAAGCCTAGAGGAGAACACAGGCAGCAACCTCTGTGACCTCAGCCACAGCAACCTCTTGCTAGACACATCTCCAAAGGCAAGGGAAACAAAGGTAAAAATGAACTATTGGGACTTCATCAAGATAAAAAGCTTCTGCACAGCAAAGGACACAGTCGACAAAACCAAAAGACCACTGACAGAATGGGGGAAGATACTGGCAAATGTCTTATCAGATAAAGGGCTCTTATCCAAAATCTATAAAGAACTTACCAAACTCAACACCCAAAGAACAAATAATCCAATCAAGAAATGGGCAGAAGACATGAACAGATATTTCTCCAAAGAAAACATACAAATAGCCAAAAGACACATGAAAAATGCTCCACATCACAATACAAATCAAAGCCACAGTGAGATACCACCTCACACCAGTGAGAATGGCTAAAATTAACAAGTCAGGAAATGACAGATGTTGGCAAGGATGTGGAGAAAGGGGAACCCTCCTACACTGTTGGTGGGAATGAAAGCTTGTACAGCCACTCTGGAAAACAGTAGGGAGGTTCCTCAAAAAGTTAAAAATAGAGCTACACCCTACGATCCAGCAATTGCACTAGTAGGTATTTACCCCAAAGATACAAATGTAGTGATCCAAAGGGGCGCCTGCACCCCAATGTTTATAACAGCAATGTCCACAATAGCCAAAGTATGGAAAAAGTAGAGCTGTCCATCAACAGATTAATGGATAAAGAAGATGTGGTATACACACACACACACACACACACAACGGACTACTACTCAGCCATCAAAAAAATGAAATCTTGCCATTTGCAATGACACGGATGGAACTAGAAGTTATTATGCTAAGCGAAATAAGTCAATCAGAGAAAGACAATTATCATATGATCTCACTCGTATGTGAAATTTAAGAAAAAGAACAGAGGATCATAGGGGAAGAGAGGGAAAAATAAAACAAGACAAGCTAGAAAAGACCAGGAAAGAGATTCTTCCCTAGAGCCTTCAGAGGATAGTACAACCCTCCCAAGGCACTGATTTTAGGACTTCTGACCCCCCAAGCTGTAAGATAATAAATCTGTGTTGTTTTAAGCCATAAATTTTGTGGTAATTTGTTACAGAACTAGGAAACTAATCAGTATGCATTATGACCTAAATTATGCACCCACCCAAATTCATATGTTGGAGTCCTAACCCCCAATAACATCAGAATGTGACTAAGATGGGGCCTTTAAAGAGGCAATTAGGTTATAATGAGGTTACTAGGGTGGGCCCTAATCCAACATGACTGATGTCCTTTTAAGAAGAGGAGATTAGGGGCGCCTGGGTGGCTCAATTGGTTAAGCGACTGCCTTCAGCTCAGGTCATGATCCCAGGGTCCTGGGATCGAGTCCCGCATCGGGCTCCCTGCTCTGCAGGGAGCCCGCTTCTCCCTCTCCCACTCCCCCTGCTTGTGTTCCCTCTCTCGCTGTGTCTCTCTCTGTCAAATAAATAAATAAAATCTTTAAAAAAAAAAAAAAAGAAGAGGAGATTAGGCCACAGACATGCACGGAGGGAAGACCACATAAGGACACAGCAGGAAGACAGCCATTTACAAGGAGAGGCCTCAAAAGAAACCAAATCTGCCAACACCCTTATCTAAGAATTCAAGCCTCCAGAAACTGTGAGACAATAAATTCCCTACCAACTGGTCATTTGTTATGGCAACCCTAGCAAACTAATATAGTGTGTCATGTAATTCTTGCCACCACAGTTTACAGATGAGAACATTGAGGCTCAGAGAGAATGAGCAGTGAGCCAAGGGTCCCAGAGTCAGTAGGAGATCCTCGAATTAGGCCCAGGTTGGCCTGCCTCCACACCATTATTCTTGATCCCATACCAACTGTTCATTCACTCATTCGTTCATTCCACAAGTAGTAATTAAATGCCAACTCCATGCTAGACATTCAGGATACACTGGTGAACAAGCAAAGATTTGTGCCCATGTTGAGGCCCACATCCGGGGCTGGGGGTATAGGGAGAGGAGATGGCCATAGATAACAAACATCTCAAATAAGTAAACTGTATAGTTTTTTATGATATGGACATAGCTGTCCAAGAATCCCATGTGTCTGAGGCATGGCGCTCTACATGGCACAGTGGGCACCCCACAAAGGGAAGCTCACTCCATTGCCACACTCACTGTGCTATCTTTGCTGATATGACTGCTCCTTGCAAACATCCCCAAATGCCAACTTTTGACAGAAATTCCTCACTATAATCTTTGGAACCTGGAGGTGAATAGCTGTTGGTGGCATTGGTGAGCAAGGTACCAAACTCTTTCCATGTATACAGAACATCTTCTTTTTTGAATATGTCATCAAGAGCTTGACACCAACATCTAAAAGCAGCCCTAAAAGAGAAACAAAGCATCAGCAGCATGTTTTTCAAGATCGATGTTATTAAATCTATCTTCCAAAAGAGGAAGCAAATGTACTGAAGTATTTTAATTGAAATGTTAGAGAATGAATCTGTACCATTTATTGCTCATAACTGTTTCTCTCAGGTAGCATTTGGTGAATAAAATGTAGCAATGGAATATTATCGAAGAACTAAAATTTATGAAAGACAATTTTTTCATAATACTTAAAAATGCTTTCCGACAAGCAACGAAAAAAAGTTTTCCCTTGTTCCACTGACTCCTAAAAATCTACCTTTTCTTTCCGGCAAAGACGAGAAGGCTTCCGAGTTCATGCAATGCCTGAACTTTGAGACTTCTTTGATGGCTGACTTGGAGAACATCTGTATTTTAGTCAAGTAGAAGAACAAATGTCAGTTCATAGAAAATATCTTCCTCATACTCTCAAGAATATTTAAACTGCATCATTCCTTAACTGTGTAGATAAGCAAACTGCAACTAATACTGCCTTCACAGGTCTCCTGATACATATACAGAAAGAAAGCAAATGATATTCTACCTGAACATAGTGGAGGAAGAGATTGGATCTAAGAGATAGGAAATGTGGAGAGAGTGGAATAAGAGTCAGGCAGGGGGAGGTGGTGTCCAAGAGAAATTCAGAAGAGGCATGCTAGGGAGAAAAGGCGGGTGTATATGGACATGACATGGGTGGCTGGACTATTGTTTTCTTGGGAGTGTGAAGAAGGAGATAGTGGTAGGGTTATGGAGGCATCTAAATGCCTGGTGGAAAAATGTGGACGTTATTCTATAGCAGATGGGAAGCCTCAAAGCATTTGATGGGATGAGATCAGAGCTTATCAGATTTTTCCTTTACCCAAATGCAAAAAGAAGCACATCTTTAACAGCAACTGAGGTTTTGTTTTGTTTTTGTTTTCTGATAAATGCATAAATTCAGAGATGTCTAGCAAAAACAAAACAAAACAAAACCTAACCAACAAGGCAGTGGTTTTGAATGAGGGCAGTCCTGACTCCTACAGGGTATTTTAGAAATCTGAGGAAGCTTTTGTTAGTTGTCACAATGGGGCATCTCCTGGCATTTTGTCCAGAGACACTGGATGGCCTGTAACACACAGAAGCTTCCCCTACAGTGAAGAAAAAGGCAAGAAACCTGCTTATAATTGCCTGAGTCTAACCTCTAACTTCATTTTACATACAAATAGGGCATTTTTGCATGTTTTCAAAATTCTCTGAATTTTCCAGAAATGCAACCACTCACTGTAGTGCTTTATTGTATACTGCACCTAGATTTATTTGCCATTTTAGAAAAACACTGTCACTAAAATTAACAGTGCTGATAGTACTTGGGTCACCAATACAATAAAGCTGTTTCAGTCTGTATTTGTAGCTGTAACGTTCGTGGTGATTCAACACACAGGATATGAGCATCCTGCTTCACTAGACTCTCTAGTGCCTGAGCACTTAAGTGCCACAAATAGATTGTTTGGTTATAAAGTAATATTAATTATCTTTATTTTATATTTAGAGCTTCATATTTATTATATTAAATAATGTGTGTAGAGAGAGTATATTAAGTATACATTTTATTTCAGGGAGTAAAAGGGGGAATTATTAAATGTCTTTTATAAAAAAAGGGGGATGTTGGGTCTACAACACGGATTGAGTATATACTGCTGAATTTGTAGAAAAGCCAAATCAAACAGAAAGACAAGGAAAGTGGGATCAGCTAGGGCAGAGCAAAAGAACACAACAGTGGCCACATTCCAACAAGGGTTTCACAGATTCATTCAAAGGAGGATGAGCAGAAGAGGGGCCTAGAACCTCACCATGCTGACAGCCCAGGCTGGGAGAGTGGAGACTGAGAGGGGCTGGAAGGCTCTTGTCCCAAAACTGCTCTGGCCCTGCCTACAAGATTCTAAGTTCAAGCTCTTTCATCTAACTTTTCAAGGTGGCATTTCAGGCCCAAAGGCAATCTCAACATTAATGTGCAAGATCCTCCTGAAAATGAATATATAATGAATGAATCTTACCAATGGTTTCATAATAAGAGGAAATTACGAGTCCCAGTTGCGAACTGGGAAGTTTACTTTTCTCCACTGAACTGAAAACTCTGAAGTGTTCCTGAGAGAGGTTGGGCGGTGTTGGCATATGCATCTCTTCTGTCCCCAGGCAAAATTCCACCTTTCCAGTAGTAAATTTCGAATTGTTTATTCCTCCTTTATCTCCTAAATTCATGGGGGGAAAAAAAATTATTTATTTACTTACTTTTGTTAGAGAGAGAGAGCACAAGAGCTAGCGGGGCGGGGGGGGGGGGTGCGCAGAGGGAGAGAGAGAATCTTGAGCAGGCTCCGCAACCAACGTAGAGCCTGACACAGGGCTCTATCTCTCAACCCTGAAATCATGACCTGAGCCAAAATCAACAGTTGGATGTTTAACCGACTGAGTTTAGCCACCCAGGCGCCCCAAAAAAGAAATTTACAAAGGAGATAGAAGGGGAAGTGATGAGGAGGGAAAAAGTAGAAGAAATGGACAGGGAGGAAAAAGAAAAATTCTGTGTATAGCTGAGATTTCTTTGCAGTTTGAGGGACACTGTTTCCTTAAATTTAGTATCTAATATCATTCCTGAGGAGCTCAGGTACGTGTGTATGGGCTCTCTACCTGTTATTTCATAAAGAACACTACAGAGGGGCAGTGTGCCAGAAAGTAATGTTGAGATAATGCTTTGCTTCTCGTGGGGATTCTGGAAGTTACATGGTTTGGGTTTGCTTTTTTTTAAGGGCTTCCAACAGTAAGATGTTAGTCTGCCTCTGGGGCAGAGACCTCTGGGGTAGAAGCAACCCACAGTTAGTTCTGACCTAAGGGGGAGAAAGTGGGAAAGAATCGCTCTCTTTATAAGATCAGAGAACACACAAGAAAAAAAGGAAAACTGTTCTAGGGGAAGTCGTCAAAAGCTGCAGAGGAAGAGAAGCTATTGTGGAGTTTGAAGTCTGCAGCCCAAGGACTGGGGATAAACTGCTGAGAATATTTTAATACCAGGTGAGATTCAGGGTGAACCAGTGTAATCCATTCTTGGGAATTATATTTGCTTTTTTTATTCATGCCCTTAACCATTATTAATATATGCCATAATTGAAAGAAGTTTAAACATAACACAGAGAGCTAATTTAATATAATGTGAGTCTATAGGCAATACAACCAAAATCTGTGGGTACATGGCATAGCCAGCGGTTTTTTGGGGTGAGCAGGGGCAGCAACAACAAATACTTACATCCATATATACATACATAAATAAAACTTTTGTCAGTGATTGTAAAAACAAGATTTGATCAGATTTCTGAAAGATCAGTGAGTATTAGTATCTTAGGTTTACATTTAAATCTATTTTTAATAACTTTAAAATATAATTACCTTAAGTTTTTAAATTTAAGTTTATTCTTTAAGCTTATTTTTATTATTCCAATAAATTTGAATAGCAAGGATCATAAACATATATTAGGATTTTAAACAAATTTTTAATAACCCAAACATACGTAAGTCAAGATTTTTCCCCACCTAAATTTGAGTATATTCTTTCTCTCTGGGGCTACCACTTAACCACTCAAAGCCCTGCTTTGATTGAATTCACAGATCAATAAATGTTGAGAAGGGAGAAAACAAATAAATGTGATGTAACCAATGATACTGAATATCTTGTTTTAAGCTAAAAGAAATCTCTAAGATCAAAATCTATGGTATTAAAAAAAAATCTTGTTGATGCTTAAATTAAAATGCATCTATTTCCTTGACACTAATAAAGTAGGGTTGTGGTAATAGGTTCTAGTTAATTCAGTAGGAATCAAGTCATCTACTTACGAAAATTTTTTTTAAAAGACTATAGCACCATACTTGCAAAGAGATAGGTAAGAACATAGATGTACAGAACCAAAAAAAATACCGTTTCTATATCTACTCAAGGGAGTATGCTCATTTCACAGGAAGCATAAAAGCAGATGAGTGAGACAGTCTTTGGTTGGAATGAGGTGTGTGAGAGAGAAGATGTGATCCACTAGACAAGAAGAAGAAAGTGAAGGGCAGCCGGGAATGGGCATGTTGGTGGGGAAAGAAGGGACCTATGGCGGAATATGGTAGGTCCACAGGGTGATGTCCTGTAAAGAGCAAGGGATATAGAGCAAGTATTTTACCTTGTGTCTGTGCAAGGAATAACGAAAGTAACTTTCTGCTGTGTCGGATTGATCTGTTATGATATCTGGATTTTTCCAGGGTCTCTCTAAAACACCTCAAAGTGTCTGTCACATCCACAGGCACACAGACGAGCTCTTTGGCGTGGCTGTATTCTGAAAGGAAAGAGAAGCGTACCGAGGGATGAAATGCTGCAGCAAGCCAACTAGTAGCAAAAGACTTTTTAATTCAGAGAATTTCTTGGTCCCAAACTAAAGCTGCTAAATTCAAAGCCCTGAGGTTTGCAGCAGGTGTTTCAACGTTCAGATCAAATTTTTGTGGTATATTTGAAAGTTCTTTAAAAAAAAAAAAAAACTTAGAAAACTCTTGATTCCTATGAAATGCAAATAACTTTAGATCTTGCCAATTTTCCTTATGAAGCCTCCCACTTTTTCTTTTGCTGATCATAAAAGATGAAATAATCTACTCCTTTTCAGCAGCCTCTTCAAAGCAGAGGTGCCTTGGGAAAGAGACGAAAGGAGGAAACAAAGAGGCCTGGGTGGGTAAGTGCTCTCTTAAGAGAAGGGGAAGACGGGTTTCTAATATTGGAGGATGCAGAGGAAAGGAAGATGAGGCCATAAAAGGGAGTGGAACTAAAAACAGTCCTGAAAAAAATGGGCGGAAAGAGGAAATGTTGGCAGAGGGTGGCCGCGAGGTCCCTTGAGCCAGGCTGCAGATTTTTGGCCACACATCATGAAACAGTGCACAAGAGAGAAGGAATTCAAGCTTCAGATAATATAGATAAAATAACATGGAATTTACTTCTTCAACAAGTTGAACAGGTGAATGGCCCCTATGAAATCTGAGGCCTTGAGAGTAGTACAGCAACTTGCGAGGGAACGGGGCCACAGGAGGCGAAGAGGCGTGACCTTTGCCCTAGAGAGTTCACACTCTAGCTGAAAAGATGAAGCATTCTGACCCTGGGGTATTAAACTCTCATTCACAGAGCGTTTCTGGTTCTGTCCGAGATGAGGGCGAGAGAAGTGAGAGATCAGCAAGAGGGAGGAAAGGAAGTGCAAGAAAGACTTCGTGCCAGAGGACACACCAGTTGTGTCTTAGAAGAGAGGGAAGATTTGATTAGGAAGAAGGAGGCAAGAGGTTTAAGACAGAATAAGAATAGCTGACATTGACTGAGTACTTACACTATACCAGGAACTATTCTATATAATTTACTGTGATGATCTCATCAGATCCTAAAAACAACATAAAAGGTATGTACCGTTATATCCTCACTTTACAGATGAGGAGATTAAGGCATAGAGAAGTCTGTGGTTTCTCTTGAGTCACAGAGCTAGTTTGTGCAAGGAGAGGTATGGAAGCAGGAGTCAGGGGGGCAGTTTGGGGTGCAGTGGGATGTCACGGCCAGTCCCACTGAACAAAGAGGGGTTTTACAGAGACCCGAAGCCCTCGCTGAGAAAGTCACTTTCATCCTTTCCAATAGGGAGCACAGGAAGGGTCTTGAGCAGGGCACGAGTATTTTAGGAAAAGTTAGCAGACTGCAACAGAAAGAGGTTGGTGGCTGAGAGACTACAACACTGATATTGTGATTTGAACTCAACTAAGATGGTAGCAATGGGAATGAGGGAGGGATGCAGGGAACATTCCAATGTTGGAAGTGGCAGAAGAGTGGTTAATTGCTTACATGGCAAAGAAAAAAGGGGGGTGGGAATTACTTCTTCCCTGTCCTTCCAGGGCCAATGACCTTGTGTCCCATCTCGCTGGAAAAAAATCCAAGCAATCCAAAATATCTTCTGCAAACCCCACCAGTGGTTCATGTTGGTCTAGAACATTCTTCCCTCAGATATCCCCATGCCCTTGCTTCCTCAGCTCCTTAAGGTTACTGCTTAACTTAATTTCTCAGGAGGCCTCCCTTGATCACTGTATTTAAATTGGTGATCCTGGTTTCCCAACTTCTCTCTTCTCCATTGCATTCGTCATCTTCTGATGTACTATGTGTTTTGTTTGTTTATAGGTTGCCTCTTGCCACTAGAATGCAAGTTCCACGAGGGCAGGGAGATTGTCCAGCATCAATTTTGTCTGCTGCTATCAACCCAGACCTATAACAATGCCTGTTACATGGTTTGTGCTCAGTAAGTATTTCTTAAATGAATGAATGACAAGTTTCAAAGCTAAATGGCTGGGATAAACTTGATTAATAATCACTTATATAGATCTTAATCTCAGTTAATTCTCATAGCACCTTACCAACTAGTAGGGGTGGATGTTACTCACACTTTACAAAGGAGGAAAAGTGAGGACATTAACTTGTTTTAAGCCCTTATAAGACAAGAGAGACAACCAGTGTTCAAGTCCAGTGCCTTTCCCAGATAGTTGGCCAGAGGGCATCACATCTTGGGTAACTGGCAATAAGCCAGATTTGAGGCCTGCTAATTTGAGTACAGAGACCTTTGAGACTAGGACAGAAATAAGCCTAAGAAAAGTTAATGAGAGAAGCAGCCTGGGGTCCACAGGGAGGTCCTAATGGAATTAGTGCACAGTTACATTTTATGGCCATAGAGACATCTTTCAATCTACTACAACACAGACTGAAATGTCTAGAAATCCTGGAGGCTCTAGTCAAACCAGGTACATGGCCATATTGAGAGAAGTACTTGTCCCCCCTACCCCCCAGCAATTTCACTCTTGACACACTTGCCTACCACACATTTAAGAGAATCAAATACTTAGGTGACAGAAGCTTTTACTAACTCCCCAGGAGCTCTCTTCTACCCTACCAATTTCACTCTCCTGTCCACTTTGTCCTATGCCCGCCATCTTGCTCTCTCAATTCCCCTCTCCTCTACCCATGCACGGTCCTGCATGATCCAGACAAGGAGACAAGGCATGCCCTGACTCCTCCCACCCCCACCCTTATGCACAATGCCCTAAAGATGATAAGGTTTCTGCTCTGTTTTTATTTTTCCTACAAGAATTCATGAGTTTGGCTTTTATCTTTTTCTCCTTAGTGAATCAGGGAAAGAAGCAAAGACAGCAAAGGAAAAAGCAGAAGCTGGAAGCCCTCACATATTAATATTTTGAGACAGTTACCTTCTCTAGACCTTAATTTTCAATCTCTGCTAAAATTGGAATGATAATATTTACCTCCAAGGGTTATTGTTTTAACTTGTGTGTGAAGTATCCAGCATAGTGCCTATCAGGGAGTAAGCATCCAAGAGGTGGAGGCTACATATTGGCTGTTAGTCATGTATTTTTAAAATATATATTGAGCACTTACTAGTATTAGGTGCTATGCTAGGCACTGAAGAAATATAAGTGAACAAAACAGACACACTCCTTGTTTTCACAGAGCTTTCATTCTGGAATAAAAATTCACAAAAGCATGCTTGTATTTCGAGGCAATCAAAAGGACAGGAGGGACAGATGTTGGTAGTCTTTTTTAAAATGTGGGGTCTGACTAAAATCATCCTGCTACTTTTTATCAAATATCCACTTATAAATCATTCCTCCTTGTTTTTTTCCTAAACTATATTTCACTTTTTTTTTTCCTTTTTTCAAGCCCTAGAAAACCTTTTTTCTTGTAGTCTAACTAGGGCTCTACTGGTGATTTTGTGACTATGTACACAAGATAACTAGTGAAAGCAATGAAGAAGTATCATTAGCTTCAGAGGCCTGTCCTTACTTCTCTGTCTCAAGGGGAGCTCCTCTCTGAAAACTTTCATGAATAATTCAAGAAGCTATTCCAAAGGCACTAATAACCTCAACAGTTAGAAATAGGTCAGAAGAAGAAGAAGGTGAAGGAGGAGGAGGAAGAAGTACAGGAGGAGGAGGAGAGTGGGGAAGAAAGAGAAGGAAGGAGAAGGAGGAGAAAAGGAAGAAGAGAAAGAAGAAGGAGAAAAAAAAGAAAAGAATTACTATGTCTCTTATTGTACTAATGTACTCATTAAACTGAATACCACGGTGCCTGGATGGTTCAGTTGGTTGAGCCTCCAACTCTTGATCTCAGCTCGGGTTGTGACAGCAAGCCCCGCATAGGGCTCCAAGCTCAGCAGGGAGTCTGCTTCAGGATTCTCTCTCTCTCCCTCTCCCTCTGCCCCTCCCCCCCCATGCTCCCTCTCTCTCTCTAAAATAAATAAGTCTTAAAAAAAAAAAAAAAACCTGAAATACTAACGACTCCTGAGAGATGGGTCAACCAAGGAAGAATCCCAGGGAATACTATAAAATTTGGGCTGCTTTTTTTTTTTTTTTTAGATTTTATTTATTTGCGAGAGAGAATGAGAGACAGAGAGCACGAGAGGGAGGAGGGTCAGAGGGAGAAGCAGACTCCCTGCTGAGCAGGGAGCCCGATGCGGGACTCGATCCCGGGACTCCAGGATCATGACCTGAGCCGAAGGCAGTCGCTTAACCGACTGAGCCACCCAGGCGCCCTGGGCTGCTTTCTACACAATTAGTCATATTAACCCAAAAGCCCAGAGTCAGTAATAAAATACACCTGCCAAAGGTTGAAAATTCCAACATACCTGAAGACTGAAGAACCCTATCAGAGATAACTTAAATACCAATTAGGTCAAAACTCAAGAAACAGATCCTAGAAAGAATGCAAAAACAGCTACAATAAAAGGCATATTCATAGTTATCTCCCCTGTGAAGCTTAACAAGCAGGCAAGTTACTCATCCATACAAAAAATAATCTATAAAGTGAGGTATTCTCACTTCTCCACATCCTACAGAGACTATACCAAATTACATATGCATTATTAAATAGTTAGAGGGAGAACAGAATGCTGTTAAATAATGAGAACACCAAATGTTCATAGGCACTGGAGCAATAGAATATCTGTTCTGAAGAATTAAATGTATCAAGCATTACCGCCCAATGCTGTTATGCCAAAAGAAAATCTATGGTGTTCTAAAGCAGCAATCTGGTGTGGAAACCAGCAAGAGTATCCTTGGTCTTTCCAAAGTACTGCAAACATGTCATGATGACATAACTTAGACCCATCATGCTTATAAACATGTTAATGATCTGAGTTCAGGACACTGAAAGAAAATTCACCCTCCTAAAAATTTGCCAAATAAGCCCAAAAGCGTGGGCCAAAATATGCTCCTAGTCACAGAGGTCCTAGAGTCTTTTAAAGAGGTGTAAGTTGGATGCCAAGATTTTAATGATAATGACTCAATGTAAGACTTACAATTAGTAGGCAGGATCATCTAAAAACTACCATACTATCACAGTAAGTTAGAATAAAATATCTGTCTCCCCATGACCACTGATGTATAGCAAAATTTTTCTGAGTGCTATCAGTTTAGAGGAGAGACTAACCTGAGAGAGGACAAATGGTGAACAGGTCAAGTAGTTTGGTGGAGCACTTACAGGCTGAGCAATCAGACAGACGAGGGTTTGAACCAAAGTTCTATTTACTAGTAACATTTAATTTTCTCATCTGTAATGTAAGCATAATATCTACCCTCTAAAATTATAAAAATTTAAAAAGCTAATGGTTATAATGTGCTCAATATAGTACGTGGCCCAATTCATTATTACTGCCACTACAATATTGTTTAGATTTTATCCCTTCAAATATTCCTGCTGTAGTCGTTGCTCAAACTGACTATAGCCCCACCACCATTGAGAATCAACCTAAATAATCACAGTAAGCTGATCCGACCTACCCTCCTTTCTGTTTCACCACCTGCTACCTTACCTTTCCAAATGTAGCTTTAACAACTAGAAGGCAAAGTACTTTTCTGACATATTGCATCCACCATCTATAAGACCTACTGGTCACACATGCTAGGCATGTTTTTCTTATCCCTTAGGTGCTAGTCATCATATTTGATAATAAGTTTTTTTTGACATGTTTTCTCACATTTGTTGCCCATTCTTTTTAGGATGGAAGGGATAATATAAATCACATTCTGAATTGTAGATCCCAAATTGACAGATCTCCAGAGGTTTGACAGATGTGATCATGAAAAGAAAAACACAACCAGGATGAATCACACTCTGATTGGACCTCCATTGTTTAATAAATATGAGGGGATAATTTGATTTATCATTGGTGGTAAAACTCACAAGTTTGTAGTTACCAACTCCCTCAACAGAAACCTCTACACTGCTCTGAAGCCCTTACATCTTCTTTCTATTTCCCTGAGGGGCCAGGCCACTCTTTCAGATTCCTCCTGAAATCTCCTACCCTAGCAACCTTGGCTATGCTCTCAACCCCTTCCTTTATTAAGAAAATCTTCAGTACCCAGTGAGAATACCTTCAACTTCTGCCCTTACCACCTATAAACTTCCTGTTTTGGGGCCCATTCTCTCCTTCCCTTCTGCCCTAGCCTCTCAGTATGGCTCCTCTAGAGGGTAAATTCATGTTCTCCTTTCTGCCTTGGAAACAATTACGGAAACTTGTGTCAAGATGGAGATTCCATCAACCTATGATGAGCAGCAGCTCAGTACTCAACTCATCAAACACGGTGGCATGAGCGAAAAAAATGGACTAGCCCTTGTGTGAAAGCAATGAGATTTGGGGGTTGTTTATTACTACTGTATAGCGTAGCCCACTTTGAATGACACAGCTTCCAAAGTGAGGCCATCCTCAGGTCTATACTCCATAAAACTCTCCCTGAGTGACCTCATAGAAGCCCCTGATTTCAACCACCACCAATATATGGACAACGAAAATATAAATCTCTGCTGAATGCCTGACTGGTCTATCTAACCATATACTGAATAGTTCTACTCAGGTTTCATCCTGGCACCTCAAACTCAGTACTTCCTAAGTAACTTCCTCTGAGCTATTCCTCCCTTCAGTTTTCCTGTAGAGTGAAGACATCACATCCATCTAGCCACCCAAGCCAGAAACCAAGGCATCTTGGACTCCTCCCATCCTCATCTAACCAGTATAGAACACAGTCCTGGGGACTTACTTCCTCGGCCTTTCTCTCATATCTGTCTACTCTTATATTCTCCTCACCTAAATCCAGAGCCTCATCACATCTTTAATGTACAAGTAGGAGTAGCTGCTCTTCTGCTTCCATGTGCTGTGCTTTCAATTGATTCCCCACGCTGCTGCCTAAGGTTCTTTCCAAAGCACAAATATGATCGTTTCACTGCCCTTCTTTAAATCCTCATAACTAGTTCCCTTCAGCCATCCAGATAGATCTGCATCTCTTTATCCTGCCTTCTTTTTTTTTTTTTAAGATTTTATTTATTTATTTGACAGAGAGAGAGACAGTGAGAGAGGGAACACGAGCAGGGGGATTGGGAGAGGGAGAAGCAGGCTTCCTGCTGAGCAGGGAGCCCAATGCGGGGCTTGATCCCAGGACCCTGGGATCACGACCTGAGCCGAAGGCAGACGCTTAACGACTGAGCCACCCAGGCGTCCCTCTTTATCCTGCCTTCTAAGGCCTTCCTGCCAACGTTTCTAACCTCAGCTTTGCCTTTTCCTTTTTCCTTTACCTCTACCAAATTGCACACAGTCTCTGCACAGCGATGCTGTTTACTACTACTGCTTACAGTGGAAAACAGCAGGGGTAGCCATAATATGACAGACCTTATCACTCTATACCATAGTCTCTGCTTTATTTATCAGTCTCTTTCAATGGGTTGTAAATTCCGGGATAACAAATCTTTAATCTCAATAAATCTTTAGTCTCTTTGTAGTCTCAGTACCCAGTATGGCACCTAACACACGGTGGACATTCAGTAAATGTTTGCTGAATGACTGAATGGCCGCCTAACTGTCTCAATAAAGGAATAGATGATTACATACCTACACACATACATACATAAAATCAATGGATAAATAAATGAAAGAATCCTAACATGGCAAAGGGAAGATCTGCATTCCTTTCCTATACCAGAAACAGAGGCACATGACAAGCACAATTGAGAGAAAGCATTGTTCCCCATTTTCATCTTATTCTATTGCTTCAATCCTATAAGCTGCACTGCCAAAATATTCCAAGAGGGTTTCTCAGCTGAAAGCAAAGGAGCCATGACGTCCCTTTGTCTTCTCCTGTGCTCTAGTGAAAAGACCTACAACTTAACCATGATACAGCCAATAGGAGAACAATCTACACTGATTATGGGAATGGGAGTTACTATGAGAGTCAAGACAGAGCTTCAAAGAGAGCGGCAACAGGTCAATATGAAGAGTTCCCAAGTGAAATAAAAACGGGGGGAAATGTACACAACAGTCTTTTTCATGCTTATTTTTCAAATAATTTTCCGTTCACTTTTTCCTTCCCTTCTTTAATTTACAGATTAAACTAATAAACACATGTTTTAATTCCCCTTGTGACATTTATAGCAACATAAGATGGTAAATATCAAATGGGTTATTTTCAGTCCAATAAGCCTGCAAAAGAGATTTTGCAAACATTTTAATTATGGAAGAGCTGACATGCAGAACACAACAGCAAACCTTGCTTTAAAAAAGCTTCAAGCTAAAATGGTTCCAACCTGAATAGATAAACTTTTTTAGGATATCTGCACAGTTTTCTGTATCTGTTACTTCACTGGTTGAAGGATTAATCTTGAGCTGCTTCCCAATGAAATTTCGGCAGGTTATCTTAAAAAGGAAAAAGGAAAACAAATACTATTTGGTCAGGTATTTATGGCTAAAAATTTGTTAAAATGTTTATCTTATTTTTCCCTTGTCAAAAAGAAGAAATATAAAAGGATGCTACAAATAAAAGCTAGCAGAGTAGCACTTGATCATGACAACTTTCAGGAAAAAAAGCAGCCACATAACTTTTCATATTTCTTTTGTTCAGCACAGCTGGAGAGGCATTAGGCAAATTATGTAGAGCAATGAGAATATGATTTTCTGATATTCTATAAATCCACTAGTCTAAATATATCTCCTATTATGCAAGTTGAAACATATCTAAAATATAGGCTGCTTTTCCAGTGGCTGATTTTTCCACCCTACTCATAATGAATGCAATTTAAACTTCCCTGGTGAAGTTTTTCAGAACTAACTTCCTCTGTAGTATTTTAAAAATTTATTTTCTAACAGACACTTAAGTCCTAAAATTATAAAATATCTGAAATCAGAAAAATTTTAAACAAAAGGAAATTCTTTTAAAAGGTCCAAGAACTGGGGCACCTGGGTGGCTCAGTCAGTTAGGCATCCAACTCTTGATTTCGGCTTGGGTCATGATCTCAGGGTTGTGATATCGAGCCCTGCATCAGGCTCCATGCTCAGCACGGAGCCTGCTTGGGATTCTCTCTCTCCCTCTCCCTCTGCCCCTCCTCTGCTAGTGGGTGCACCTGCTCTCTCCCTCTCTCAAAAAAAAAAAAAAAAAAAGTCCAAGAACTTTTGTTTCTCCATTCCTATTCCTTGAACTAACCTATTTCTCAAAATACAGACCTCTTTGAATCTCAGTCTGATGTAGATGCTGCTTCTTTATTGTCCCTTGTAGGTACTTATACAATGAGATGTAAACAGTCTAATAAAATGCAAATTCTTTCCCATAGCCTAATAAGGCCCCATTTGACCTAGTCCTTCCCAACTCCCAGCTTCATTAAATAAATCTTAAATGAACATTTATTATGTGTCAGTCACTACTCCAAGCTCAAGGATAATACAGTGAACAAAGCAAACAACAGTTCCTATATTTATGGAACCTATTCTAGAGGAAGTAGAAATATAATGAGGAAAATAGAAGGGTACATTATAGAGTATATTAAAGAGTTATAAATGCTGTAGAGAGAAATAGAGCAATCCTTTATATAGGATAGTGAGAATAGTCCTCACACAGAAAGTGACATTTAGCAAAGACTAGAAAAAGGTGAGAAAAAATCAGTGTGGGTATTTGGGGGAGAAGCTTCCCAAGCAGGGGAGCAGCAAATGGGAGGATCCCAAGGCAGGAAGTCTTAAAGAACAGAGCAGCTGAAACCTTCAGGGGAGTATTAGGAGATGAGTCACTGGAGATGACAGGGGAATGCGTGGGGCATTAAGGCCATGATAAGGATGTTCACCTTATCTCTGAATCAGATGGGAAGCTGCTGTAGGGTTTAAAGAAGAGGAATGACATGATCTGACTTAGGTTTTTAAGGGGTCATTCTACCTGCTGCATTGAGAATAGACTATAGGCTGGAGGCAGGGATTCAGGGAGGTTGGAAGCAAGAAGACTAATTAGGAAGTCATTGCATGAATCCAAGCAAATATAACAAGGGCTTGGATCAGAGCAGGAGTGGTGGAGGTAGTGATAAGTGGTCAGATTCTGAATACATTTTGAAGGTAGAAGATTTGATAACCACTTTGAAGTGGGGTAATGAAAGCAAGAGAGGGGTCTGAGATGTCTCAAAGGTGTCTGGCCTGAGCAACTAGGAGAACAGTGTTGTCATCAGTTGAAGTGGGGAAGACTTGTCAGAACAGGTTTGCTTTGAAATATACTAAATTTTAGAAGTGTATTAGACACGTTGATTAGGCAGCATGATGAAATTTGATGGGTCAACTTGGTTAGGCTAAACTACGAGGACAAAAGGGAGGGAAGTATCCATTTTGCAGCATACACACACTTCATCCCAGCTATTCAAACACTCATCTAGCTGCCACTCTGAAGGGATTTTGCAGATACTAATTAAAGTCCCTAATAAATTTCCTTTAAACTAAAGAGATTATCTTCGTGGGCCTGACCTAAGCAGGTGAGTCACTGATGTGCTGCTGGAGAGTCTCCAGACTCCAAACAGCATCTAGGTCTACTCACTGGATCATCCCTCACTGACTGCCTAAGGATAACAGCTTCTGGTCACACCTGTAAGTTTCCTTCCTGCTCATGATCCTGACTGACCACCTTATAATTTTGGACTCATCTGGCCAGCCCCCACAATCAAATAAGCCAATTCCTTGTAATAAATCTTGATGGATATATGACAGAAAAATAGACAGACAGACAGACAGATAGATAGATAATAGATCCTACCGGTTCTGGTTCTCTGATTGAACCCTGACTGATACAGGGAATTACATGTCAACACAGAATTCAGGAGAAAGGTCTAGACTGAAGCTGTAATTTCAAAAGTCATTATCATAAAGACAGTACTTAGAGCCACAGACTGAATGAGCTCACCAAGGGAGAGGATGTGGATAAAGAAGACAGGAGGACCAAGAACAAAGTCCTGGGACACACTACCATTAAGACACTGGGGAGAAGAGGAAGAAGCAAAGCCCCCCTGTTTTCACTCTCGCCCCTGTCTGTGACATTCCAGCCACTCAGGCCTTCTTCCTGTCCCACCTCAGGGCCTTTGCCCTTATTCTTCCCTTGGGCTGGAAGGCTCTCTCTTATGTATGGCTGGCCATTTCTCATCAAAGGTTACCGTTTCCAAGAGGCATTCCAGATTTCTACCTCCCACCCCACCTATCTCTAACCCATGGACCCATTTTAGTCTCTTCAGAGAACTCATAATGATCATAAACCTGTTTATGTATCTGTTTACATGTTTATTATCTGGCCCTACCTCTACCCCTCCAAAATTAAACTCCATAAAGCAAGAACTCAGACTGTATTCTCATTGTGTTAGAATATGTAGGAGGCAAGAATATGCAAGGGCCGTAAGGAACCTCTGTGAGAAGAAAATGGAGCCCTCACTTGTGGCCGCAACACCACAAGCACACAGAGTGGTATGGGAGGTGGGACTAGATTTCAGTCCTCACGTACACTGGATGCCCTGGGCCAGGTCGCAAACTGTATAACTGTATGCCATGGTTCTGGTATTAGATAGTCGACACACATTTATTAAATTAATAAGTGAAAGAATTTACTACCCTTTCCTCCACCTAACTCAAAGCTGCACCATGATTTTCATGGTCCTTACACACTTTCACTTTCATGGGCCCACACCTCCATAAAAAATATTAAAAATTGTATCATATGATTATGTTGGCATAAATACAAATACAGTATTAGTAAAAATTAAAACCTTTTCTTTGACCTAAAAGTTACTTTTTTCTTCACATTAAAAAAATTAAAACATTTAGTGGGCCTCTAAAAGTTTGGTGGCTCTAGATAATGTCCTCACTGTGCCTAATGAATGTATCAGCTCTGGCCTGAATGTAAGTTTCCTATGTATAAGGACTTAATTTTTGTTTACCTTGTAAATATTGGCACATAACAGGCTTTCAATAACGTTTGTTGATTTGAATGATAAATGCCTAAGTAAAAATAGTATTTATCTGATCCCTAAATATTTGTATTTTATACGTGCACTCCTCAGAAATCACAACTGCATGAATAATAAAGCCAAACTCACCTTCTCTTTGTATTCAGCCTCATATCTTGCACAAGGTTGTTGGGTAGCATCCGGGCCATTGAACTTGGATATTCTTAGAAGAAGCTGACGCTGTGCATACACCAGGAGTGGTGTCACTTGCTCTGTGTATCTCTCACTAGAGAGAGGTAGAAATACATTAAAAAGCAGACATTAGTTAAAATGCATTTTTTAAATGGAAGCTTGTCCCTGTACCTCTGAAATAAATAATACATTATATGTTAAAAAAAAAAAAAGAAGATAGTAGGAGGGTAAAATAAAGGGGGGGACATCGGAGGGGAAGACAAACCATGAGAGGCTATGGACTCTGAGAAACAAACTGAGGGTTCTAGAGGGGAGGGAGGGAGGGGGATGGGTTAGCCTGGTGATGGGTATTAAAGAGGGCACATACTGAATGGAACACTGGGTGTTATACACAAACAATGAATCATGGAACACTACATCAAAAAATAATGATGTAATGTATGGTGATTAACATAACATAATAAAATTTTTAAAAATAAATAAATAAATAAATGGAAGCTTGTCACTTTTTTTTTTTAAGATTTTATTTATTTATTCATGAGAGGCAGAGGGAGAAGCAGGCTCCCAAGGAGCAGGAAGCCCGATGCGGGACTCGATCCCAGGACCCTGAGATCATGACCTGAGCCGAAGGCAGACGCTTAACCATCTGAGCCACCCAGGTGCCCATGGAAGCTTGTCACTTTTAATTGCCCTCACAGCAGTACTTACTGTGAAATTGTATTGAACTGGATAGCAAGTGATACCAGTGTTTCCCATTTTTCCACTTGATACAAAAGTTCCAGAGATTTCAACACAAAGTTATGGATCCATTTCAAATCAACCACATTTACATCATCCAAAAGATGCTCAAAATCAAGGCTAGAACCACCGTTATCATTTTTAATATTTCCATAGCAGCTTGGAACACTGAACTCCCCTTTTTCTTCAATAACCTGCAAGTAGCACATGGAAAAAAATGTATTTTCAGATTTCACTACACATTTTTTTTCTGAAAACTGAATGTGATAGAAAATATAACAGGAAAAGAACTGAAGATAAAAAAAAATTAAATGTTTTTATTATGCAAATCAAAGCTTGAACACTGCTATTCCAAAGAACTTTCTATGATGATGGAAATGTGCTATGTCTGTTGCTTGATATAGTAGCCACCAAGCATGTGTGGATATTGGAGCTACTGAAATAGGACCATTGCAACTGGATTTTTAATTTCATTTAATTTTAATTAATTTAAGCTTAACTTTATAAAATAGCCACATATGGCTAGTCATTACCATATTAGACAGCACAGACTGAGGTCCATAATTCCTGGTCCACAGTCACTACCTATGTAAGTAAGGACATTAAACAAATAAGATAAAGTTTTGAAGAACAGGTTTTAGTATATGCAAATTATTAAGTTTCCATAATACACTGGTTACATTCATCAGTCTGTGGCATAATATGTCCAATTCCCTGATACAAAGGTCAAACCTATGGAGAAGGAAATCTTCTAGAAAACCCTGTTTTTGCCTAAGTCAGAGGTACTATGTAACTAATGTATTCATTTCCCAAGAGTCCCTGATGCATCTGTGTATATCCTTAGAAATTCTTGAGACAAAAAAAAAAAAAAAACCCTTAGATCCACCTATAAGCCAGGTTGCAGCCCAACAAATAGTTGGGTAACTCAAGACCAGCCCCTCTTAAGCTGGTGTTACTATTAAGGGTAATCCACACATAGAGGACGGAAGGTACCAACCTTCCTCTACCAAGTAAAGGACAAATATCGCTAACAAGATTCATGGTCCTTGAGGTTGGAAGAGACCTAGGAAGTCATCTGGCTGTGCAATGTAATATGAATGCCTAAAGTCAGTCTTGTGTAGGTGTGAATAAGAGGTGTGCCATATGTGACCCATGTGAATTTCCCTCCTTAGCACATGGGACATACTCAATAAAGGGTAGTTTCCATTTTGTTGATGTTATGAGCTCCACCCTTCTACCCACTGATTCTACAGTAAGACCTCCAGCAGCACAGAGCTGCATAAAGGGTTCTCTCCATTAACTTGACTTCAGGGTTCCATGTGGAGGCATTCTTGGCCTTTACTCAATCCTCTTGGTGAGTGTAGAAGAAATCAAGCCTGTCCCACTCAACTTTTCCAAGATGACTGCTCTGTCAGAGCCTGCCTACCTATAGGATGACATATTCTTTCTTCAGACATGGGTAAATTTCCTGGGTCCAAATGAAATAACTTTCCTGGGCCATCCATGAAGAAGAGGGTATCTGATATCAGTTAGTCATGCCTATGCCTACATGGTAAGTTTACTTCTGGGATGAAGGAGAGGGAAGCCCTCTGTGGTTACTATATCTTCCAATATAGCTTTCATCAACAACAAAACTGACATTGTATTTCCAACCATCAAGAGAGAAGGAAAAAAGTATTATCTATTTACTTCCTAATTTTGGTAACATTACCCAACAATATTGAGAAATAAGCAGCACTGGCATTTGGGGATGAAAATAGCATATGGAAAGTGAAGTTTCTGGCATGGTCAAGACCAGTCTTTATATTCTGAAGATTAAGTATGGGCCATGTGTAATTTAAAAAAAAACAAAAAACAAAAAACCTTTTATTAAAGAAAATTTCTAACACTTACAAAAGCAGAGAAAATAATATACTGAGGCCCTATATACCCACAACCAGCTTCAACCAATTATCAACTTTTGGGATCTACTTGGTTTAATCTGTACACATACCCACTTCCCCCAGTATTTTTAATTACATCCCCAAAATTATATTAATCTATAAATACTTCATCATGTGTCTCTAAAAAGACAAGAATTGTTTTTACAGAAACATAACCACAATAATATAATCCCACCTAACAAAAGAAATTAGCAAAAAAATCCTTCAAAACATTATTGAATAACTAGTGTTCACATTTCCTTTATACCTTATAAATTTTTGAGTGCATTAATTTGGAATGGGATCAAAATAAGGTCCAAACATTGCATTTATGTCTCTTAAGTCTTTTTTAATCTACAGGTTTCAACTTCTCCTTTTTCACTTCAATTTTTTTGTTGAAGAATCCAGGTTATTTGTCTTGTAGAGTTTCCATGGTCGGAATTTCTATTGTTGCATCCCCATGGTTTCATTCTAAATGTTTCTCTGTCCCCGGATCTTCTGTAAATTGTTGGTTAGATTTAAATACTTGCCCTGCTTCCAGTTTATTTTTTTCCAACAAGTATACTTCACTGGTGCTGTTCATCCCCCCATGAATTCACAAAGAACTGCAAAATCCTGATATTCTAATTTCAACATTCTTTCTTATTACCTGAAAATTCTATAAAGAAAAATTTCTCTTCCTTGACTGTTAATTATTTGGTTATCCTCAAGTATAATTCACATAGAAAAGGTAATCAGCCTTTGTTTTTTCCCACCAAGGAGTCCTATTTCTTTTATTGGGAAATGGTTTTTAAAGAACCCATCTGGGTGCTAAGAGTTGTTACTTCTTTTTTGAGTCTTTTGAATTGTTTTGACATCTTTGTAAAATATTGACCATATGTATGAGTCTGTTTCAAGAGTCTCTTTTTATCCCATTGATATGTTTCTCTTTATGCCAATATCATACTCTTCTAATTACTACATCATTGATAAACCTTGAAATCAGGTAGGGAGTTCTCCAAATTTGTTCTTTTTAAAGATTTTCTTGGCCATTCACATTTCTTTGCATTTGCTTATAAGTTTTAAAATGAACTTTCGGGCGCCTGGGTGGCTCAGTTGGTTAAGCGACTGCCTTCGGCTCAGGTCATGATCCTGGAGTCCCTGGATCGAGTCCCACATCGGGCTCCCTGCTCGGCAGGGAGTCTGCTTCTCCCTCTGATCCTCCCCCCTCTCATGTGCTCTCTCTCATTCTCTCTCTCTCAAATAAATAAATAAAATCTTAAAAAAAAAAATGAACTTTCAATTTATACCGAAAAAAAATGTCTGTTGGAATTTTCATTCGAATTTCCCTGAATCAATAGATCAAATTGGAAATAAATGATATCCTAGCAATATTAAGTCTTTTGGTTCATGAACATGATATATCTCTGTGTCTATTTAGATCTTCTTTAATTTTTTTCTGCAATGCATTATAATTTTCAGTGTAAAAATCTTACATGCATTTCCTTAAATATATTCCTAGAAACTTGATATTTTGAATGGTATTTTTAAATTTTCATTTCCTAGTTGTTTTCTGTTAGTACAAAGAAATTTTTTATATTGACTTTATGTGCTATTTTGTTTATTAGTTCTAGTAGTTGTTTTATAGAGTCCTAAAGAGTTAGAATTTTCTATGTAAAAACTCATATTATTCCCTTCCAATCCACATGCCTTTTGTTTCTTTATCTGCCTTATTGTACCTGTCAGGATCTCTGGCATGGTATTGAGCAAAAGTGGTATGAACAGACATCCTTGCTTTGTTCCCAATCTTAGAGGGAAGCTCGTAATATTTCATCATTAAGTATGATGTTAACAGTAGATACTACTTTTTATCAGGTATTTCTAGTTTGCTGAGAGTCTTTAACATCAATGACATTGTTTTTGTTTTGCTTCCAATTGTATTAGTCTCTTCTTATTCTTTTGATAATGTCTTCCAGAGTTAACTACTTCTGTTTGTAGGTGATGAAATGTATAATGATCCACTTCACATTTGGTACTCTATGAATATGGTCTTTTCCTTTACTTCAACTTAGAATTAAGACTTGTAATTCTTGTTGTTGTTTTTTTCAATATACCAGTCCCAGAAGAGTTTTCCCTGTAGAAGTTATCTGAACACAGTCTTACGCTTTCTATTTGTGGTCTACAACCAGGCTCTATCTTCTCCAGAACACTATAAGACAGACTTAGTTTAAATACATATTAAATTAAGAGGTACTCTCTCAAATAAGTTTAAATGCATTTTATTTTTAGGCAACCTACATGATATGGTTTTTTCTTTTAAAATAAATGACTCCACTCCAAATAAATCAACATTAAAATAAATGAAGAGATCAAGATGACATCACCCAATTGTCCAAGTCCTGGTGTTGTGTGGATGTGTGAAAAGCAGCAGCCAGTTACGATGACAGGTGATCAATCTAAAGTAATTGCCATTTTGTTAACATTTTTTCATTTATAAACCATCCTTAAAGAAAATCATACATAGGGTCGCACCATCCTCACAGTAGTCCAGCAGAGCAACCATGCCATCTGAATTCATGTCTTCACAAATAAAGAACTGGTAGTTTTGAATTAGCAAAGATGTGCTTGATTTGTCTGCAGCCTCTGTTATAAAAGGTTTACACTTTCTGATCCCTGTTCTTCAAGTTTGCCTTAGACTGATTTCCTATAATCTATGATGTACTTTTCGGAGGCTTCATTTGTGAAGCTTGTTTTCTGTAAGTAATGGTTCCCGACAACATCAACACCAATGATTACTGTGCTTTCAGTACCTTCGCCTTGGGGGCCTTCAATCAAGTCCATTTCCATCAATGGTACCTTCTGTCCTACTATTTTCTCCCTCACCTCCAGGCACAGCTCATTTGCAACCTCCTGAATCTTGTAGATGTCAGAGAACATCTCATCATGACTGATGAGGTCCAGGTAGATAATATGACGACATCCAGAGAAAGAGAACAGCAGCCCTGGCTTAGGAGGAACCCAGAATTCAGAGCAAGAGCAATGCAGCTAGAGCAGCACTCAAGGGGAGGGAAAGCAGGTGGAAAAAGTGGTATCAAATTTTGTAAATGCTTTTGCTGTATCTATTTCAATGGTCATATAATTTGTCTCTTTTATCCTGTTAATATGGTGAATTACCTTGATTGATCTTTATTTTTTTTTAAGATTTTTATTTTTTTATTTGAGAGGGCACACACGAACAGGGGGAGGAGCAGATGGGGAGGGAAAAGATGGGGGAAAGAATCTCAAGCAGACTCCACACTGTGTGCAGAGCCCAACATGGTGCTTGATCTCACCACCCTGAGATCACGACCTGAGCCAAAACCAAGAGTTGGACGCTTAACCAACTGAGCCACCCAGGCACTGCTTGATTGATCTTTAAATGTTAACCTTACATTTCTGGGATAAACCCACTTGATCATCATTTGTATAACTATAGATATTATAGACCTCATTTGCATATTTTATATATTGCTGGGATTGATCTGCTAATATTTCATTAAGGAGTTTTGTGTCTATGTTCATGAGGGATATTGGTTCATACTTCTCTTTTTGATATTATCTGTCAGGGTTAGGCTGGCTTCGCTTCTGAAAAAAATTTTTGTGTATGATTTTGTCCTTTTATGTTTGCTCGAATTCTGCAGGGAAATATTCTGGGTATGGAGTTTTCTTTATCTCAAAGTTCCTAATTATAAATTCATTTTCCTTAATATATTTTGGGCAATTCATTTTTTCTATTGCTTCTTGTGTCAGATTTAAGCTGTGCTTTGTGATAAACATGTCCATTTCATTTAAAGTTATCAAATTCATTAGTAAAAATTGATCATAATATTCTCTCATTTTTCTTTTAATATCTATAGAATCTGTAGTTATATCTCTCTTTCATCACTAATGTCAGTCATTTATGCTTTTCTTTCTTTTGTTCATCAGTATTCCTAGGATTCTGCCAATTTTAATAATCTTTTCAAATGATTAATTTATTAACTTTATTAATTTTGTTGTTTTATATATAAATTATTTCTGCTCTTATTCTTTCACTTATTTTCTTTGTTCTTTTTACTTACTTTGGATTGAATCTGTTCTTTTTTGAGCTCCTATAGGTGGACACTTAGATAACTGATGTTATATCTTTCTTCTTTACTCTTATACATTTAAAACTATTAAGTTCTTCTACATACTGGTTTATCTGCATCCCACAAATGTTGATATGTTGTCCAGTTTGAAATATTTTTAAGTTTCTCTTGTGTTTTCTTCTTTTATCCATGGATTATTTAAAACTGTGTTAATTTCCAGATATTTGGAGATTTTTCTTCCTAATTTCTATTGGTCTATTCATAAGGTAGGGGTCAGAGAACATACTCTTCAAGATTTCAGTCTTTTAAATTTTATTATGACTTATTTTTTGACCCTGCATATGATCCATCTTGGTGAGCACACCATATGCACTTGTGCTCTGTTTCTAACCCTTTTATGTGTACTGCACTTCAATTCTGACACTAACTACCTAACCAGAATTAAGGTCAGACTCCAAGAGTTTAAAGACTTAGTCCTCCACAAGACTGCCCTTATTTCAGATGTCAGCCACAAGTCTCAGGTCACCTGCACTTCTGACTGAACAGCTATAAATTTAGGGGTTTCCATAGCCCCCTCAGATTCAATAATTGGTTGTCATTCACTTAAAACACTATACTAAGGATCACAGTTTTATTATAAAGGTACAACTCAGGGACAGCCAAATGAAAGAGGTACATAGTCCAGAAGGGTCCTGGATAAGGGGTTTCCATGTTCTCTCCCCATGGAGTCACCCAACACATCAATGCTTTCACCATTCTGGAAGCTCTTCATGTTTTGGGTGTCCAGAGTATACTCTGAATCTCTCTTATTAGGAGCATACACATTTATGGTTAGTATGTCTTCTTCATTAATTAAGCCTCTTCTCATTATAAAATGTCTCTCTTTATCTGTCAAAATACTCCCTGATTTAAAGGTTATTTTATCTAATATTAATAAGTCTCACCAGTTTTTTATGTTTACTGTATTATTCATGGTATATCCCTTTCCACTGATTTATTTTCAATCAATTTCTTATATTCAGAATACTTCTCATGTGGCCAACTATTACATGTCTTTCTTTTTATCCAACATACTTTGCCTTTTGATTAGGGTGTTTAAGCCACTTTTATTTAATATAGTAATTGATATGATTGGGGTAGATTTATTATTTGCTATTTGCTTTCTGTTTTGCCTGTATGTTTCTGTTCCTGTTTCTTTTTTTATGCCTTCTTTAATTCATTGACCACTATTTAGTTTCCACTTCACTGAAACGGCTTTGTAGCTCTATCTCTTTTTTGGTATTACTCTAAGGGTTATTAAATGCATCCTTAACATATTACATTCCACTTAGAGTTAATAGTGTACTACTTTATATTTATAAAAAGTGTAAAAGAACTTATTACTCTGTCTCTTGTGCTACTGTTTTCACATATTTTTTGTCTGGAAATGTTATAAATTCCATGACTCAATGTGCTTCTGTGTTTATTAAATTTCAATTGTTTGGGTTATATCATGTTTGCATTTTTTTCAATTTTATTTTCATGTTTTAAAACATAGTGTGGTAGATTTAAATGGCTGCAAATTCTACCAGATCTGGAATAATAGAACAAGGACAGACAAAGCAGTGAAGTAAAGAGCAACTGACAAGCTATATGATCTCTCTTGGGGTCTGTTTCTCTGTCAAAAAAATTGCCATGAGGATTAAAACCATTACAGTTAGTTTATACAGAAGCTGGAACTCAGTAAATGTTACTTTCTCTTTCCTTTAAAAAGTTGAATTTTCAGGCTAAGATATTTACAATTAACATCAATGTGAGCTATGTATTGTGAACCAAATAATAATAATGAAGCAAATGAAATACAGACAAACCAAGTAAGAACTCAAGGAAAATATTAATTTCTATTTATCTCAAGGTACATGGTAAAAAGCATTTATTAATTGGATGCAGTAAAAATAATTACCCAAATGCCCTTACCTTAATAGAATTGATATTTTGTAGTTCTATTAACATATCAATAAGTAATTCCGCTCCCAAATAGAATGGCAAAACACAGGTACAGAGGAAACTATCCTGGCTAATAGGAAATGTTTTATACATATCCACTGCTTGTTTTAGAAGTATCTGCAGCTCCTGAGTAAAGTTCCAAAGGGCCCGACAGCAATTCTGGAGCAGAGTCCAATAGCCACCACGATGAGCAAGAACCTAAGACAAACACAACATTAAAAAAACCCCATAGTTTCAAAAGTTAGAGATCTCTGAACAACTTCATCTTTCTGCAAAAATTATGTCAATAATAAAAAATAACTAACACCATTTATTATGTGTCACTTATATCATTATCTCAGTTAATTCTAACAATAGCTCCTATGAAATAAGTGTGCACTAGTATTCTATTTAATTTACAGATAAGGAAACACAGGCATGGAGCTAACTTGCCCAAGGTCATGATCTACTAAGTGGTTAGCTAAGATTTGCACACCAGCAGTCTGACTCCAACATTTCCATTGTTCTAGATTCTGGGAATGTGGCAATTAGCAAGGGTAACCAGGTCTGCCCTCATGCTGCTTCAATTTATTAGTGGAGACTGAACACTAGGTAAGTGGACAAATGAAAATATAGTTTCAGGGAATAATAAGTATCATAAAGAAAAATAAAGCAGAAATGAGTCAGAATCTGACAAGCATGAAAGGATATGCCCTTTTTGACAGGGGTGGTCAGGAAAAAAGTCCTCTCTGAGGAGGTGACATGAGCAGAGACTTGAATATTGAGTTGAGCAAGTCATAGGAAGGTGGGGGAGAGAGTGTTGGGAGGACAGCATTTGAAACTGAGGGAGCAGCAACTGCAAAGGATGGAGGATGAACTTGAGGGACGAGAAAGAAACAAGCTCAGTGCTTTCAAGATCACACAGAGGAGAGTGGACTGAATGAGAGCAAGATGAACTGAGTTCCAAGAAGTGAGCAGGACCCAGACCTTCCAGGGCCCTGAAGCTGGTGGAAAGGATAGGATGCAATGCTCATGGTCATGGGGGATGATGTGGGTTTACTTCACATTTTTCAAGAAAGCACCCTCTCCACAGAGAAAATGGGAACTCAAGTGTTCTAGAAAGGATAGATTTCCTCTCAACTCTTGAGATGTTTGAAGTATATGCCATTCCTGCAATGAGAAAAAGGAAACTAATTTCTCTGTAGCTAATGATTCTGATTCTAAGTTTAATAATGTAGCATATAATATTTAAGAAAAGAAAAGCATTTGAGAGAAGACACAATTGGTTTGTAGAAACAGGGGGTCAGGGGCCAGGAGCAGGATTTTCCTGTGGCCCAGAAAGAGTGTTCCCTGTGCTAGAGGGAATAAAGGGGTTTATGGTACCCCAGGCAGGAGCAAGACTCCAGAGAGGAACCACTGGTGTCACCACCATAGAAGTGCATGTACCATATGTGGCAAGAAAGTGGCAGAGGAGTATCTGAATATTCACAGAGATTGTGTAGACAAGGACAAAGGCCACCTCAGCTCCACACCAATGGATGGCTTATGACTAAAGCAGCTTACCCCTCTCCCTGACAACCTCACAATGTGTAAATCTTCAGCACTATGGCAGGCAAACCTCAAAAATGATTGATGTGAAACCCAGGAAATTTAGTTTCAAAGTTGAAACTAAAATTATGGATAGTAAGTAAATAAATACATCTTACATGCTCAAACTAATGGCCTGAGATTTATGTCTACTAATTTAGCAAATTAGAAGGACCACCTTACCATTGCTCTCCTGCAATATAAGAAGATTTTCATAAAATGATCCAATAGACTCAAATTTGCTGCTTGATCCTTTTCTTTAGCACTAAGACCTGACTGAGAGTCTGAATCATAAACTGTTTGTGTCTTGGATACATTTTCATCACTCATTCTGGAATTAACAAATGTGGAAAATTCTTCAGCATCTACAGTACAAAAATAAAGTATAACATTATTGAAGACAGAAAGTTCCAGAAGACACAGGTGATAAGCATCAAATGAGTAATTAAGATAAGAAATGCTATATAAATTTGGAGGAAGGATGGGATTATCATGGACACAATGAACCAAGGAAAACTTTCTAGAGAAGGAGGCATCTAGATTAGGTCTTAAAGGGTGAACATGGTTTAGCTATGCAGAAAGACTATGGAGAACATCATTCTGGGCAAGGGTGATGGCCAAAGGAACAATGCAGAGGCAGGAATGTCATGTTTTCTGAGGGACCAATCACAGAATCCCACTTAATTTCCCCCTAAATAGTCCATTCCCAGGACACATACACTAGAAGGTGAGTAGCATCCCCTGGAGTTAGGCAGTGCAGCTACCATGTCCATTCATTATCCTGTTGGTGTGATATAAAAACACAGATTTCTCCTACCACAAACCTTGTCTTAGAACTTTGCATTAAATAATAAGTCTAAATAGCACAGTATTCTATTGGTGATTCCATGGGAGGTCTTAGGCAACTAGTTAAAAAAAAAAAAACTCAAGCTATGTATTACTATCTACATACAAAACTTGGACTCTGTGTCTAGGGAATTTACTTTCAAATATTTCAATATTCATAGTATAACATGAAGGTACCAGTTAAAGCCAATCTACACCCTAGAAGAAATCAGAAAGCATATCAAGTACCTCAAATATGAATCAACATTCCTGGGGCAGTTACCCAGCATATGAAGTATTCTGATCAGCAATAAGTTACATAGCACTTAAAATACCATTACTAAAAATCTACAAAAGAGGGTTTGTAATCGCATGAAGATATTAGAAATAAATCCTTCTTTGTGAAATGAGTGGTATTCAAGATAGGTGATTGCTTAGGAATAGTGTCATCAGTTGTAGCACCCCGATCAAGAGCCATGTTCACTCGCATTTCACCACCCCCCTCAGTGAGTCTCCCGTCACCTGAGCAGATGACAAGAATATTGGCTGGTCCTGCCATTCAAACAAATATTATTGCATTAACCTTGGAGTAAGCTTTCATGGAAGGTGTTGGTTGGAGATCCTAAGGCAAGAGTAGACTCCCCTGAGGATAAAATCGGTACTATGCCGGTTGCATCAGTATGTGTGGTGGAATTTGTTCTGAAACTTACTTCTGCTAAAATATAACACCTGATATCAAGTCTTCACCTATCTTGACAATAGGAGGCTACCAACATTTTAAAAAGAACCTTAGGGGTGCCTGGATGGCTTAGTCAGTTAAGTGTCTGACTCTTGATTTTGGTCCAGGTCATGATCTCAGGGTTTTGAGATCCATGCCCAGCATGGAGCCTGCTTAAGATTCTCTCTTCCTGGGGCGCCTGGGTGGCTCAGTCGTTAAGCGTCTGCCTTCGGCTCAGGTCATGATCCCGGTCCTGGGATCGAGCCCCGCATTGGGCTCCCTGCTCAGCGCGAAGCCTGCTTCTCCCTCTCCCACTCCCTCTGCTTGTGTTCCCTCTCTCACTGTGTCTCTCTGTCAAATAAATAAAATCTTAAAAAAAAAAAAAAAAGATTCTCTCTTCCTCTCCCTCTGCCCCTCCTCACCACTCTCTCCCTTTCTTAAATAAATAAATAAATAAATAAATAAATAAATAAGACATTGTATTTGGTGAACAGCCAAACTGGTTTAGGTTAGAATATACCATATATATTTCCAAACACATATCATAAAAATATAGAAAATTTTAAAAAACGAGAAAATAAGGATCTCCTACAAAATACCACAACTCAATTAAATTCCTGGGTCATTGGAAAATGATATCTGTACTTCTGTGTGTCTGTGGAGTGTGTGTGTGTGTTCATGTGTGTGTTGCATCAGTGAATAAGAATATAGAGGCAATTTGATAGTATATATCATAATTTTTTATTTTACCTGATGGTAAGTTGGCCTTTCTTTTTTTAGCTGTATGAAGGAAATCAAGTATCAGTTTATAGTTTTCTAGAGTCAATTTCGCCGTTGGTAATACTGTTCCTGAATTATATAGTGAGAACATATTAGGATCACATGATCGGAAACTGCAGGGGAGAAAATATCATTAAAAATATATATATAAACAAAATTGAATTGAATCTGTCAAATATAATCTACTTTAATTTTTAAATTATTTGTGAGTTAGTGTTTCCAAAATTTGGATCATAACATATTCTGGCACTTAACCAAAGCCAAACAATTTCCCATTAAATTTTAAAATTATACAATGTAGGGCACCTGGGTGGCGCAGTTGGTTAAGCGACTGCCTTCAGCTCAGGTCATGATCCCAGGGTCCTGGGATCGAGTCCCACATCGGGCTCCCTGCTCTGCAGGGAGCCTGCTTCTCCCTCTCCCACTCCCCCTGCTTGTGTTCCCTCTCTCGCTGTGTCTCTCTCTGTCAAATAAATAAATAAAAATCTTTAAAAAAAAAAATTATACAATGTAATTTTGCTCTTAGGAATTTCAACAACAATATCTATTTCCCTGAAAGGGCCCTTGAAAATGGGAATGACGATCTACACTCATTCTGAGGACTCTGAAACAATAATTTATGTCAATTTAACCTGATTCAAACACAGTTCAATGAAGATGCCTATAAAAAGCAATGTGTCCACAATCAATGTTATGAAGGTTCAATCTGGTAATGATTTTAACCAAAATTCTAAAGAAACAGAAACTGGTACCAAGTTCACCATGGATTTCACCTGCATATTTTATCACTGGATTATTGAAATAAATACCCTTTTAATTCGTACCCCTGTCACAGTCTCTCCTTCCTCCAATCCATTTGATATGTTGCTGCCAGAGAAATTTTTTATCATTGCCCTGCTCAAAAACCCTTAATAATCTCCCGCCGTATATAAATTAAAGTTCGGGAAAAAAAAAAAGAAAAAAAAAACCCTCCATGATCTGGTACTGATCTATTTTTTTTAATTATTTCACCCCATTCCTTTTAATTTACCCGAGATTCTGGTCATACCATTTGAGGTTCTCATCTTGTGTTTCCTACCTGGGCTCTGATTCATGTGCTTCCAACCACCTGGAATACCTCTTTCCCTATCTGCACATTTCTAAATCTTGCCTATCCATCATGAACCAGGCCAAGTGGTCCCTCCCCATGAAAACTTTCCTGTGAGTTTCAGTCAGAGGAAAGCCTTTTCCCAGGAACAAAGAAGATTTTGTGTATATTTCACCTTATACCATTATTTACAATTGTTCATTAACACTTGTGATCTACCCTGCCAGACTCTAACTTGTATGTCCTGCTCATCTTTTCATGCCCTTTGTGTCTACCTCAGTACCTTGTATCTAACAGGCGCTCAGTTGTATTTTTTTTTTAATTAAAGACTCTACTCACCTTTTTAATGATTACATAGTATTTCATGTTATGTATTTATCTTCTATTTTAGCTCCCATAACACTTTAGCCAAAAACACTCAAGAGCTCAAAAGTGTCTTCTGAATTAATGATATAAAGTGTACATTGTATGAGAAAATACAATCTGTGTTTATAGAGCCTTAAAATATACCTCAAAATGAAACAGCTTTGTCTAATACCTAATAGCTACAGTTATTACACAATTAATATTAAATTTCTCTTGAAATGATACTATCTCCTATACAGAAAGCTATATTAACAAACATATTCAAGACACGTGCAGATTAGTACTTCCTAAGTGCTTATATCCAGCACTTGTTTGGGAAAGATTCTGAGGCAAGAAATTAAGTAATATACCAATGCTCAGTAAAGAGAGAAGCACTCTGTAAACCTCTTTATTATCAACATTGGATCCTTGACCATAACAAATAAAATCCATGCTCATGCTAAAAAAGTATCATTCGCTGGTAACATTCTATACCTGACCACTGGATGTGAAGAGCCAAATTTCATCTTCATACGTTCCCCTAGCTTCGTTAAAAGCAGGTTGAAGTGTGCACTTGCCAGATACAGGTTCATCTGAGCTCTCCAGGGCATCTCCTCAAGAAATATTTGATGGAACCTCTTCCTTTTCACAAAACTTAATATTATAGGATTCAAGTTATCCACCAGGAATCGATAGGCAAGTTTTCTAACATCAGTTCTCTTATTTCTGCCAAGGAGAAACAAGTTTTGAAATTACACAAGCTTCCAGATATTTAATAACGAAGAATGATTCCAATTTGTATAAAATACACCAAGAAGTCACTTGACTGCCCTTATACAAATGTTTCTGGCTTATTCATAATTTCCATGGTGCTAAGAATGTGAAAGAGGGCAGTAGACAAGCCATGAGGATAAACAGTAAGGACAAAGACACTATGTATTGCCTTCCATTCTCTCTGATGTCTGTGTCCTAAGCTCCAACCAGACAACTTTTCTTTTCCATAACCAAAAGGCCACTGAGATTAGACAAACGAATTACAATATAATGTTCACATTCATCCCCTAACTTCAATATTAAAAGAAAAATCATTTCTCTGTATTGTTCCTTAAGGAAAAAAACAATGGAGCAAAATTTTTTCCAACATTAGACTACAGCAGAAATAAAATATCAACTATAAATGAAATAACTTCATAAATCCATACTCAATATGCTCTGAAAAAAACTAATTTCAAAATTTAGCTAATAGTTCATATTTTAAGTGCAGCATATATTCAGTTTGTTTAAAATTATTCCTATCAAAATCTCAAAGTCATCCAACTATTTTTATAGTTGCATAACTGTTTACAGGGCATGATTTGATTTCTTCAAAGTACTTTTTTTTTTATGTTGACAATGCTGCTACCCCATTGGTCAGTGCCATTCTATCTGATTTATATTGCAGAAAGGAAAAAAAAAATCTCAATTGGTAAGTGAGAGTATCTTGCTTGCTTTAATAGATAACGTGTCTGAATCTGACGCAACATGCACACGCACACACACACACACACACACGAGAAGGAAAGGAAGGTGGATGGAAGGTCAAATCTCCTCAAAAGGCCCAGGAGAGTTTGACAGGACTAGCCACATCTTCCCTGCACTGAAGGTGAGAGTCCAGGGAGAGAAGTGACAGAGGACAGTCTTCCTCCACGAATCTTGTCGAGGTAGTAATAGACCCAAGGGGCTTGGAAGGGACCGAGAGCCAGCCCAGAGGGTAGAGAATGCTTCTTCTTTTACCACCTGAGTAGTTCCTAATGTGCAGGGTACTCCATAAGCAGCTCTGTGTCTCTATGAGCCACAGATATGAGCGGACCCAGCAGCCAGAGAGGAAGTTCAGGAGGGACAGTCAGCATAAATAAATGCTCAGTGATATGGAACCATAAGAAGAAGACAGAAACCTGAATTAGGAAGATATTAAGGAATCCAGACACTATCACCGGTATATTCTAGCTTGAACAAATAAGTCAATATATTGACATTAACGGAAACAGGATTCCTACCATTATAAAAAAAAATTACACTTAGGGAAAGAGAAAACACTGGAAAGTATCTTGTGGTATGGAACTGAAACTGGACATATCAGTATGACCTTATTACAGTTTTAGATAGATACATAGATCTATTTAGGTGGACATAGCTATTTCCTAGTTTTGTCTGTTGAAAGGGCCTAGAAGCAAAGATACATCAGTAGCCTCCAGAACTTAGATTCTAAATACCAATTCCACTAAAAGGAATCAACTGATTCCAGGGCTGGGACAGGGAAGGTACAAGATGAACATCTCGTGGTAAATAAGAAGAAGCTCAAAAAAATGATGGGGACATGTCAAAAAGACTAAAGAGCTGAAAGGGCTCCGGATGGCCAAATCTGGAACAATCTGAGACTCAAAATAAATAATAATGTTAATTTGATAAAGGATATCCACAAAAACAAACCTACCACAAATATAATTCTTAATGATAAAATGTTGAAAGCTTGAAAGCTTTTCCTCTGAAATGGGAATCAGACAAAGGTACCCACTAATATCATTTCTTTCAGCACTGAAATAGCGGGCTTAGCAAGAACAAAAAGGAAGATAAAGGCAGTGGGAGCAGGGGAGGAGTATAAGGATTGAAAATAAAGAAGTAAAGCAGCTGTCAATCATAGACAATACGATTATATATTTATAAAATCCAAAATAACCTACAGATAAGGTATTAGAATTAATCAGTGAATTTATTAAGCCCATGGAAGACAAAGTCAATATACAAAAAATAACTCTATTTCTAATACCAGCAATAAACAATTAAAAATGAAATTCTAAAAAGATATTTCTAATAGCTTAAAAAATACCTAGGAATTAACCAAAGCAAAGATGTGCAAGACCTACTCACAGAAAATAGAAATTATAAGGATAATCTTACACTACCATATACTAAAAATTGTAAGGTACAGTTAAAATAGTGATAAGAAGGAAACATGTTAGCCTTCAATGTTTTCTGATTCAGAACAATCTCAACCAAATTTTCAATAAGTGTTTTGTATTTTTAAATTATCAAAATAATTTCTATTTTCCCCCCATGAATTAATTCTAAATGTCTATTTAAGACTTTCAGATGTATAGGATCTTTTTGATTCTATCTTTTCAAAAATTGGTCTCTACTGTGTAAATCAATTATGGTGAAATGTGGTTTGTATGAGTCCAATATTTGAAAATTCTTGAGATTTGCCTTAGAGTCAATACTATAAATGTTCTATGTGTGCTTTAAAAAATAAATGCTTTTTAAAAAAATCCTCTAAAAAATAGGCATTTTCTAGTTGTTGGCTATTCACAATCTTTTTTCTCCTAAATTTAAAATCAGCTTGTCCATGTCCATCAAGATAATCCCAAAATTAAATGAGGCAAGTATCCTACAACTGTACATACTCTTACTGAAATATCTGTTCATGTTTTTTGATATTTTTTACAATTTTATTTTTAATTGTCTTTTGCTCATTTTCTAATCGGACTGTTTGTTTTTATTATTCTTTTGAATTTTGAGAGGTCTTTATATATTCCAGATATAAGGTCTTTCTTGGATATGTGGTTTACAAATACTTCCCAGTATGTAGCTTGTCTTTTCATTCTTTTCACAGGGTCTTTCACAGAGCAAAAGTTTTAAATTTTGATGAGGCCTGAGGTTGTATGGTAAGCCTATGTTTAATTTTATAAGAAATCTCACAGTCTTTTCCAGAGTGGCTGTATCTTTTCACATTCCCACCAGCAGTGTACACATGACCCAGTATTTAGTGTTATCACTATTTTTTATTTTAGCCATTAAAATAGGCTTTAGTGATACCTTGTGGCTTTAATTTGCCTCTCTCTAATGGCTAATGATACTGAACATCTTTTTATGTGTTTGCCATCTGTATATAAGCAAAACTTTCAATATCTCTTCACAATATGACAATCCACACAGAAAACTTGTATCTATGAATAAATTATCAAGCCTATAGAAGATTGAATTGTTTACAAATCACTTAAGTTCCTATACAAAAAAATAGAAGCATTCAAAAATGTAATTTTAAAATACAATTTACATTAATACCAAAAAGCACCTCTTTGATGTAGCTAATAAAAGATGTATAGCATCTTTACGGAAACTACCATAAAAACTTATTGGAAGACGTAAGTACGTGGTCATATACTAACAGAAAGAATCAATACGGGGGGTGGGAGGAAGTTCTAAAACCAACCTATATAGTCAATTATATCTCTATCAAAACCATGAGTTTTTTGTGTTACTTGACAAGCTATTCCAAACCACTCTGTGGAAGAATATCCAAGACTTGTGTGAACATGGAGAGACTTGATCTATCAGACACCAAGAATCAACTTAATGCCAGAGTAAGGATGATGGTGTGATATTGACCCACAAAAAGATAAACAGACTAGGACAGAAAAGAGATCTCAAACCTGTATATATGAAAACTTGCTAAACGACAAAAGAGACAGTGGTGGCAGAATAGACTACTTGATAAATGGCTAACAATGGCTACTTGGTAAATGGGTCGAGCCAGTTGGGTACCTATAACAAAACTACAAGAGATGGGGAGGGGGACTCTTCCTCTCATGATTCACAAAAATAAAATACAGTTAGATGAAACTCCTAAATCTGGGGCGCCTGGGTGGCTCAGTCGGTTAAGTGACTGCCTTCGGCTCAGCTCATGATCTCAGAGTCCTAAGATCGAGGCCCACGTCAGGCTCTGCTCAGTGGAGAGCCTGCTTCTCCCTCTCCCTCTGCCCCTCCCCCTCGCTTGTGCTCTGTCTCTCTCTCAAATAAATAAAATCTTAAAAAGAAAAAGAAACTCCTAAATGTGAAAATCTAAAATTTAAATTCATGAATATACCTTTACTATCTTGTTCAAAAACAACAAAGAGAAATGGTGATACATTTTGCTCCATTAAAAATTATAACTTTTGATTTTAAAAAGAAAACCTTTAAAATGTAAATAGATGAGCCACAAACTTGGAAAAGCAATAGTATCCAAACTTCTAAAAATAAATGAGAAAACAACAAAAGTTTTTAAATGTACAAAGGATCTAAACAAGAAGTGCTGAGAAAAGAAAAACCCTAGGATCTAATAAAAACATGAAAAGATGCCTAAACTCATTACTAATTAAATAAATAAAAATTAAAATAATAATGACATAAAATTTCACAACTCAACAGTCCATAAAAATTCAAAAATTTGATAATATCAAGTGTTGGTAAAGATGCTGAATAATGGAAACTTGACACACCACTGATGGAAATTTAAGAGCAACTTAGCAATAACTAATAATGTGAAAAATGTTCATATCTTGGGAACTATACTCTTCAATCAATGAGAGATGAAGAATAGAATAAATGAAATTAGAAACAGGTTTGATTCAATGAACAGCAGGCTGGAAAAAGAAGAGGAATGAATTAGTGACCTAGAAGACAAAATAATGGAAAATAATGAAGCTGAACAAAAGACAGAAAGAAGAATTATACAACACAAGAATAGACTTAGGGAACTCAGTGAGTCCGTCAAATGTAATAACACTCATATCACAGAAGTCTCAGAAGAAGAGAGAGAAAGGCTGGCAGAAGATTTATTTCAAGAAATAATAGCAAAAACTTTCCTAATCTGAGGAAGGAAACAGACATCCAGATATAGGAGGCACAGAGAAACCCCATCAAAATCAACAAAAGCAGGCCAACACCAAGACATATTGTAATTAAATTTGCAAAATATAGTAATAAAGAAAAAACCTTAAAAGCAGCAAGATAAAAGAAGTCCTCAACTTACACAGGAAAGTCCATAAGACTACCCAGAAATTTCTCAAAAGAAACTTGGCAAGCCAGAAGGGGGTGACATGATATATTCAAAGTACTGAATAAGAAAAATCTGCAGCCAAGAATACTCTATCCAGCAAGGCTATCATATCAGAATAGAGGGAGAAATAAAAAGTTTCCCAGACAAACAAAAACTAAAGGAGTTCATGAGCACTAAACCAGCCCTGCAAGAAATATTAAAGGGGACTCTTTTGAGTAGAAAGGAAAGACCAAAAGTGACAAAGACAAGATAGGATCAGAGAAAATCTCCAGAAATGACAAAACAAGTAATAAAATGGCAATAACTACATACCTATCAATAATTACTTTGAATGTAAGTGGACTAAACAAGACCCATCTATATGTTGGCCATAAGAGACTCATTTTAGACCTAAAGACACCTGCAGATTGAAAGTGAGGGGGTGGAGAAACATTTATCACGCAATTGGATGCCAAAAGAAAGTCAGAGTAGCAATACTTATATCAGACAAACTAGACTCTCTGTTTTGTATTTTTTTTTTCCTGCTTTGTTATTTAGGGTAGTACTGGCCTCATGGGATGATTTTGAATGTGTTCCCTCTATTCTATTATTTGTAAGATTTTGATAAAGATTGTCATTAATTATTTTTCTTAAATGCTTGGTAGAATTCACCAATGAAACCAGGTGATGTAGAGCTTTTCTGTGCTGGGAGCTTTTTGATTCCTAATTCAACTTTCATTCTTGTTATTGGTCTAAGAAGACGTCCTACTTCAAGATTCATGATTCAATCTTGGTAACTTGCTTGTTTTTAGGATTATCTGGGTTTTTTTCTAAGTTATCTGATTTCTTAGCACGTAATTATTTCTTTTTTTTTTAAGATTTTATTTATTTATTTGACAGAGAAATAGAGAAAGAGCACAAGTAGGCAGAGTGGCAGGCAGAGGGAGAGGGAGAAGCAGGCTCTCCGCTGAGCAGGGAGCCGGACGTGGGGCTCAATCCCAGGACCCCAGGATCATGACCTGAGCTGAAGGCAGCCGCTTAACTGACTGAGCCACCCAGGCACCCCTGTACATAATTGTTTCTAATAATCTGTTACCATACTATGTATTTTTGACATACTATTGGCTGTTCTATTTTTTGACATACATTTGGCTATTCTATTTTTTTTCTCTTCTGTTTCTCATTTTGGTTTTTGAGGCTTCTCTCTCTTTTTTTTCTTAGTTGATGTAGTTAGAGCACTGCCAATTTTGTTTATTTTTTTGGAAAAACTGGTCATTACTTTCAATTTTATGTTATTGCTTATCCTGGTCTCTATTTTATTTATTTCTGATTTTTCTTTGTTATTTCCTTCCTCTGCTAAATTTCAGCTAAGTTCTTCTTTTTCTAGTTCCTCGTGGTTTAATGTTGTTTATTTGAACTTGTTTTCTTAATACAAGCATTTATAGCATAAAAAAGTCATAATTTAAATCAAGAAAATAAAGGAATAATCAAACAGATAGTAGGCAAATGCAAAGTAAGAGTGGTTCTATTAATATGTACATGTTGCTCTTAAAATCCAAATCATTAAACAGATAAAGACATTTTATGTATATAATGAAGATAAGATATATAAAGAATATATAAGAATCATAAGTTCCTACTCATAAAAATAGAAGCTAAACATTTTACCATGATAAGCTTTATGGTTTCAGTTTTTTTGAATAAGAACGTAAGGACCACCAATAATGAAAAGTAATTTATGAACTGGTCTTTTAACCACCCTATCTAAACCACTCCTGCCACCACTTCCAACCAAGGCCAGTTACTCTATAGCCTATCATCCTGTTCACTTATTTTATAAAATGTATCAAAATTTTACCCTGTCTTGTTTATTTGTGGATTTACTTATTTACTGTGCTCCTGTCATTAGTATGTAAGTTCCCCAAGGGCAGTGATCTTATCTATCTAGTCCACCACTATATCCCTAGTTCCCAAAATAATGCCAACCACATAGTAACATTTACTGAATTAATAAATCAGTCAATACCTTTCATGTTCCACCATTTCAGAAAAAGATGGATTTTTGGAAAAAAATTCTCTTAGAGTTTCCTTTCTTCTTTTTCTTGGCAACAGTTCTATAGTCTTAACAGGAGAGATGACAAAAATGTTACAAATTAAATCTAAACTCTGAACACAATACAGTTTATTCATACTCTAATGCTTATCTCTTGACATTGAAATACAGTGATTTCTTTATACCCCTCAATTAAAATTACTATCAAAAGCAACAGGGGCGCCTGGGTGGCTCAGTCATTAGGCGTCTGCCATAGGCTCAGGTCATGATCCCAGAGTCCTGGGATCGAGCCCCGCATCGGGCTCCCTGCTCAGCGGGGACCCTGCTTCTCCCGTTCCAGCTCCCCCCGGTTTGTGTTCTCTTTCTCGCTGTGTCTCTCTCTGTCAAATAAATAAATAAAATCTTTAAAAAAAAAAAAGAAACAAAAAAATTTATGATTATAAAATATCCATGTGATAACTTAAGAATTATAATGTACTGGGACACCTGGGTGGCTCAGTCGGTTAAGTGTCCAACTCTTGATTTTGGCTCAGATCATGATCTCAGGATTGTGAGATTGAGCCCCAAGTCAGGCTCCACATGGAGCCTGCTTAAGATTCTCTTTCTCCCTCTCCCTCTGCCTCTCCCCCTCCCCACTTATACATGCATGCCTGCACTCTTTTTCTCTCTCAAAAAAAAAAAAAATTATAATTTACTGTATAATAATAAAATTGTTGATATTTCCTTCTGTTTCATATTATAATAAATTATAATGCAGCCAATCATCTTTAGATACATGAATCTCTTATTTCATTAACTTAAAAATCAAAACTCGTAAGACATTTACCCTTCCAATCTCCATTACTGCAGCTTTGAACTTCTTCAAAGGTTTGGTTGTCTTTTTACACAAAACATTATCCTTATATTTCATTCTTCTTATTCCAAGTAGGGACTCATTCCTCCTAATACAAAAAGATAAAGTCAGTTAAAAGGATCTGTAAGAATTTGCAAAACTATACCAAAGCAATAAATCTTTAATGAATGTTGTCACTGAAATGGTATGAGAAGAATATCCAAAATTATTTGTGTCTCGTGCATAAATAAGATTGTGATATTCCTAATAATCAAGGAATAGCTGGCCTCTTGAAAGAGCAAAATGTAAATCATACCATAAAATGTGATGAGAGCTGACGTGTGACATGGGAAAAACAGAATTGGATTGAAAATAAAACATGAACATGTCCCTTTAAAACTGAAAACATAATTATGTAAGAGTGACCCTGGACAAGCTATCTTGCTTGCAACAGATTTCAGTCTCTTTGGTTCCATCATGTCCAGGCTCCTAGCCACTATCACCTTCTGGATACCAACAGGTGCTAAGCATTTTATATGCCTACAAAAACTTTTTCCTTTCCCCAATCACTTGTTGAAGTTCTTAATCTCATTTTTTTCAATCTGCCATGGACCCCTATAGTAATTCTTCAAATACTGTGAAGTCTCTTATTATCCCTCCTTCTACTGATACTTATCATTTATTTTCCCTGCAATTTATATATTTTCTAAAATTTATATTTCTTTGAGTAAGTACTTGCTAATACCAGCAAATCCCTGCTTTCATTGGGATGCCTGAGTGGCTCAGTCAGTTAAGTGGCTAGGAGAGCCTGGACATATTGGTTAAGCGCCCAACTCTCAGTTTGGGCTCAGGTCATGATCTCAGGGTTCTGGGATTGAGCCCCAAGTCAGTGCAGAGTCTGCTTGTCCCTCTCCCTCCCCCTCTGTTTCTCTCTCCACTCGCACTCTCTCTCTTTCTCTCAAGTAAATAAAATAAAATCTTAAAAAAAAAAAAAAACCCTGCTATCACATGATAAATGGGGTCCAAAACCTTAAATTGAATAAAATGTAGGGTCACATCAATACAAGGCTAATGAAAAGACTGGGTGAGTCTGGATAGCTAGTTACACTGGAGGTGGGGATCCACCCTCTGCGACTTGCATTTTGAAACTGGTTGCCTGCCGTTTTCTAAGCAGGTTGGTCTCTTCCCTACCTCTCCTGACTCTCCCACCCCCCAGAATGCTTGAGCTGGTTGCTGTTATGGCAGAAAGAGATGGGAAGGAGAGGAGGTCACAGATAAACACTTGCCATCCTCCTATCCTCTTAACAGTCGCCTCCATGCTCTGAAGAACTCTCACCCCCTGAAATCAGTTAAACTTCTCCACTTCTCAACCTCTTCACAGAATTATTCCTCCTAGCCTTTTATTTTGTTTATGGTATGTTATGAAAATGGTATTTTAAAATTTTTATGTAGTCAACGCTATCGATCTTTGATTTCATGGCTTATTCACTGTTTTGATTACTTATATTACTACCTTTTTCTAACGTGAAACATTGAATCCCAATAGCTATCTGCCTATTATTTCACAAACAGAACTCTGTTATACTTTATCTGATAATACAAATCTCTCTTTTGCTCTTTTTCATTTCTCAAATATTTTTCATTATTCTACACCATTCCATAAAGCTAACATGATTGGAGTTACATTAAGCCAACAAATTAATTTGAAGATAATAGAAATTACAGTAGTCCATCTGCCCATCAAGTAATGCACTATGTCTCCATTTATTCAAGTCATTTTTAAAAATATATCTTAGTAAAAATGTTTGGTCTTCTTTTATTAGCCTAAGTCCCCTCACAAATCCTCATAAATTTAATCCTATGCTTCATAGAAATGGGATCATTTTTCCATTATTCTTTCTAGTTTATATAGGAAAGCTATTGGTTTTGTAGCTAGCTATCCTGTGGAATTCTGTTATTTCTGATAGTTATCAGTCAATTAGCTTAAGTTTAAAAAAAAATTATTATTTGCAAATACCAATCATTTTATCTCCCTTTCAGAGTATTTCACTGTGGAATTCATTTGACAAACATTTTTGAGACCCTATTATGTGATAATCACATGAATTCTAATCCTAATTTCTATTTCTTATTTTAATGCACTGGCAAAAATTTTCAGAACAATATTAAATGATAGAAGGAAAAATAAGTTTCCTTATCATAAAGCTTATTTTAACAGAAAATATTCTTCTAATCCTAGTTTGCCAAGAATGGTTGTTGAATTTCACCACATGACTTTTTAGCATTTACTATAGGCTCCTTCGCCTACCAGTAATAATTACATTTCCAGATTTCCTACTATATTTATATTGATAATAAGATCTACATTTTCAACACTGAATTTACAAGCTATTTTATGAATTTTTGTTTCTATATACTGCTAAGTAAGACTGATTCATAATTTTCTATTTTTTTAATTCTTTTTATAAACCTGTTAACAGAGACTCCTGTGATAAATTTACTAGCAAACTTTATACCCATGTACTGAAATAGCTTTATGTAAAGTAAAACTTATTTGGTTCCTTTAAGTATGAAAGAACTAGCCTTAAAAAAAATCTGAGCCATTCAAATTCTTTTTAATACTTCAGTTTTTATAATTTAAATTTCTCCAGATTATCATCACTTTCAACTAGAAATTTCAAATTTATTCATATTAAATTATATATGCTGCTATCTAATGTTTGTTTAACCCCTTCCAAATTTAGAATTATTACTTCTTTGGATTACTTATATTTCACTTTTTCTTATTATGCTGGAAACTCACCTAATTTATTAATATCTTCAAAGAACCAGTTCTAGCAGTTATCAATTATTTTTTTTTAAGAGAGTGAGCATGAGCAGGGGTGGGGGTACAGAGGGAGAGGAAGAGAGAGAATCTCAAGCAGCCTCCCCGGCCAGCATGGAACCATTCGGGGGCTCAATCTTACAATCCTGAGACCGTGACCTGAGCTGAAATCAAGAGTCCGAAGCTTAACTGACTGAGCCACCCAGGTGGCACCTTCAGTTAAAACCAAGTTATAATTGTTTAATTTCAACTTGTATTTTTATTTTCTTTTTTCTGCTTTCTTGGATCAATTTTATTTTTCTAATTGCTCGAGTTCAATAAAAATTCATTTGATTTTATTTTTCTTATTTAGTAATACAGGCTTCTAAAGCTAAGAATTTCTTATTGCTGTTTTGAGCAAATTTGATACTAGGGTTTCTCATCATCATTACTTTCAAAAGTCTCTATACTTTTGGTTAGATTTCTTTTTTGATCCAATAATTATACATATGGCAGTAATGTATTTTGTTATAAAATTTCAGCTTTAGTATACTGTAAGAGAATGTGGTCTTTACAAATTTTAGCCTAGGTTATGTACTGAGCCCTATTTTGCAGCTTAAATATTACTTTTTAAAAAATTTAATGACTGCTTTAAAGAGTGTTTAGTCTCAATTGGCTATATATATTAAATTAATCTTATTAATTATATATACTTTCTGTGTCCTTTTTATTTCTTTTTAAACTAGCATGTTAAACTCTCTCAATATTATTTTATTTTGTCAAATCAGCCTTGTCTTTTCAGCAGTTATTTCCATATACATGGATTTTTGTTATGTAAAACATGAAAATTCATGAAATATCTTCATTGTGATTTATAAGCATTATTGGTAGAATCACCCACTTTGAATGTGAAAAGATAGAATTAAAAATAAGTAACAAAGAGATTGTTCTTTAAATATTACCAGGACAACTGATAAACTGGGGAACCTAAAGTTTAATTTAAATCCCCATACCAAAATAAATTCCATATGGATTAAAACATTAAATATAAATCATGAAACCATAAAAGTGGAAGAGAATACAGCTGCACATTTGCCTGTTGCAGAATATTTTCTTTGTGCAAAAATATGTTAAGCATACGAACATAAAAAGAAAAACAGATATTACTATCAAGGTAGAAATCAAGGTGTTCCATCTGCTCCTCCTCTATATTCCCTGATTTAGAGAAGAGCATCCTAAAACATCTGCTCAGCCTAGAAAATTGAAATCATTACCTTTGTTTTGAACTCAAGTCATACTGCTCAATCTCCAACCTTGAGTCTTTTGTTATACCACTGGGTTAATGCTTCTAAGCCACTCACTCTGCTTTCCTCTTTCAGAATATCTATTATTCTTACATTGGACCTCCGCAGTCAGCCCTCCAAATTTCACTGCACACCAAAAGTGTCTTCTGCTTCTCTCTGGTATTAAGAATGTGATTTACAGCTTCCAGACTTCTAATCTCAGCTATGGTCTTTTTAGTTTAATAGCACTTTCTGTCTAATTCTCTGAATACTATAACCTGTTTCATTTGATAAAAGCAATTTCCTCCTTTATCGTTTGAGAATATGAAGTACATATAGTCCAAGCTTTTGTTCTAATAAATGAAGTGCCTGTTTTAGGAAGAATGTTTTTCTATATGTTTTTATGAGAATGTTTCTCTTTTGCTGCCATTTTTTAAATAGACCTCATGTGATTGATGTTTCTTTTTACTAAAATGAGAGATAGGTCTATGCCCAATGGTGAAAGAAAAGCCCAGTTGTTGGAAGAAAATGTTTGTTTGTTTGTTTGTTTACATACACAGACACAAATCCTCACTATCTTCTTGGTGGCTGTTTACCCCACCCTCGGTGTATACCCCATCCTCTCTTTCATCCACCTTATATATCTTAAAGTAACAATGTTACCTATCTTTTAAAATTGTAAATATTAATAAAATATATATTACAAATACCTTTTCAAGAAGTCATAAACAGGATTTGTTATCTCCACCATAAGATGAAATTTTTCATCATTCATACATTTTAGCATCACTTGTGTAAAGAATTCTAGGAATCTAGGTCTCTGCTTAAATTTCATAACTGTGAAAACAAAGAAGTGTAGCAGTAAATGTGGCAAGAACTCCTGTCTTTCTAAGATCAAATAATCCTTTATAGTCTATATTTATTTTTCCAAATATCTCAGTGTTGAGAAAGAGTCCATAAAAGTTAACTCTAAATACGACAAGTTAGGGATCATAAGGGACCAAAATCTTTCCAGATTTTAAATCACATTACTAGACAGGTCAATATTCTGCATTATTCTGAATGGGTAAGAATGGTCCCAGGGTCCTGGGATCGAGCCCCGCTTACCTTCTAGGTAAGAGCCTAGAACGGTGAAAGCTTTCAGACACGACAGAACCCACAGAATAAATGACCTTCAAAACTTGAGTGAACAGCAACCACACATTTAGGTCACCTACCTTCTTTTACAGCACCTTTGACCGACCAGTTTAAAACAACAGGGTAAAGAAATATAGGGTCCTCTGCTCCTGACAGTTCAGCTGTAGCATCTAAGGTTTAAAAAATTAGTAAGTTGTAGGTTCCATGTAGCATGAATTACCAAAAATGAAAATTCTTTGGAAGGAACAAAACATAGGAAAATGCTCAAGTATTCATTCTAAATTATGTGCCTTCAAAATATCAACTATATCATTATATTTTGGAGTTTAAAAAATTCAGTGATCTCAATTATTTTCCTTTCATTTTTCCCCCCTAAAAGCCAAGGAGTCCACCACCAAATAGGTGAAGAGTGTCCAGGGCATGAGTCTCTCATATTCAATAGCTGTCGTCTATCAGCAAACCCCAGACTCCGAAACCTATCAATTATGTTAACTTGATCTTTACAAAATTACCTTTAAAAGACAGTAAAGTACAGAATAATGGACAGCACAGCCCCTGGAGCCAGGCTGTCTGGGTTCAAATTCTAACACAGACGCTTTTTAGTTATGAGACCTTGGGAAGTTACTCAAAATCTCTGTGCCTCAGTTTATCTTTTTTTTTTTAAATAAAGATTTTATTTATTTGACAGAGAGATACACAGCGAGAGCAGGAACACAAGCAGGGGGAGTGGGGGAGGGAGAAGCAGGCTTCCCGCAAAGCAGGGAGCCTGATGCGGGGCTTGATCCCAGGACCCTAGGACCATGACCTGAGCCGAGGCAAGACGCTCAATGACTGAGCCACCCAGGAGCCCCTCAGTTTCTTTATCTTTAAAATGAGGATAACAGTACCTTCCTCATATGGTTCTTATATAAGGGTTATATGTATATGTATAAAACACTTAACATACATAGTTCCTGGCACACAGAAAGCACAGTATAAAACTATTATTTTTATTACTGTTTTGTTATTAAATCTATTGTTCGGCTAGTAACATTACATTGTTTTTCTTTGTAAAATGTTTTTATTGATAATATGAAAATAATTCACATTTCTAAAACACTTTACATTTTGGGGCACCTGGGTGGCTCGGTCAATTAAACATCTGCCTTCAGCTCAGTCATGATCTCAGGGTCCTGGGATTGAGCCTGCTCAGTGGGGAGTCTGCTTCTCCCTCTTCCCTGGGCGCTCTCTCTCTCTCTCCCCCATGTGAATCAATAAAATCTTTAAAAACATAATTCAGGGTACCTGGGTGGCTCAATGGGTTGAGCAGCGTCCTTTGGCTCAGGTCATAATCCCGGAGTCCTGGGATTGAGTCCCTCATCAGGCTCCCTGCTCAATAGGGAGCCTGGTTCTCTGCCCCTCCCCTGGCTCCTGTTCTCTCTCTCTCACTCTCTCTCTCTCAAATAAATAAAATCTTTAAAAAATAAATCAATAAAAAATAAAACACTTTACAAAAAAAAGAATGTTTAGCAAGACAATCACACCTTTCCCAAAGCTAGGTTTACTGGTTATGTGACTAACAGAGCATTGGGTTCAATTCATAAATTCAACTTGAAACAGACCTGGAACATACTGAGAGAGAGAGAGAGAGCTATCCAGGTTAGGGAATTCTGAACCCAGATATAACTGAGGCACACAATAAGAGAGGTGAAGTAGGGACACCAAATCCTATGAGTGGAGTCAGCTCCAAAAAGGCTGAGGGGCCAAAAGTGGAACCTCTGACTTGAGAAAAATTTAGAGAGAAAAGGTACTCTCTTGTTCTTCTAGAATATTTGAAGTACCTGCTTTTAAAAAGTGTGATAATATTTATCATCACCAGAAACTAAATCAATTTCTTAAGCAGATTTCCAAACTGCAAACTCCAAAATTCCAATCACTGTGTTAACATTGGTCCATTATGAAATTACCATTTGGCACAATGACCTAAAATTAAACTACTCTTTCACTTGAGTAGACCGTGGTTCAAATCACTCACGCATTAACACCCTCCACGCTATCCTTTTATTTCTCAGTTACATTTTTGCCTTTAGGGTAGTGATTCTCAATTTTGTGTCTTCCTCTCCAATATATGTGGCAACATTTGCCTTCCAGGTAATTGTCGCAGCTGGCAGGATGGTGTGCCATGTATCTATAGGTAGAGGCCAGGGATGCTGCTCAACATCCTATGGTACCCCACAGCAAAGAATTAGCTGGCCCAAATTGGCCATAGTGCCGAGGTTGAGAAACCCTGCTTTAGAATCAGAAGATTTAGGCTCAAAAACAAGCCAGCTATGTAATCCTAATAAATCACTTAATCTTTATGAACCAGATGAGGCGGGGGGGGGGGGGGGGGGGAGGGGGTTGGGGGCAGTGGTTAATAATCCGTTATTAACAGAGTATTGTTAGGATTACTGGCATAATGTAAAAGCACCTTAAAGGATTTACCAAATGTTAATCTCATCTTAATCCTTTTAACAAAATATTTTCTGATTTTAAAAAGCATAACACTAAACAGAAGTATCTAGAAAGGAAAAAAAAATGACTACATTGCTTTGTCAGTTTGAGTAGGTGTGTCTCCAACAAGGCCAGCTGTTCATTTATTTTTTCAGGTAATATTATCTGCTGTGGCTTCTTCGGCTTGGAAGACTTCTTAGAAGAACCCTAAAAACATTGGTTAAGTGTAAGAATGTACCTCAACATGTTTCAAAAACTGTCACTTTCAAATAATAATCTTTAAATTATTATTTCATACTTTGATGCTTGGTAGACAAAACTATGATCTACATGGCCAAGTGATATAAATTAATAATAGTAATAGTCATTTCATTCTAACTAAATAATAAACATCATACTCAGTGTTTTATATAAGTTGGCCAAAATATTTCTTGTCTTCCCTTCTCCCTTCCTTCCAGTAACTTCCACCCCCCCCTAACTAGCACCACCCCCTTCACCTAATACATACACTCTTCTGAAAGCAGATGAGGGTCGAACTCTAAAAAATCCTCAAAAGAAAATTCCCAGCCTGCCCTCAGCAATGTATTCCTTTTTCATTTTTCTTTTTTCCTTTCTTTTTCCCTGAGGAGCTTCTTTACCACTAAGCTAATTGCCTCTGCTGCTTTGCCTTTCAGTGAAACATAACAAGATCGGCAATTAGTGGATTAAGCATAGACAGGTCTGTGCTCAGGCTCCCCACCATGTTTTCAACAGTCTGAGCCTGAGAACTGAATGTGTTAATGTCTCCTGTACTCCAAAAAAAACAAAAAACAAAAACAAAACAAAAAAAAACCCTCCCAAGCCCCTATAGGTTTAAAGGGACCTTGAGTGGCTATAAGGAGTTCTGACTCCTATAAATTCGGTATTAGCTTCTCAGTCCCTATAGTCTTAGAAAGAAGTAGCATGACCTTCTGCTGGGCTTGAGGCTCCATGGAAAGAGGCAAGGAGTCCTGTCCTACAATGATGTAAAGGAACAGGATTGTGAGTCAAGGCCTGGGTGACATAAACGGCCCAGCTGATGGACTCTGAGAGTGAACACACTTGGGTGAAAAAGCCCTCAAATTGCATCCAGCTTAATCAAAACTCTCTCTAGACAAAATAACCCCCACCCCCCAAAAAGGATTATGGCTAAAGAAAAAAAAAAATGCATCCAGTAAAACAGTGGTGATTTTTGAAGCTTTTTGCGGCAAGCAAACACTTAACATATAATTCAGCATATAAAAGAGACAGAAATGGGGCTATTCCAACGGAAACAGAGTCCAGGAGTGATGTTCTCTACCCCCACCCCAGTCAGTGCAGGGGCTTCAGGTGACTCCTAGTGCTCCTCAGAAACCCAGTAAACTAAGCAGCATTTCATAATTTGACCCACAAAAACACATAACCACGTGGTCTCAAGAAAAGGCACTAAAACAGGTTCTATAAGACCCATGCTTGGGAGGCAGATATTAAAAAGCAGTCTCAGACATTAGCAGTCTCATAAAGAAGACAATTTAGGTGTCACAGTGAGTTTAGGAAAAATCTCCTGTGAACAAAGTAAAAAGCTCTGACATGTATTTACTACATTTTATAACCCACCCAGAATAAGAAAATCTCCAATTTGGTAGAGACTTTAGAGGGCTTTGCGTTCCAAGTTCAGCTGGGCGTAGGAAGCTATCAGTGCCTGACTAATGATCAGTACTGGTGAGAGGGGGGCTCTTCAGTATTCTAGCAGGAATTCCTTTAAATAAGGAAGGTCTTCACTATATATTACTTTTTGTCTATATAAATATGACAAATTTAAAACTGATCAATAGTCTAACACATTTGCTAATACTATATGACCCCACAAAGACTCAAATAAGTATATGTTTTAAGATGAGAAACAAAAATCAATTACCTCCTCTTGCATTTCTTCTTGGTCAGACACACCAAATAGAGATTTGCAAACTGATGTGATGTCCAACATCTTTTTTCCATAATTTATGATCATTACTGCCAGGTCATATTCTTTCCATGAACGCAGAATCTAATCAAAAATATTTATTAATTACCCCTGTTGGAAACATTTGTCTATTTTCAAGTGTCATCGACCACCTTTCATAAATTCACAAGTCCCGTTAATATTTTGAGTCTAAGAATTCCCCTGATTTTGTTAAAGAAATTGGAAATTTACCTCCAGATCCTATTTCCCTACAATTAAAACTGCATGATTCCACTGCTTTAAATAAAGGACAAATAACAAGATTATCTGATCAATTATGAATTCCCCATATTTCTGGGACTTATAGCCATACATGTTTTGGTGTAGGAAGTTAACAATTAAGAAAATATTTCCACTTAGAAGATCCATTTTAAAACAAAATCATTCTAAAAAGGCCATATAACTACCACCTCCTGTCTTGAGTTGCTTTCTATGTGAAATGCTACATTACTGCCATCATAATGTCTTTAGTTGGGGGGGGGTTATATCAGTAAATTATTTAAAAGATATTCTGGCAGTGGACTAGACTAGAGATGAGCTGTTTTGGTCAGATTCTCTGAGAACCGTAGGGGAAACAGACACTGCAACCATAAAAAGGGGAGCCCCTCTCATCCACAATTCGTTACTAATCACTATTCTTCGGCCTTCTCTTGCCAGGCCCTTGCCTACCTCTCTAGAGTACACCACTCATTTCCTTGTACTTCAAACTTACAAAATACTGAGCTGAATATAAATTCTGACACTCGCCATGGTTTCAGGACTTCATGCCTTCATACGGCTGAGGCATTTCTCAGAACTTGCCCCCCTTATTTATGTAGCTTTACCTGGTCATGAAAACCTGGGCTCCAGCATCGACAGGAAAAGTTTCCCAGGCCAGCAATCTAATTTGCATACACCTTGCTATAGTGAAGCATCATATGAAGGGGACGCATTCATGGTGAACCATATAGGGCAATTCTTTAAGAGTCTAAATAAACTTGTAGGGATTTGTTAGATGTAGGTGTGTTCTGTCGAGCTGAATAACTTAGTATTTAAGATAAGTAACAACTGTTACTTCCCATGCAGGGAAAGGATATATACGTGACTAGTTGCATAAATCTGGTAATACCTACCTGATCCAAAGTGCTAAGAACTGGAAATATTTCTGTGGAACCAGGCAATAGCATTAAACTAAGCTGACTGTGGAAAAGAATGTAGGTAGGAAAATGGTGAAATAAAGTTTGAAAAGGTATATGGGATTAGGTCAAACAGGGCCTTGAATGCCAGGCAAAACAGCCCAGTCTCATTATAAAATTGATATGAGAGAGAGTATGTTTTATTAGAAAGCCAAAATGAGCAAATACTTCCTCTTCTTTCAACTTTGCTTTCTGACATACTTGGGTCCAAGGCTTGGAGAGAAATAGAGAGAACTGTGCAATCTTTTCCCCTCATTTTAATATGCCAGTAGTAAAAGATAAAGAATTTCTCCAATCAGCAGAAAAATAGAGAACCAATTCTACTCAACACACCAAATGGTGAACAGAAACAAAAAGACCATGCCAAATGTTTAGCATAATAATTTTTAAACAATGCAAAAATAATGAAACATTTAAGATGACGTGTCTTAGAAGTGGCACTTTATTTGGAATTCTGACAACTTTTAAAAAAAATACTGCTGCTTAAAGAAGAAAGATTGAGCCATCTGAAAAGATTACCAATGTTTTAAACAGAACAGAGAAAAGAAACAGAGCCATTAGACTAATTGGGCTTTCCGTGTCATAACAGAAAATCCATACAAAAATGTGGTTATAAAAAATGAACAACTAAAATCTGGGACTCAAGGTGAGGCCAGGGCTCTGGGGCTATTGGTCAGGCTGGAGGAAGCTTCTGAAAGGGCATAACAGTTTGGGACAGAACCAGCTCCAATATCAAAATCCTGACATCAATATCCGTTTTACTTTTTACAAATGTCCAGAAACATTCAGGGTCATTTCTACAATAATATCACTTGGATCTCAATATGATTCTTCAAGTTGGGGGGGGGGGGGGTAGTGGAGTTGTGGATGGCATGTAAAGCAATGCAGGGCCAGCCCCAAGCTGCTGTGTGCTCTGGGAGAAAAATCACACAAAGCTGAGAGAGGAGACATGTAAATTCAAGGACTTCAACATGCACTAGGCCCCAAATGCTGGTCTTTTGTTCCAGGTCAGGAGTCTCTCCCATCTTCCACAGGGTCTGTTGTGAAACCTCCCGTTCTTCTCAATCTCTGAAACCCATCGTTACTCTCCACCTCCTCTCTCTCTCTCTCTCTCTCGGCAAATGACCTTGCTTCCTTTACACAGAAGAAATGTAGGGAAACTAGCTTATCTCCTACCTACACACTCACCTGTAACTATAACCATCCTACCTTCCTGTTAGAGGAGAGAGGTCAATCTCCTGTCCAGACTAATCCCTCCCACATGCACTAGGATCTCATCACCTCCTGCCTTCCCGGGGATCTCGCTCCTATATCCACATCCTTTCCCTCTCCTGGTTCCTTCCCATTAATGGTCAAATGTGGAGTACCTGGATAAACAGAATTGGCTTTTTGGTTGGTTGGTTGATTTTTAGCAGGAGAAGTTGCTATTGGCAAGCTGCAAGCAACAAGCTGCCTTAGAATAGAGTTTCTCTGTTATGGAAGAAATACTGCAGTAGCTGCTGTCAGTTATTTAAATGTAAAGTGAATAGTTGTCCAGTACCCTGGAAAGAAAGTGTAACCTGGCCTTCTCTTACTTGAGAAAGACACCCCTGTCCCAGAAATACTTAACTGATGGACGAGTTTGGGGGGAAAAGGCCTTTGTGGTCCAAAATGGCTTTGGACTAATCAACTGTCCAATTCTTCCTCGTGACTAATGGAAGCAGAACTGGTCCCCTGGATTAAGTGCACCCTTGAGATTCTTAAATAATTCTCTTCCCTTCTCACTCTCCACACTGTCCCCAGATGATATCATCTATTTCTATTATTCAGTTGGGTCCATATATTAATGATGGCTTTGTCTTTATACGTATTTGTCCTCTCTTGAACTCCAAGCCTATAGGTCCAATTATATAATATTTACCTCTTTGGATATCCTATTAGCCCCCAAATCCAATAGATTCCAAATTTATTATCTTTTCTCCCTTTCTTACCCCAAATTACTCCTTTTCCAGAGTTCAACAAATAGCATTGTATTCACCCAACTGCTGAGGCCAGACAGGTGGATTGCTGTTGACTCTTCCCTCTCTCTCCTTTATCTTCACATACTTAGCAGGTTTACAGGTTCTCAATTCTATCTCATAAATAACTCTTGAATCCTTTCAATCTATGTCCCTTTCAACTCTATGTCCCACTTTTCCACACTACAGTAGTCCCCCTTTTCCATGGGGGATATGTTCCAAGACCCCAGTGGATGCCTGAAACTGCAGATAGTACCAATACTGATATACACTGTTTTTGTCTACACATGTGTGCCCATAATAAAGTTTAATTTATCAGTCAGGTGCAGTAAGAGGCTAAGAACAATAACTAATAATAAAATAGAACAATTATAACAATATACTGTAATAAAAACTATGTGAGCAGGGTCTCTCTCAAAATATCTTGTACTGTACACGCTTCTCCTTGTGATGATGTGAGATGGTAAAATGCCTACGTGATGAGAAGAAGTGAGGGGGATGACACAGGTGTTGTGACGTGGCATTAGTCTACTACTAACCTTCTGACAACTCACTAGATGGAGGACCATCTGCTTTCCAAATGCAGTTGACCCGCAGGTAACTGAAACCTCGGGGAAGCAGAACTGCAGATAAGGGGGGACTGCCATAGTTCGGTTTATCAACTCTCACCTTCTACCTCATTCCCTGCCTCAGGTCTTATCCCACTCTGTTAGCTGTTGTGCCCCAGAATAATTTCTTTTTGCTAACATGCAAATTTCACTATGTCATTTCCAGGTTTAAAACCCTTGAATGGCTCCTCCCTGACCTCATGAGATGACCACTCATCATCTGGTACCTGTTCACTACTCCACTTTTTAAGGTGATTGAAACGTATCTTTTGTAATTAAAAATAAATCTGATTCTTCTTTTCCTTAACTGTAAGATTATTTCATATTTTCTCATTGATTGCTCCCTGAGGTAATGTTAATAATCTTGTTATCTGTCAAATATTTTTTAAGATTTGCCTGTAAGCCTGTAATATAGTGTCTTGTCATAAAAAAATTTTTTTTACTTATCATGTAATCTGTTTATCTATCTTTTTCTGTGTACCTTTTGAATTTTATGCCCTATTGAGAGAGGTCTCCTCTGACTTCAAAGCCATACAAATATCTATTTGTCTTTATTTTGTTTATGGTAAGAGGCTCTGGCTTCATTTATTTTCAGATGAATAGTCAGTGATAGCAGTACCTTTTATTAAATAAAGTATTTTAATAAATTTTCCCAATAACTCCAAATGCCACTTTTGTCATATATTAAGTTCTTCTGTAGACCTGGGGCTGGCTGGCTATTCCTGGACTCTTCTATTCCTCTAAACTATTTGCCAATTACTTAACACCATTTTTTATTGAAGTGGCCTTATAATAGATTTTAGTATCTATTGAGAACTTGTAAATTATTCTAATCAGTTTCAGAGAAACCCCATTGGGATTCTGACTAGAACTGTATTACATTTAAATACTATTTTTGGAAGGATTTCTATTTCTATGACAGTAAGTCTACCTATTCAGGAACTTGGGATGGTCTGCCATATGTTCAGATCTTATTTTGTGACCTTCAATAAGATTCCAGTTCTTTTATTCGGGTCTTTTAACACTTCGTTAGGCTTAAAATGTTGTGCATTTTTTTTCTCCAAGTTTTTATTTAAATTCCAGTTAGTTAATATACAGTGTAATATTAGTTTCAAGGGTAGCATTTAGTGATTTACCACTTACATACAACACCCGGTGCTCATCTCTAGATCTCAAGTGCCTTCCTTTTTTTTTTTTTTTTTTAATTATAATAGTTCCTTCCTTAATGCCTCTCACCTATTTCATCCACCCCCCTGCCCATCTCCCCTCCAGCAAACTTTCAGTTTGTTCTTTATAGTTAATGGTCTCCTATGGTTTGCCTCCCTCTCTTTTTTTTTCTTCCTTTCCCTATGTTCATCTGTTTTGTTTCTTAAATTCCATATATGACTGAAATCATGTGGTATTTGTCTTAAAATACTGTATATTATTAGTAGTATATTTTCCTCTCTCCATTTCTCATGGGCTACTGCTACTATTTAAAAAAATCAGTTTGTAAGCATCTCACATACCATCACTTTATAAATTCTTTTAATGCTAGTAATTCTTTTTACTAGATTCTCATGAGTTTTTGAGAACTGTACAATTACAAATGAATTATACTTTAATATTATAAAATTATTTCATATCCTTATCTATTACATAAGACAGAATCTCTACAATGAATCACACTATTGACAGTCAGATCCTATACCTGATTTTTAAGGAAACGGTTTCAGAAAATTGCCATTTAGTGTATTTGCTGTAAAATTTTGGTAAATGTCTTTATCATTGTCCAATAGACTCCCTCCATTCCTAATTTACATACAATTTTTTTTAGGAAAGTTTGCTAAGTGTTATCAAATGCCTCTGTAGCATTTTTCACTTAATCTAATTGTGATTTTTCTTTTTTAATTTGCTGTTGTAAAAAATTAGAGTTTTGTTTCAATTCAGACTTGATCTTTAATATTTAATAATGACACTGTCCTTAGACAGACAGTGACCAGATGACTTCCAGGAGTAGAGAAGGGTGATAAGACAAAACAGACTTGAAGAAAATCATACAATGCCTCTCTTTGTCCTGAGTCATGTTTGGGGCCCTGACTTCTGCCTTTTCAGATATAAAAATGGCTACTCCTCCCTTATTTGTGTTTGTATTTTCCCAGTACCTCTGTCTATCCATTTATTTTCAACCAGTGTTTGTCACATTGTTTTGCAAAGCATTTCTTGCATTTGAATCTGACTTTTTAGTTCATCTGGCCATCTCTGTCTTCTGAGTTCATTTACACTTAGTGAAGTAATTAATATTCTTAATTGTATTCCTTCTATCTTAAATACTATCTCTTCTTCCTTCTTAGTTTTGCTGAATTAGCCATTTTTCCTCCCTGTTATTCCTCTCTTCATTTTTTCCTGTCAATTTAGAAGTCCTACTGTGCTTTAAAGTTTTGCACATGGCTACATATTCCTGATTCATTTTTAAATAAAATAGTAATTTTATATTATATGTATTTTTTATACTATATGTATTTTTTTAAAACACACAACCATGCACCAAGCATCTCTACCTGGTCTCCCCTCCCTTAACCCCGAACAAGATAAAAGTTTTAGTTCTAGGTTATTAATAAGTTTTTTCTTTCAAAGATAACTCTTCTATTTCAAGAATTCCTACTTATCATTTATATTACAAAACCCACATCACATCATTATTACCTATTTAATTTTAATAATACATATATTGCAAGATTCGTTGCTCCCATTATTCCTCTCCTTTTTGTCTTTCCCTACCTTGGGATTTATCTCCTGAACCAATTGTCATTTGATAGAGTATTTCCTCAAGTGTTTTCCTCAGATAAGTACATGGGCAGAATACTTTTGAGATGCTGCACCCCTGAAAATGTTTATTTTGCCCTGACAAAGGAATGATATCTTTCCTGGTTATTAGTTTTTGGACCTCCATCTTATCCCCTCAGGATTCTACAAATGTTGCTCCAGTATTTTATCTTCTACTGTTGTTGATAAAAAGTTTGAAGCTAATGGATTCTCTTTCCATTGCAAATAACCTGTTCTTTGGTCTCAAAACTTTGAGATTTTAATTTATCCTTGGACTCCAAGAATCTCACCATCAAGTATCAAGACATGAGTTTTTTTTTTTATGTTATGTTAATCACTATATATTACATCATTAGTTTTTGATGTAGTGTTCCATGATTCATTGTTTGCATATAACATCCAGTGCTCCATGCAGAACGTGCCCTCTTTAATACCCATCACCAGGCTAACCCATCCCCCCACCCCCCTCCCCTCTAGAAACCTCAGTTCGTTTCTGAGTCCATAGTCTCTCATGGTTCAAGACGTAAGTTCTTAAATTAATCCGCCCTAGGACTTAGGGAGACTATTCTCCATTTTTTTTTTTTTTTAATTTCCTGCCTCCAGAACTTTTATTTCATGTTAGGACTTTTGGATCTGCTTCTGAATTTACCTCTAGGTAATTCCATGCTATGCTGTCAGATATTTCTTGAGCTTCCAGATTTGACTCAAGAAATACCATTAACTACAATCTTCATCTGTTTAATTTTTTTAATCAAAAATCAAATATTTTTTGTTTAGTTACATAAGATCTTCTGTTGTTTTGTTTTGATCATTTAATTGCATCACACCACCTTGAAAGTTTTCTTTCTTCTTTTTTTTTTTTCAAGTCACCTCTGGTCTTTTCCAACATAGTGAGAGTAAAAATAAAATTATTTTGTTGTTTGGCCTACCCCTTGGGGTTCTGAGTCCTCTTAAGTAAGTTATTATTTTTCTCTTCCTGCTAATGGCTACCCTCCCTCCATATTTGCACAGACTAGGTTAAAGATGTGTCTCCAGCAGTGGTAAACCAGTGAGCAATGGAAAGAATATGATTTTCTGCTCCTGAGGTCAGGCCATAAACAGCCAGCAAATCATGACTTTTTTGCTAAGATAGAAAGTAAAGGCCTCTCTGCTTCCAGACCTTCACTGAAGCAAACTTAAGTCCCAATTAAAGCGATGGATCAAATCAGCCCACCCATGCAGTATTCTTCCAGATCCCTACCAAATCACAAAGGTCCTGTGAGGACCATACAAAACAGGCAGGCAAATATGGCCCTTCTTTGAGGAAATTCACCGGATTCAGTCAACTAAAGCCTTTGAAGAAACACACAGTGCTGGTCTTTGAGCCAAGCAATGAGAATAAATAAGCTTACCTCTCGGCCTCTGGTCTCTTGGTTCTTTCTTGTTTCCAAGGTGAATGAGGTCCCATAAAATGTACTCTTTCCCAATCCTTCCCCTGGCCTAAGATACACCCTCCAGGCTCTACCAACTGACCCATGCAGGCAACTCTTGACCTAAAATGCTTTGTGGGTACTATTTTTAAAAGTATTCTATGTAATAAAAGTACCTTAACTTTCTAAATCATTGCTATTCCTAAATTTTATGACACTAGACAAAGAATGAGATAAATACCTTTGTTATGTAGAAGATACAACAGGCTATCATGTGCTGTACACTTTCAAAACTTGCAATATGTTTCTTTGAGTGGATGATATTTGGTAATCCTTGCAAAGCCACTACACACTTTATCAAGATCTAAAAAATAGAAGCACAATAATTTCTGTTGAAAAATATCACACTCACTCATTAGGAAATGTTCTATGCAAATCATGCAAGTTTTAAACCATCAAATTTTATTATTATCAATAATTGTCAATAAATTGCTTATCATGTATAAAAGAATGCACTCTGAGATAAAATTAATATATTCAATTTCAGATGAGTTTCTCAACTAAAGTAACTTGAAAACTAGTGTAGAAGATAAAATAAGTATACAAAGATCACAAAACAGCACATTTTGACAAGTGTCATAAAAAATATAGGCAGAATATTATATATACAAGACACTAAAGGCACATCCAGGCTTAGTAGGACCTTAAAAAACCATTTAGAGAAGGATGTACCATATTATATATACGGTAATACCAGGTACTTGAAAAAATAGTTTCCTTTAAAATTAAAACCAAGCATTCATATCCCATATCCCATAAATATTGGTGTTTACTTCCTAGTCCCCTTGCCTCATATTATGAGATCCTGAATTTGATCAAGAGATAGATAATTGGGGTGCCTGGGTGGCTCAGTCGTTAAGCGTCTGCCTTCGGCTCAGGTTGTGGTCCCAGGGTCCTGGGATCGAGCCCCACATTGGGCTCCCTGCTCCACAGGAAGCCTGCTTCTCCCTCTCCCACTCCCCCTGCTTGTGTTCCCTCTCTCACTGTGTCTCTCTCTGTCAAATAAATAAAATCTTAAAAAAAAAGAGAGAGATAGATAATTAAGTTTACCTTTCAATACTTTGCACTGTTCTGAGCAACATTACTGTCAGGAAAGTAGGGCTGAGATTGCATCAATCTATTAATCATCCAGATTATCAAAAGACAAATTAACATATGGATGTTGGTCTTTTGTGGACAGCCTAATTGCTTCAAGCCACCATTCTAACATTACTACTATTGTTACTGTACACTTAATGAGTATTTGTAATGCTTCTTTAATTCCTCCCCATCACCACACACCCCCACCCCACTACACCATATCCCCAAATGTTAGCAACCCAGTAGTTTTGTAGTTTTCTCCAGGCTCATATAATCATATATATACATATAAATACATAAACATACATAGAGGGGGAGTTAATGTTATGTCACAAAATGGAATTCCTAAACACTTGTTTGAACTGTGCATTTCTCCTTCAACCATGTCTTGTGAAAAATCCCTCCAAGTCTACAGGTGTAGTTCAAGTTCATTATTTCCAATGGCTGCATAATATGATTTAATGTGGAAGAACCATCATTTATTCAGCCATTTCCAGAATCTCCATGTTGCACACACTTTTACGGCTGACGTTTTACAATCTGGCATATATACTGGCCATCCTCCTGCTACTGCACTTTCTCTTTGTCTCCAGCTTTTTTTTTTTGCCACAACGAAAGGGCCATAAGAAACACCCTTGTACATGCTCAGTTGCCCATATGAGTGGCAACTTCAGCACCAGATTTGAGATGATACCTAGCGAGGATGAAGCACCATCTTCCAGGGCAAAGTAAACACTCTAAATCAATGACATTTATGTGGCGTTGTGTGCCCAGCAGGTAGAACACGTGAATCTGGGAACCAAGGGGTGGAACTAGGTATCTTACTAACTGGTAATTTTATTCTATGGGATAAATTGCTAATAGAGAGATTGCTGTGTCAAGTATATTTGTTTTTAATTTTAATTAAAATTAGATTTTAGTTTAATTAAAATTAAGATTGCTTTACCAAAATCCAAAGCCTAAAACAATTCACATGTTCCCCATCAATGAATGAGAATGTCTTTGCCCCATGTCATCACCAGCAAGAGGAGTTACAGATCTTTTCAATTCTGTCAGCAATATTACATTGTTCATTTAATGTGCATTTCTAAGGACACTCAGAGTTTGAGCATCTTTTCATGGTTCTTGGCCACTTGGATTTGCTCTCCTGTAAACTGCCTCTTCATATCCTGTGGCCATTTTTTTATTAAGTTATTGTCAATTTGTAAGACATTTTGTTATATATATTTATCCTTGTCTGTAATATATATAAAAATCCTTGTTAGATATTTGTCCTAAACCCACAAATTTTATACTACCTTTGTTATGGTCCCTGTTGTCACACATAGGCTGCCATAAATATAGTCAATATTTCTTATTTTTCTTGTTATTTTTAAGAGTTCTGTCTTACTTAAAAAGGATTCCCACAACCCTGGATTGCACATGTAATCTGTGATTTTCCCCCTAACTTTTTAGTACATCTGGACTTTTTATATATGTACAATATAGGTGTCAAACTCTATTTTCTTTCAGATGAATATCCAGGGGTTTCACCATCATTTACTAAAAATATCCAGTCTCTCCACTGAATTGGAATGCCAGTTCTGTCATATATTAAATTCTCATCCATACCTAGGCCTATTTCTAGAATCTCCTCTGTGTTCCATTCACTTTTCCTATTCCAAACAGTACAATTTAATTAGAAACTTCTTTCTCAAGGCTTTTCCTCATAGCTATAACCCATTCTCTGAGCTGTAGCTAAAGGCACCCTAAGTCAGTGGGATGCTAGAGGATGACAGTGGATTATCCTGAACTTGACCAACTGAGCACCAGTTGCAGCTGCTAGTCCCAATGTGGTATCCTTGCAAGAGGACCTTAAAAGCTATGCATTGCTATGGCTAATGTTCTCTTTTCTGTCCTACTAGGAAGAAGTACCAGAAGAAGTTCCCATTCATACTGGGAAGACAAAAGTATATACTTAGCATCTTGCCCAAGGGCCATGAAAATTCTCCCAGCCTCTGACATATTTTATGAAAGGACCTGAACTCTCTGGGCATGTCTCAAAACAAAACATTGGGCAATTACATCAATAACATGTTAATCGAAACTAAAGAGCAAGAAATGGCAAGTACATTAAAGACCGTGGTAAAATACATACCCTCCAGAGGATAGAAATAAACCCTGTGAAGATTCAGGAAGCTGCCACATTAATGAACTATCTGGGGTCTGCTGAGACACCCCATCCAAACTAAGTCTGACATATGGCATCTCTCACCTCTAAGAAGAAAGGACAATGCCAGGTAAATGCCTTTGGGTTCTGGAGGAAGCATTTTCTACACTTGAGAATGCTGCTCTACAAGCCATCTACAAATGACATGGAAGGCTGCCAACTATGAATTTAGATTTCAGATTCTGGAGGCTGATCTCCTAAGCAACTGAACTCCTAAACGTGGGGACTGTGGGAGGAGGTACGTCTATGCTCCAGTATAGCCACTCCAAGGCAAATATTTGTTAAATTACTTAAGCCCCTGGTTAGTTTTCTCAATGGTGAATTAAAAATCTTTATGCTGTTCATGAGTTCAGTCACATCTTCTTGGTTCTCAAAATCTGAGTTGATGATGATGATAATGATGACAATAATGATGACGATAAAAACTTTCTAAAAGTATCAGCAGCGAAACCTTATTTCTGTCATGATTTCCCTGTGGTAGGCAGAATTCTAAAATAGTCCACAGGATTCCTCCCCCGGGTGTACAAGCCCTGTATAATCCCTCCTTCTATGAGTGGGTAGGACCTGTGACTATGATGAGATCATCACTCTCATGACTACCTTATGTTATGTAAGACTCCTCATGCATATTACATGAGGCTCTCCTGCTGGTCTTGAGGAAGCAGATTGCCACATTGTGGAGAAGACCATGTGGCAGGGAATTGGTGGTGAGCCTTTAGGCGCTAAGGACCCCCTTTCACAGAAGCACAAGGAAATGAACTCTCTCAACAACCAGTGAGCTTGGAAGAGGCACCAGAGCCTCAAGTAAGATCACAGCTCTGGCCAACACCTTGAGTTCAGCCTGATGAGACCCTGAGCAGAAGACCCAGTCAACCCGTATCCAGCCTCCTGTCCCACAGAAACTATGAGATAGTAAATGGGTTTATTGTAAGCCACTAAGTTTACAGTGATTTGTTAGAAAGAAGAGACAACTAATATAATCCCTTCAGCCAGATCTCACCTACTCTTTTTCCATAAATTCCAACTCTTCCATCACCAAGAAACCAAATATTTTTTCTTGGGTCATCCACCAATTTTTTCCCTACATGATGATGGCTTTAACAATATGTTTTTGAGCAAGTACTGCTGTTTCTAACATCATGCAAGCATAAAAATTGAAATGACTTTAAAAACCTAGAAAAGCAGATTGCTAATGTTTAAACATGGACAGCAGTGGGGCTGAATGTTTTCAGAGAAATACATTTTAGTCCTTATTTATGGTTGCCCAGACATAATTTAAATTATTAAAATGTTTTTCAGTTAACTCATGAAATTTCCCAACACCTGTCTTTGACCTATTTGTACATTACAAAAGATACACTGCTTTTTCTTTTCCAAAATGCATTGTTGAGGGCGCCTGGGTGGCTCAGTTGGTTAAGCGACTGCCTTCGGCTCAGGTCATGATCCTGGAGTCCCAGGATCGAGTCCCACATCGGGCTCCCTGCTTGGCGGGGAGTCTGCCTCTCTTTCTGACCCTCCCCCCTCTCATGCTCTCTATCTCATTCTCTCTCTCAAATAAATAAATAAAATATTTTTTAAAAAATGCATTGTTGAATTGCCTTTGCAAAAATACCCTTATCTAAGGGCATAAATATGCTTACCTGTATGACAGGTACCAAAACAATATTGTGGTAGATTATAGGAGCAAGAAGGCCATAACACTGAGTCACAGCTTGAAGGACATAACTGGAATCATTTAGGTGGCTGCTGAGTTCCAATGCCACTAAGACTCTCTCACATTCAATTAGTCTAGTAATCTGTAATGGAACAGATACTGTTACCCAAAGAGAACATCAGGTGCTCCACCAATGTGTCTCTAAGGAGAAGAAAGGGTAGGAAATGTGATCGTTGTGGCTCAACAACATGCTGGTATGTTAAAATGTTGATTTTAAATCAAGATCTAAATTCAAGAACAATTCTAACTCCCCAACAGTGCTACATAAGGGTAAGACAACCTTAGACTTAAACTTCAGAATATTTTGTAAAATAATACAAATACCACTAGTAATGAAGAAAGAACTGATCTTTTTTAATTGGTAAAATAAAAACTTGGCTATATTTTAATGTTAGAAAACACCTAGTCTTTTCAAAACATAAATCTTATAACAAATAATAATTAAAATATTATGTCGCTCTTAATACTGCTCCCACTTAAATAACAAAGTCCCATTTTCTCTCTGGATTTGTGAAAAAAAAAAAAAAAAAAAAGATAAATTTTCAGTAGACCAAACTAATCTTCTATTATACTTTTGCTACTTAAATAAAAATGGTAGTAAAATAGAAAGTTAGGCGTTTGTGATTAAGCTACTTAAAAAAAAAAAATAGGGGCCGTATCTAACTTTTCCTTTCCCTTTCCTGAAGGAAGATTTCACTATGTTTCTTGCCTTTTATTTTGAAAGATTTATTTACTTATTTAAGAGAGAGAGCAAGCATGCAAGTGGGGGGAGAACAGAGGGAGACAGAGAGAAGCAGACTCCCCACTGAGTGTGAAGCCCAACACACGGGGCTCCATCCCATGACCCTAAGATCATGACCTGAGCCGAAATCAAGAGTCAAATGATCAACTACTGAGCCACTCAGGTGCCCCTATTTTTCTACATATACATACAAAATTATGTATGAAGAAAACTTATGAGGGGCAACCAGAAATTTCCATAGAGTAAATTTTTAGTAGAATGGTAGTTTAGCATTCTGGAATCCATTGAAGTACTTAAAGACTGTCTTTATTTACAGACTGAATGCAACGTAGTAGGAACAGGATGATGGTTATGAGTGCTTGGGCTCTGTAAGACTGTGAACTTGCCCTGGACAAAAGGGTCATGTCTTTTTTTTTTTTTTTTTTTTTCATTTTTGTATCCACAGGCACTGGCATAGTCTCACATAACAATTTATTGGTTGATTAAATAAATAAATGCATGGGTAGGAAAAAGCAACTGTGAAAAGCAAACACCTGGGAAAAGTCTCGCTGTGTCTAAAGTGAGCAAAGAAGGAAAGAGGAAGAGGGAGAAAGAAGAGAGATGCTCAATCTAGAATGAAAACAAGAGTGAAGGACTGTTTTTAAAAGCCAGATGTTAAGGTTAGAAGGTTGCAGAGGTACAGACAGCAATATTTATAACCACCCTGAGAATCCATCAGTAGGAGATAGGTTACATTCCTGCCTCTATACAGGAATGCAATATTAAAATTAAAAACAATTTGGTATGAAAACAAATGCTCAGTGATATTCTTCACTCAGGAAAGGCAACAGTACCTGAGACAGAAATTCAGGAAAAACTAGCCAAAATGGGCAAGACCACACCAGATGTCATCTCTGTATTTGGATTCAGAACCCATTTGGGTGGTGGCGAGACAACTAGCAAAGAAAAACGAACCCAACCATAGGCTTGCAAGACATGGCTGTGTGAGCAGAAAAAGACCTGAAGAAAACAGGGAAAGGAACCCAAGAACAGAACGAAGAAGGTCAGGGGGACTGCCAAAGCCAGCGCTGGTGCTGGCAACAAGCGAGCTGGAGACTGGACACAGAGGGAGCAAAGGTTCTGCCGTGACTTTATCTGTGGTGATTGTGCAGATCTGTCATGAGAGGATTAATAAACTAAGAACTTGAAAAAAATCTGGTAAGTTGATATGTACCTGCATGAAAATATGTTCAAGGCAAATTATTAAAAATGTTAAATAGGCACACTATGGAATAGAAAGTAGACTGTGATATCATTTTTGTAAAATAATAGCAATAATAATAATTTGCCCATGCATATTTTTAAGAATCAGAGATACAAAACAAACAAAATCATAGTATTTTTAGGAGTAATAGGATTACAATGCATTTCACTTTGTAAATTTTAATTTTTGAATATTTGAAATTTATACTACTTTTGTAGAGACACAAAAGATAAACTGAAAAGAAGAAAAATATATATGAACTTGATCCTATGAAACCATTATATGGAATATCAAATAAACCTGCATAATCATAAAATGACCTCTCAGTCCATTCACAGATCAGGATATGGAATCCCAAAAGAACATGAATTTGAAACGTCAAGAAACAAATAAAGGGAAATCAGCACATTTTTGGTCATTTTAAAATCACTTACTTGTTGAGAGGGAAAAAGCTCATTGCCTTTAATACTATCACAGAAAAGATTTTCTTCTTTAATTTTAATGTCACTTGTTACAAAAATATTTCTAAGAAAAAGGTATAAGAGGATTGAAGAAGTCTCTGCCAAAATATCTGAATATAATCTGCAAAAGGAAGTAAACAGTGTTACAAGTATAAATATAAAATGAGTTAGCATGTAAACACCCCTTTTTAGATTGATTTGTTCTTAATATCTACATAGTGATCCCAAAATAGCAGCAAAAATTTGTGGAACAACTTCTCTCACACAGCTCTTTAAGTTAAAATTAAAGACTATGTTTAACAACAAGTTGGCAACTAAGAAAATTAAGCTGCTGACATATTGTCACAGATACATAAAAATAACTATTGGTAAAGTAAAACTTTCTGGTTCTAATATACAAACTTCTTTTCTATCAACATAATGAAATCATGATAAGATATTCAGAAGTTTGGAAAATAGGCCCAATATTTCAATTAATAAACTTTCTGAAAATAAGGGTCACTTATAGCAAAATCCACCATGGGTAAAGAGAAAAGGAGAAAGAAAGAGCAGGGAGGAAATGTGGGAGGGAGGCAGAGTCTTAATAACTCTTGGATTATTTTTAATTGTCTTTTCTAAATTGCAGTCAACAGTGCCAATTATTGGCAAAACTGCAAAATCTGCAGCCTTCCTTCTGTTTCCAATATTCCCCTCCTTGCTCTCAGCCTTACGTGGTGACGAACTTTCCCTTCTAAGCTTCAGGTCCACCCTCTATCTCTAAAAAACAGGAAAGGATCTGACATCAGTAATTCACACTTGATCATGATCCGTTTCACCACCATGTTAAACGCTGAAATTGTATTTGCTAGGAGAATGTTAGTTCTCCCGCTCCTGCAACTCATACCGAACTCTCTCTGTGTCCACATGGTGATTGATCATCAGTACCTGGACGCAGACAACTCGTCCAGGCTGCTGCCTCCTCGTGGCTCCATTTCCCACCCCAAAGAGCTCACACCCTGGCCAGTCATTTCAATAGTAACCTCTCTACCACTTCCAGGTCCGCACCCCTTCCTGTAAGCCGTAATCAGCTTGCCTGACCATGCGTAGATGTCACTGGCTGCTTGTCTATCCCTGCTACAACGGTCAGTCGCTTACCCACTTATTTCTTCTCCTCATTTGATCTTTCCTTTTCATTCAAACCAGCATTTGCCAAGCACCTACTATGTAGAAAATACTATTCGAGGCCCTGGGATATAAAGATGAGTCCAATGTGGCCCTTACCCCGAAGAACTGGGCTCCACTACAAATGGCTGTTATGCGATATCGACTTGGTCAGTAGTCCTTCTCAGCAACGCTGAGGTCTCTTTGCTCACATTCCTGACAGCAAATGTCCTAAACCCCCTCTTTCCACCCTGTGTGCCCTATATCCCCCAGGCTCTACCACTGTAGTGTCATTATCGTGGGAATGTGCTTGTATCCTCAGTTTCTCCCTCTCCACTGTCTCCTCTCCCTCCACCCTCAAGCACGCTTTCCTGAAGCCTGCCTGCCCCCTCAGGGTTCTGCCATCCTCCTCTTTACCATCAAACTTCACATGAGTGATCTTAGCTTATTCCAATTCTCCACTTTCATTTACGTTCATTTCTTCTTACCCAATTGCAAAACGTTTGTGGCCCACCACACCACAAAAACAGCTCTCTTGAACTCATCAGTAGCCTCCTAATTGCCAATTCTAAAGGCTTCCTCTTAGTTTTTATCCTACTCAACCTCTCTGCTGCTCCTATTGAGCAACTTCCCTGCCTGACCTTGCACTAGCATTTGATACTGCTGACCAGTCCCTCCTGGGTGATCCTCTCACTTCCCTTGGCAATGCACTTTTCCAGACTTTCACCTCCTGAACTATTCTTTTTTGTAGAATAAGTTATGACAGTTGGGTGGGCTTCCTCTCTTTCCTTTCTTCCTTTCTTCCTTCTTTTCTTGTAATGCAAGAGTCTGACTTAAGCTTTGATTGCCAAAGCATCCACTTCAGAGATGGCTTTCTCTAATAAATACATTGCCAGCCACACAACTAGATAAAGAGCCAGGTAGCCAGGCCACCTCTGCCACTGAGACTCCTTTGTTTTAGAAATCTTAGTTGATTTCAATAAATGACAATTGGGGCCATTTGTTTTGTTTTGTTTTCTCTTCCCTTGCTTTAAACTCTCTTATTTTTTAAATTCAACAACAAAGAGTGAGCCCATGAAATCCTAGGCATGAACCCTTTACCTCAATAAAAGCAGAACCCCAGGCCCATGCTGGCTCTCTCTCTTTACCTATGACCTGCTGTGGGGCCCCAAGTGTGTTGTGTAATTTCCAGATCCTATAAGTAGTAAACCTTTATTTTTTTCAAAATTTCCAGATGGTTATTTCTGAAGGGCGTCTTGCAATCATAACAAGAACCACAAGGGCTAGTTCAGATACCATATTGGTTATTGATGGCCTCACACCAGTGTAAAACATTTTCAGCCCTTCCTTGGTTCCATCTCCTGCTTCAGCCTCTTAAATGTAAGCAATGTCCAGCATTCAATTCCAGCTTCTATCTTTTCTGCAAAACAAGTCTTCCTTGGGAGACAGCATTCATCAAAATTCCGATGATGACCTCATGGACAATTTCTCAATCTATCTCTAGCCTTGATTTCTCTCTTAAGCGTCAGCCCTAAATATTCAATTACCTACTGGGCATCTCATATCCACAGAGGCATCGTGCTGGAAAACTAAACTCAAAATATTTCCTATCAAATTCATTATCTCCTCCAAAAACTTGTCCCACCTCTCTTGTTCCCCTAGTACATGTCATAGGCCTGCCTGCCAGTCAGGGAACAACGACAATCCCAGTCAACTTCACTACCTCCACTCTCTTGTCCTCATGTCACATAAAACCTTCCAAGCTCTGTCTCTTTCTCTTCTGAAATGCCTCTCAAATCCATCCTGCATAGCACCTAGCATCCTTGTACATGGTAAATGCTAAGTCTGCATGTGTTTAATTGAATGGAATTATACCTATATGTGAATAAGCATTATCAAAGCCTTGCCTCAACCTGCATGAGCATTTAAGGTCATTATCTTTGACTGAGGAATGAAGGGTTTTATCTTCTTATTAAAGACATTAACAAGCAGGTGAAGGAGATTGTTGTTTTTGAACTCGTTGTTGAGACAGCCTGAAATCACACTAATGCTCATTTCTGAGGCTGTTGTTAAACTTTGCTTTTTAAGGAAAAACAGCTATAAAGCAAAGGATGGCCTGTGGTTTTATATGGCTCCTACCAGCCTGTTTGCCATTGCTGGGAGCCTCTAATCCTGGGAGCCTCTTCAAGCAAAGGAAAAACCTTCTTATCCTAATAGTCCATTCATGAGACTATAACTTGAACCCCAACCTGACTGTTCTTGTTACAAAAATCCTCAAAGCATATTTGGTGTTTTCTAGTATAACTGACAATATCTTGGTTAGTATTTGGTATGTTTTTTCCCATAGCCTTCATTAGTCTAAATTCAGAATGCATCGATATGCTTCCTGTGCTTTTTCTGACTCTGGCAAAGAAGTTTCTAACAAGGACTCAAGAACGTGGAATGTAGATACTTTGTGTGTGTGTGTGTGTGTGTGTATGTGTAGATACCTATTAAAACACTTGTTAGAAATAGTTTTAAATTGACTATCTTAATATGAAATTGAAAATTAATTATAGGCTTCACACCCAACACCCATATTTTCAATAGGCAAATTAATATTTTAAAGAATATTTCTAATTACCTTCTCTGTGTAATAGTCATTATATTGCTTAAACAAATAACAGATTGTTCATCTTGATGTGGTGAAGCAACAAAATAATCCCAAACTGGTGAGAAAGCCTTCTTAGCCAACTCATAGGTACCAGCCTGATAGGCAACCTACAACAAAAAGTACATTGTCTAATGGGATATTTTTATCTGTGAAATGTATCTTTTAGACAGGAATTCTGATAAGGTCCGCTCACACACTAATTTCTTACACAGTTGTGCACATGTGCTGTTTTGTTCTACAGGGCCACAGTAAGATATGGCCACTGGCAAGGGAGGCAGACACATTTTGAAATCTCTCTTATTTCTAAATTGCATGGAAATTTGAAACTCTGTAAGGATGTTTCAAATCCTCATAAGCAAAACAAAGATCACATCTGAGCCAAATTAATTTCATTTCCGTCTATCTCGGCAGTGCACTCCATTTATTATAGACACTGTTATAATGAACAATCTGTTCCAAGAGAAACAATCAGATTTCCCAAACCCAAAATACGAAATATACTTCATTCTTTTCTGGTTCAAACTGACACTCTCAGAGCTTTTGTGCAACAAAGGGTTCACAGCTAAAAAGAGTGAAAAATAAAACAGAAATGCTTCCAAGAGGCCATGAGATTTTTAATTCAACACATTCAACATTAGGCAAAATAACTGATTTCGCTGGTAAAACAGAAGTTCAAGAGAAGAAAAACCAACAACTTACCTTTTTCTTTTGGTAGAATATATTTCTTTTTTTTTTTTCTTTTTTTTTTTTTTTTAAAGATTTTATTTACTTATTTTTGAGAGAGAGAATGAGAGACACAGAGCATGAGAGGGAGGAGGGTCAGAGGGAGAAGCAGGCTCCCCGCCGAGCAGGGAGCCCGATGCGGGACTCGATCCCGGGACTCCAGGATCATGACCCGAGCTGAAGGCAGTCGCTTAACCAACTGAGCCACCCAAGTGCCCCTAAAGGGAGACTTTTAAGCAATCTCCTTTAGTTGACCTGTAAAACCAAGTTTAAGCCATCCCGATCTTATGCTATACATATTTAAATATTTTATTTTTCACAGTCATTTCTTTTTTTTTTTTTTTAAAGATCTTATTTATTTATTTGAGAGAGAGAATGAGAGACAGAGAGCATGAGAGGGAGGAGGGTCAGAGGGAGAAGCAGGCTCCCCGCCGAGCAGGGAGCCCGATGCGGGACTCGATCCCGGGACTCCAGGATCATGACCTGAGCCGAAGGCAGTGGCTTAACCGACTGAGCCACCCAGGCGCCCCGGTAGAATATATTTCTTTACAGATATTCCCTACATTCTATTCAAATAGAACGACAATATGAAATCTCACCAAGTGAGTTTGTGCTGCTGCAAATCCTTAATGGAAGCAGGTAGGATATAAAGTATAAATAAATTCATTAAATTAAGTATGCAAATGACATGTCGCTAGAATACGTTCCACTCAAGGGAATAACTTACAGGGCCAGAACTTTTTAAACCTGCCAACCCCGCACTCATAATCAACCAACCGGTAAGGTTTTACGAAGCTTCTACTCTGTGCTAAGCACTGTAAGGACAGGTTCTTCAAAGCTTAAGATGACCTTACACTCCATTAAACTCTAATCAAATTACAGACATAAAACACATGAAATCACCAGAAAAACTACAAAGAATAACATAATAATTGTGGACACTGAGAAAAGGAGAAATGAAGGCTTCAAAAAGGAGTCGGGGCTTGAGTGGAACCCTCAGGCAGGAGTAAGGTTCAGATGGGCACAGTTTAAAAAGGGTCCTATAGTGAAAATCACCATAGTGCATTTAGGAGAGACTGGAAAGACACATCAGAATTTGAAGAAAAGCAGGAAATATGATGGACAGGTAAAATGGGATATGATTTCAGAAGGCCTTGAAAATCAGGTGGAAGTATTTAAAGATGTCAGGGACTGGTCCAAGCACTCTACACGCATTATTGTATTAACTCCCCATTACAGCTTTATGAGGTGAGCTCTATTACCATTCCTATTTTTCAGATGAGGAATCTGAAGCATTAAGAAGTTAAATAATTTGTACAGAGCCTGATGTTCAGTAAAAATAGTAGAGCCAAGACTTAGAGTGGTAGATGAGGTCACTTCTCCGGCTGCATTGGTCAAATGAAGGAGTTGGACTAAGTGGTCACTAAGATACCTTATAATTCTAACACTTAACATGGAAATTAACAACAAATGATGTATGAGTTGGGTGAAATTATAATTGAATGTTCTTTCCTTTTAAAATATATCCTTCTAAAAATAATGTCATTTATTCAATCATTGGACATTGTAAAACAAGAAAAGATGCCATGATAAAACTAAGGTTTGTAAATTCATGAGTTTTTGCGGGTTAACACAGCAGTGCCATGATATAAGATGGTGACCTGGTAGTAATGGGTAGAATAGATTTTAGAGGGGGTGAGGTTAAAATGAGAAAGAAGCACTAGAAGACTAATGATATAATTAAGTACAGTAGAGACCTCCTCCTTGATACATGACCTTCTCATGGTTTATAAAGTTCCACACTTGGTTTTTTTCCCCCCCACATTCCTTTTCAGTTGCCTTTGCAAGCTCCTACTCTTTTCCCCAATCTCTTTATATTGGCATGTCCCAGGGCTCAGTCTTTGGACCTCTCCTCTCTTCTATCTGTATTTATTTCCTCAGTGAAATCATCCAGCCCCATGGCTTTAATGGTCACATGACTACTCTCAACTCCTCCTGCCCAGACCTTTCTCCCACACTCCAGATTCATATATCTCACTGACTACTCAACAGTTCTCTCTGAATATGTAATAAACATCTTACCTCAACATGTCTCAAAATGAATTTCTGATCTCCCCTAGTCCCAAATCTATACCACCCACAGCATTCCCGAACTCAGCTAATGTCAAGCCTATCCTTCCAGTTAGTCAACTAAATATCTTAGAGTCATATTTTATTTTTTTCTCTTTACATTATTTCCATGAGGAACTCTTGTTAACTCTTCCTTCAAAACATATCCATAATCTGACCACTTCTTACCACATCAGCTACTACCACATGGCTAAGCCACCACAATTTCTCATTGGATTACAGTAGTAGATAGTCCCTCTGCCTCCATCCCTGCTCTATTATGGTCTCTTCCTAACATACAGCCAGGGTGAGTCTCTGAAAATGGAAATCACATTATGTCATCCCATTTCTCAAACAACAACAACAAAACCTCCCCAGCGGTTGCCCATTTCACTCAAACTAAAAGCCAAAGTTCTTACAATGGCCTAGAAATCTTGTCATGGTCTGCTCCCTGACCCGCCTACTTACCTTTTACCTCCCTAACCAATTATTTTACTCTTCATGGATCCCTCTGGCTCCAGCCCCACTGGCCTCCTTGTTGTTTATCAAACATACCAGGTACACTTCTGAAAACAATAGGGCTTTTGCCCTAGCTCCTTCTGCAGAATGTTTTGCCTCCAGAGACCCCCACCCCACACCTCCTTTAAGTCTCTGCTCAAATCTCACCTTCTAGATTTTTTTATTTCTTTGAGAGAGAGAGAGAGAGAGAGAGCACAAGCAAGGGGGAGCAGCAGGCAGAGGGAGAAGCAGATTCCCTGCTGAGCAAGGAGACCGATGTGGGACTTAATCCCAGGACCTTGGGATCATGACCTGAGCCGAAGGCAGACCCGTAGCCAACTGAGCCACCCAGGCGTCCCTCAAATCTCATCTTTTAGTTGAGTCTTCCCTGATCACCCAACCCAATTTAATATTCTGATCTACCCTCCATTCCCTCATTTCATACTTCTCATTCCTACCTCTATACAGGAATTAGACCATACTCCACTTTTTCCTTCCATAGAACTTATCTTGTAACTAATTTACTTACTTACTCTGTTGGTTGTTTATTACATAGATCTTATCATGGCATTTTGTTTATTTTGCTTAGAACAGTGGTTCTCAAAGAATGGTCCGTGGACCATCAGCATCAACATCACCTAGGAACTTGTTAGAAATGTAAAATTCCACACCCTACCCCAGACCTAGTGAATCAAAACCTCTGATGGTAGGACACAACAATCTGTTCAACCAGCACTCCAAGACACACACTCAAGGTTTAGAATCACTAGCCTGCAGCAATGCGTAGCACAGAGTAAGCACACAATAATAGCATGTTAAATAAATTTTAAAATCCTCTTTTCCTGGTAATTTCCCTCTACCCACAGAAGAGGACACTCAGCAATTCTACTGTAACACAGCTGACTGCCCCAGGGTAAGTGCCTGACTCAAACTGGGTGTTTTAGACGTGGATGGAACTGGAGGGTGTTATGCTGAGTGAAATAAGTCAATCAGAGAAAGACACGTATCATATGACCTCACTGATATGAGGATTTCTTAATCCCAGGAAACAAACTGAGGGCTGCTGGAGTGGTGGGGGGTGGGAGGGATGGGGTGGCTGGGTGATAGACATTGGGGAGGGTATGTGCTATGGTGAGTGCTATGAATTGTGCAAGACTGTTGAATCACAGATCTGTACCTCTGAAACAAATAATACATTATATGTTAAAAAAAAAAAAAAGAAGATAGCAGGAGGGGAAGAATGAAGGGGGAGAAATCGGAGGGGAGACGAACCATGAGAGACTGTGGACTCTGAGAAACAAACTGAGGGTTCTAGAGGGGAGGGGGTGGGGGGATGGGTTAGCCTGGTGATGGGTATTAAAGAGGGCACGTTCTGCATGGAGCACTGGGTGTTATACGCAAACAATGAATCATGGAACACTACATCAAAAACTAATGATGTAATGTATGGTGATTAACATAACAATAAAAAATTTTTTAAAAAACTGGGTGTTTTATAGCCCCCTCTACAAAGCAAGCCACCCAAAGTGTGGTTCTGCTGTCGAGGCTAAAGGCACTACATGCACCAGGAGAATTTGAGAGAAAGTTTATTACTCACACAAGGGGCTCCCAGGGAGTGTTGGGCAGGCACAAGCAGGCCTGGGAAGGAATGTGTTGGGCCTTGATTAGTGGCTGGAGGTGGGGAGGGGTAGGGATGGGAAAAGCTGTTGCCACCTGGGAGATTTAAATTTCCTGTTAGCACCAAAGGTGAGCTCACAGACCTCCTATCAGCCTGCCTGTGTATGGAACCAAAGGAGAAAAGAGGGGTGAGGTTTAAAAACAAGTCAGTGGTCAAACATCAAAAAAGATGTCAGACTCATTTTATATGGTGGGCCACTCAGAATCTCTTTCCTAGGAATCTAGAATCCAGATTAGGAGCCAGCCAGGCAGTTTCTGTTTATAGCTGAAATGGAGGGATATAAAAATGCAGGAGCTGCCATTTTTCCTTCAGAGATGGAAAGTAAAGAAAGTCAGTCTTTAGAAGGAGAAAAAGAAGCAGATATATACAGAGAACCAAAGGTATGAGACCTACAGTTGCCTGGAGTCCACAGCCTTCCCAGGGCCTAGCTGCATTCCCCCAAGCCAGGCTAGTGCCCTTAACTTGCGATCAGAGTCCTAACTGAAACCATAAGTCAACATTACCTAAATATAGGTTATTGTTGTAGTAATGAGATTAATAAAAAAGACAGTTCCAAGGAAGGAGAGATGACATCTAGCAGAGAACCTAGCACAAAACAGACAATAAATAATTCATCAATAAACACATGAGTAGAGAGAGTAGCAATATTCAGTTAGAGGATAAAAGGAAAAAGAAGAGTTGAAACTTCCTAAAGAGCTTTAAAAATGGGATGACTACCTTTTACCTGGTAGATTTATTGTTTTTAATTTGGTCATAGACAAAGAGCAAATCTCTATTTATCAAAGAGTTTTGGTGAATTATTCATAAAGTGAAAAAAAAAAAAAAGTATGAATTTCATTGTCTTTACCACCACTGCTATTACTGACAAAGCATTCCTGTCCCAGCAACAAACTCTACTGCCAATACTGATCATCAAGACCCACTGAGCAATACTAACCCAGGGAGAGAAGAGATGGCAGAGACATGGGCTCTAGAAGAACCGGGCCCATGTTAGAAGTTGAATATATGACTTCCTTGAACCTAGACAGAGCAGTAGAAAGGTATGAGCTGGTTCAAGTATCAGGCTTACCATCTGATACCCAAGTTACTGTGGGTTACTTAATTACATGACCTCCTTGAGACACCCTTTCTCAAATAAAATGGCAGAGGAAGGATTAAATTCATCTCAGTTTCCTCAACTATAAAAGTAGTAATACCATCTCACTGAGTTATTGTAATAAACATAATAATGAATCTTTAAATACCTGGAACATAGTAGTTTTTAATTAAATGATATCCCCCATTTCTTTTTCTCAATAAGCCATTGTTTCCACTTATTATTTGACTGAGCAATATATGACATTGGGTCTTATATCCATTTTAGAGATAGGGAAATTGAGACCGAGTAATTTGCCTAAAATCCTAAAATCCTGCTCAGAGGTTTCTAATTTTCCACATTCTATATTACATTATCTAGACATTCCTGACTTAAAGGGGAAAAATAAAAACAAATGAAGCTATAAAGGGGGGAAATTAGAAAATATATCACTCATAATCTTTTTTCAAACAATTTTCCAGATAATCTAAATTAATAGCTTTCTACATTAAGGGGAAACCTAGTGAAGATTCAACTGATTTTATTAATGTGTATAGAATAATGCTGAGTTGAAAGTCCAACCTAAAATTCCAAGCCAAGTTAATCATAGGCATTTAGTGAAAATGTCTCTATTTCTTACTATAAAATATATATGATAATATTTTTTAAAAGATTTATTTATTTATTTGAGAGAGAGAGCAGGATAAGGGGCAGAGGGAGAAGGAGAAGGACAAGCAGACTCCCCACTGAGCATGGAGCCCAACGCCAGGCTCAATCCGAAGACCCCGAGATCATGACCTGAGCCAAAACCAAGAGCCGGACGCTCAACCGACTGAGCCACCCAGGTGCCCCATATGATAATATTTTTTAAAGAACTGAATTATCCTGAAACTAAAAACTAACCACTCTCATGAAAAATAGATTGCAATTCCAAAGGAAAGGGACATTTTCTTGCTAGTACTTAAAAGCTTAAACTTGAGCTGTAAATTAAGTTTTACTAAGTAAGAACATTTTTCTTCAGTCACTTAACATTATGAGAGAGAATGCTCATATGCTGTCATAAATGAATACAGTACTGCAAATATAGTATCAATAATGAAACACTGGGCATTACTTTATGACACTTCTCATTATTCCAGCAGAATAGCTTGGACTTCGTTTTATTAACTTCTCAATGAAAGTTCTGCCAAATGAAACCCAAAAGTCAAACCTCCCTGGAGAAAAATTAGGCCTTGATAAAATATTCGGTTCCTCACTTTGAAATAACTCCATCACTGCAAATTAGGGAATATATTAGATTCCAAAGAAATAAAAACATCAGAAAACCATGAGCCAATATGACATGCTAAACCAATGCTAGACAAATCCTAGCAATTCTCTCAATTTAATTTTCTTTGAAAAATATGATAATGTAAAATACCACTAAGATCTTACCTTATTATTCTAATCAACAATTAAGAGAAAAATAATAGCACAATAGAAATGTGATAAAATTTAAAATAGCCATCATTTCTAGAGCCAACAACAGGCTTAAAATTAAGATTCTCAAGACCTAGGTCAGTGAGTCACCCTTTCTAGTGTCCTATTCACTGGTGTTATGTTTTAAGACAGGCAATCATTTCAGCAAAAATGTTAATTCATGAGTATATTCACAACTAAAAACATTAACAATATTTATTAAGTGCCTACTGTGTGACAAGTGAACTGGTTAAACATCATGCATAATTCCATTTAATACTCATAATACGTCTTGGAGGTAGCTACTATTACTATTCCCATTTCATAGATGAAAGTTACTTGCTCAATATCATATGGCTAGTGTGAGGAGCTGGAATTTGAACTCGGGTCTGTGTGTCTTTAGTAACTCAGAAATTTCACTTCTGTAAATCTCTCCCCCCAAAAAAGTAACCATGGATGCAGACAGAGATTCATATACTGAGATGTACATCACAGCTTTGCTTATAATAGCAAAAGACTGGAAACTATCAAAATGCCCACCAGTAAAGATCACGAAGTAAACTACAATCTATCTGTAAGATGCAGTATCGTTAAAAGAGGCAACATCTTTAGAAGATGCAGCTGTTAAAAATTACGCTATGAAAAAAAAAAATTACGCTATGGAGGAATACTTAATGGAATTAAAAAAAGGTCAGTTATATATTAAATGACAGTATCAGGATAGGAAATACACATATATACCATGATTAGATTATATACTATACATAAATTCGAACACATGTGTATGCATATGTATATATATAAATGTGTGTGTATAAGTGTACACACAGACACATGCACACAAATGAAAAGACAGCTCTGGACCAGGGCTTCCCAATCTTGGCACTACTGACATTTGGGCTGGATCAGTCTTTGTTATGGAGGGCTGCTGTTTGCATTGGAGGGTGCTTTTCAACATCCCTGACCTCTACCCACTAGATGCCAGAAGTACCCTTTCAGGTTATGACAACCAAAAATGTCTCCAGACATTGACAAATGTCCCTTGGGGGCCAAAATTGCCCCAAGTTAAGAACTGCTACTCTGGATGATAGGATAAACAGGTAACATTTATTTTCTTCTTTGTGCATTTCAGTATTTTCCAAATTTCTAAAATTAAATTTAAAATTAAAATTCAATTTTTACAATAGCATTTTTTCCTGGATACATTTGTAATCCAAGAAAAAAAATGCTATTGTAAAAATCAATCTCACTAAAAAGAGAAGGAATGATTCCTATTTTTATGAGACTAAACTGCAGTAATGGAAATATGTATAACAAGAGCTTTAGAATATCCACTGTGATTTTTTTCCCATTACAAATTACTTAGTAACAGTTTAACAGAAAAAAACATAGAGGAAAAAATTAGCAGAAATCTCTTCTACCTGCGTCAAGAACATCCGAGCAGTAACAGCAGAAAGAGGTGGATAAACCAGAATTGGTTTAGTTGTCTCCCCAACAGCATCACCAATAAGCTTCCCATTAGAAGAATAAGCAGCAATTGCAAAGACATATTTTTCATTGGTTTCTAAACCTTTCACTTCAAAAATGCTTTTACCATCAGCTGGTATCTGTTAAAAAAAAAAACATATTTCAAGTTTATGTATGGAAAACTGAAGTAATGTGACTTTAAAAATATAATAACCCTTATATGTAAAAAATAAATAAAATAAAAGCTTTGTATTTACTGTTGGATTTTAGCAGTTTGCAATTTGATTTAAATTGAAATTAGAGAAATTCACTGAAATAATGACATTAGAAGAAGGTAAAAAAAAAAACACTCAGTTGTCATTAATGAGACTTTTGGTAAGATTTCCTAACATTTAGAGGTTTTTTTAATTTGACATACCGCTTCTCCTGAGTTTGGGAGATGATTATGATTTAGCCTTACTTTTCCATAACTCCCTTCTGCTTTGCAACCCAAAATGCAGTACCAGGAAACCTGCGGAGGAGAGAGATGAACCCATCATCTATAGTCTGTTTAACAAGGCATTCAATTTCTTTTATCAAGATGTGGCACTTGCTGTGATGAACACCAGGTGTTGCATGGAAGCACTGAATCACTTCATTGTCATTGAATCACTTCATTGTACACTGTATGTAATATTATACTGTATGTTGACTAACTAGAATTTAAATAAAAACTTAAAAAACAAAAAACACTTTTCCAAATACAAATATAGTTATTCAACTTTTAAAACATGGAATCTAACTAATGATGTACTATATGTTGGCTAATTGAATTTAAATAAAATAAATAAGATAAATAAAATAAATTAAAAAAACATGGAATCTAAGTTTACAAATATACTTAGGTTTAATCTCACAAAAATAAAGACAAATATAGGGCTCATTTACCTGGGACTACAAAGACTATTATTCATTATTTATTTTTTAACTACCAGTAACTGAGCAGTTTCTATGTGCTATGTATTGCTGGGAAATTTATATAAACTTTCTAATATTTGCAACATCCCTATGAAATGGGATTACTGTGGTCATTTTGCTTTACAGGAAATGGAGACACAGAAATGTTCAATAACTTGCCCAAGATCAGAGAGTAGCATGATACTTGATAATTCTTAACTATAGGAACAAAAAGCAAAATGCAAATTCTACAGGAACAATCAAACTTAAACTTAATTAAGTGGTTAGAAATGGTTCTTCTGCCCAAGATGTCAAAATAATGGAGATTCCTCATTGGAATGAACTATTCTCACTATAAGGGAAAAGGGAGCAAGTTGATACCTAGGGAATAGCATTATGAAAGAGCCATACTGTCCTGAGGTTGGTGTTGGGTGGGTTGTCATCATTTATTCTCTTTTCCACAGAGGCTCCACCTCCCAACATCTCAACACCTAAATGATAAGGAAGGGGCGCCTGGGTGGCTCAGATGGTTAAGAGTCTGCCTTCGGCTCAGGTTATGGTCCCAAGGTCCTGGGATCGAGCCCCGCATCAGGCTCCCTGCTCAGCGGGAAGCCTGCTTCTCCCTCTCCCACTCCCCCTGCTTGTGTTCCCTCTCTCGCTGTGTCTCTTTCTGTCAAATAAATAAATATTTTTAAAAAATGATAAGGAAAACTGGAAAGAAGGGAAAAAGTAATTGTCTCTAAGAAGCGACTGCCTCTTATAGCTTAGCTTAGCTATTTCTTCCTCCAGGTCAACAGAAAAATCCTAATGGTGTCTTGTCTGCATGAATAGTTCTCAACCCTGACTGCAGTTACTTTTTAAAATACAGTTTTCACAGAACCAACCATTTTTTAAAATTACATATACCCAAGCCTGCCTAGCCTCAATGAATTAGAGTTTCTGGGACAGGTGTCCAAACCTTTGTGTCTATAAAGAAAACTGCTCAAGTAATTAAGAAGCACTTGACAAAGGTAGAACTCCAAAGACAGAGACACAGCATTGAAAGAACTTGAACGCTGGAAGCCAAGAGGGGGGAAAAAAGTCAGATGAATTTCAGAAGAAATTTAAAAACTAACTTTCCATGCAAAAAGAGTACCACTTAACAACATTGAGGGAAAAAATGCAGAAAGATTGTGCTATATGACTTAAATTATTATTTTCTCTAAGTTAAGCTCTCTACATAAACCAGAATTTGAAGGATAAAATTCTCTCTAAAAGCATTTTTAGAAGCAGGATTTATGTTTCTATTTTGTTCCACGAATAAAGACATCTTAGTTTGTGTAACTATAAGGAGCAGTGTGTAATTAAAATCTACATAAGAGTAAAGACACCATGAACAAATCACCACTAACTTTAGAAGTAAAAGTTTATTAATAACATCAGCATTTTCAACTTTTAAAACAGATTTTATTGAAACAAATGCTTTAACAAGAGATTTTGATAAAACAAAAGATGTCTGAACCCTCTAAGCAGAAAACTTATTTAAGCCCACAGCACCACCTAGTGTTGATGCCTATGTAACAGAAGGTAATAATTTCCTGGAGCACCCAACTCCACTAAGGCATAATCTATATAAACGTCATATGATGTGCTCAGTGACAGGCCCTACAACTACAGGTCAGATATGGAATGCTTGTATCTTCCTATTTCTAAGCATTATAAAATAAGATAAACTAGTCACTAATTTGATATACAAAAAAAAAAAAACTGGGGGTTAAATAAACCAAAACATTTGAATAAAAACAAAGAAAAACCCTTGGTAAGGCATCCAGTCTTAGTTCTGTACTGAATTTCCAAAATCAGCAAATCCTCATTCTTAAACAGATCCAAACACATCCAAAATTGAACTTTAAAAATGCTAGCAATTGCAGTAATGCATTTATGATAGCACAGTTCAGTGTAAGATGAAAATTACTTCTATTTCCCCAATTATAAAACATTATAAAGGTGGTATCACTTCTCACTGATGTCCATATCCCATTAGTCTGAAGCACCTCAAAGAATGGAATCAAGCTTTGTGATTATTTTTATAACTCAATTACCTCGCACAGAGCTGGACAGATAAGAGATACTTGATAATGTTCACTGGACAAAATTTATTTAAAAAAATCATCAAATAATGTAATCACACTCTATACCATCGTTAATTGTTTTAAGCAAATTTTACTACGTATGTTTAATATAAGATATGGAGGGGCATCAACTAATACGCCAGGAATATTATATATTATCTCATTTAATTTTCACAGTAAACATATTTTACAAATAAAAACAATACCACCACCACCTCAAAAAGTACATTTAGATTTTCTAAGGTCATACTGCTAGTAAGTGATGCAGCTGGAATTTTAAACCTGTATCTGTCTGACTTTAAAGCCCGTGCCCTTTCCACGATACCAAGTTGACAGACGTTCAAGCAGAATATCCTAAAGACAAAGATAAAACTTTTTTATACTATAGGTGCCTGGGTGGCTCATTTGGTTAAGCGACTGCCTTCGGCTCAGGTCATGATCCTGGAGTCCCGGGAACAAGTCCCGCAATAGGCTCCCTGCTCAGCGGGGAGTCTGCTTCTCCCTCTGACCCTCCCCCCTTCTCGTGCTCTCTCTCTCTCTCAAATAAATAAATAAAATCTTAAAAAAAAAAAAAACTTTTTTATACTACATCAAAGACCATGTTGTTGATCATCCAAAAGAGGAAATTTAATATTTAAAATATAAATCAGGCGGAACGTTTGTGAGACACTAAATCTCAAGTTAGAGTCACATTTAGGCCAAGTTCCAAGGCATTGGGGATGGGAGAAAGAGCTCATTCTTCAATAAATACATAAAGATTTATGACTTACAATATAGTTGGAACTGTCATTTGTTTACATTAAAAGAATCCCCATTTACTTGGAAGAACTCTGGAAAGAACATCTAAATTTGCTATCCCCAAATTTCCTCATCTCCATCATTGGCTCTGAGAGTAACATCCATGCTCTTCAAATGCCTTATTCCAGTTCAGCTGAGACCTTCTCCATCTTGAACACACACTAGGATGTCAGCATAGGACTATGCCATGGTGACGAAGGTACTTAAGAGACAAATGCTTCTCTACTGTTTCTCTTTACTATATATTTGGGTATAGCAAAGCTATACAGAGCATGAAGGAAAATAGCACAAGGAAGGAAAGGTCTTGAAGAAACTAAGTATAGTTAAGACATTACAATACTAATCCCAGTGTTCAGTGCTTATAAATAAGACTATTTAAGTCCTAAGAGCAAGAAAAGTATCAATCATGATAGTCATAAAAGTACTTAACGTTGCTTTGCCTGAAATAAAGATCATAATAGGGAACATACCTTAACATCTGAAATAAATGGAGCGGGTTTCAATGTCACAGAACAATAAGTTCGGGATAGCAGGATAGGTGGGGGAGGAAATCTGCTTTTCTTTCTTTTTGAACTCTCCACATATTTTTGATATGAATACAGGGTATTTTGTTCTGCTTCAGTCTTCTTAATTAAAGAATATGCTTCCTATAATAAAGTGTGAACATAGAAAAATACACTTCAAGATTTGAACTGCATTTATATTTGTAGAATTCTGGTAATGTTAAACAACATTATCATGCTATATGTAGCTTTTTGAGCCTCAGTGTTACACATATTTCAAGCATCGAATGATTTTACAAAAGTAAAAAATAGCTACTAAATAAGACTAAGTAAAAAATAGCTATAAATTAAGTAAGGTAATGGAGTCATATTTATGTATCTAGTATGTTCATCATCATTATAATATATCAACATTAGACATTTCACTTTCTTATCAAACTCTCTGAATATCTACCATCATATTTCAGTGTCCTTAAAAAATTCATAGCACGATCATCTACATTTACACTGAAGAACTGTACACCTACCCTTAATGTAACTTGAAATGTGACTCTCAAGTAAAAGACTATGTGATTTATGAAATGAATATTATTGAAAGTTTCTTACTATCAGCAAGTAGAAATAAAAACACTTATTCTGTAAACCTGAAAGAAAGGCAATCCTCATTTCAAAAGGTAACACATTGAAGGACAACACACAAAACAAAAAATATAAAAGTCAGATCTGAATACTTCCAAAGAAAGTCTATCAGCAATAATAATGCATGTAAATGGGTTAAACTTGTCTTTTAAATTAAATTAAAAGGCAAAGACTCTTTAATTGAGCTCCAAAGCAAAAATCCATGTAAAGATCAAAATTAAATGGGTAATAGAGAAAAAAATAGCCTTTCCATTGTACTAGGACAATTAGATGTCCACATGCAAAAGTAATAAAGTTGTACCCCTACATCACACATCACACATTTTGAGTTAATACAAATATTAACTCAAAATGAATTACAGAGCCAAATATAAGAGACAAAATTATAAAATTCTTAAAGGGAAACATACAAGTAAATCTTCATAACTTTGGGTTAGGCAATAGTTTCTTAGATATGACACCAGAAGGAAACAAACACACACACGTAGATAAACTGAACTTCATCAAAATTTCAAATGATATCATCAAGAAAGTAAAAAGACAACCAACAGAACGAGAGAAAATATTTGCAAATCATGTATCTGATAAGGGACTTGTATTCAAAATATATAAGAACTGTTATAAGTCAATAATAAAGACAAATAACCCCATTAAAAATGGGGACAAAGGGTTTGAACAGACATTTCTCCAAAGAAGACATATAAATAGCCAATAAGTACAAAAAAGATGCACATCATTGACCATTTAGGGATGAAAATACAAAATCAGCAAGCTAATTCAAGAAGCAGAAAACTTAAATGCAGGATAATGATAGAACAAACTGAGAAAGATATCCAAAAATTTCTTCCCACAACAATGTCAGGCTCAACTGATCTCATTTTTAAAAAATTTCAAATCTTAAGGAACTGATAATTCCTATGACATTTAAAAATTTTCTAACTACGAAGAAAGACAGCTTCTCAAATAATTTTACAAATTATTGTAAGAAAACTTGAAAAATGACTGCACTTAAAAAGAGAGCAATCTTCTTACAAATATAAATACAAACATTCTAAATAAAATACTAATACATTGAATCTAGCAATATATTAAAGAATAACATACTGTAATTATATTCTCTATCTCCCAAGAATACATGGATAATTTAATATTAGGAAGTCTATGAATACAATTTAATTTATCTATAAATCAAATGAGAAAAAATATGATTACAGGCTCAATGGCCAAAAAAATATTTGAACTTCTTTAACATTCATTACTTTTTTTTTAAAAAAAAAAAAAGAAGAGGTAAAAAGGGAAATCAAAAAAATTTTAAGACAAATGAAAATGGGAACACAATATACCAAACCTATGGGATGCAGCAAAAGCAGTTCTAAGAAGGAAGTTTATAGTGCATATGCTTACATTAAGAAAAAAGAAAGATCTGGGGTGCCTGGGTGGCATAGTCAGTTAAGTGTCCGACTCTTGGTTTCTGCTCAGGTTGGGAGATTGAGCACTTCAGCAAGCTCTGTGCTCAGCACGGAGTCTGCTTAAGACTCTCTCTCCCTCTGCCTCTGCCCCTCCCCTGCTCACTCTCTCTCTCTCTCTCAAATAAAAATATTTTTTTAAAAAAGGAAGATCTGAAATAAACAATCTAACTTTACTCTTTAAGGGAACTAGAAAAAGAACAAAAACTAAGCCCAAAATTAGTAGAAGGAAGGAAATAACATAAATCAGAAGGGAAATAAATGATATAGAGACCTGAAAGATAATAGAAAGGAGCAACTAAAATAGGAGCTGGGTTTTTTAAAAGATAAAGCTGACAAATTTTTAGCTAGACTAAGAGAAAAAAAGAGAAGACTCAGATTAATAAAATCAGAAATGAAAGAGGAGACATTACAACTAATACCACTGAAATACAAGGAATCATAAGAGACTACTATGACCATTATATACCAACAAATTGGATAACCTAGAAGAAACTGATAAATAACTAGAAACATACAACTTACCAAAACTGAATCATGGAGAAACAGAAAATATGAACAAGCCAATAACAAGTAAGGAGATGAATCAGTAATCAAAAACCTCCCAATAAAGGAATGACCAGAATCAATGATTTCACTGGTGAAGTCTAACAAAAATTTAAAGAATTAATGCCAATCATTCTCAAACTCTTCTAAAAAATTACAAAGGGACACTTACAAATTGATTTTAAGAGGCTAACATGACCCTGATACCAAAGCCAGACAAGGACACTACAAGAAAACTACAGCTCAACATCCCTGATGAATACAGATGCAAAAATCCTCAACAAAGTAAGAGCAAACCAAATTCAAAAGTACAGTAAAAGGTCGATTAAAACCATGATGAAACAGGATTATTCCTGGGATGCAAGGATGGCTCAACATAAATGTGATACAAATTAATAAATGTGATACACCACATTCACAAAACGAAGGATAAAAATAATATGATCATTTCAATAGATTCAGAAAAAGAATTTGACAAAATTCAACATCCTTTTATGATTAAAAAAAAAAAAACTCTCCACAAACTGGATATAGAATGAACACAGCTCAAAATAATAAAGGTCTTATATGACAAACCTAATGCTAACATCATACTCAATGATAAAGGTTAAAAGCATTCCCACTAAGATTAGGAATAAGATAAGAGTGCCCACTGTTACCACTCTTATTCAACATGGTACCAGACATCCTAGCCAAAGCAATCAGAAAAAGGTATCTAAATAAAAAAGAAAGAAGCAAATTGTCTCTGTTTACAGATGACATGATTGTATATACAGAAACTGTAAAGACTCCACCAACACTGTTAGAATCAATAAAAAAATTCAGTAAATTTGCAGGATCCAAAAATTAACATACAAAAATCAGTTGTATTTCTATACACTAACAACAAACTATCCACCCCAAATTAAGAAAACAATCCCATTTGTAATAGTATCAAAAATAAGAAAATAGGGGCGCCTGGGTGGCTCAGTTGGTTAAGCGACTGCCTTCGGCTCAGGTCATGATCCTGGAGTCCCGGGATCAAGTCCCGCATCGGGCTCCCTGCTCGGCAGCGAGTCTGCTTCTCCCTCTGACCCTCCTCCCTCTCATGCTCTCTATCTCATTCTCTCTCTCAAATAAATAAATAAAATCTTAAAAAAAAAAAAAAAGAAAATAGGAATAAATTTAACCAAGAAAGCAAAAAAGATCTGTGCACTGAAAACTATAAAACATTTATGAAAAAAATTAAAGACACCAATAAATGGAAAAATACCCCATGTTCGTGGATAGGAAGAATTAATATTGTTGAAATATCCCTACAACCCAAAATGATCTACAAATTCAATGCAATCTTTATCAAAATTCTAATAGCATTTTTCACATAAATAGAAAAGGCAATCTTTTTTTTTTATTATGTTATGTTAATCACCACACATCACATCATTAGTTTTTGATGTAGTGTTCCATGATTCATTATTTGCGTATAACACCCAGCGCTCCATGCAGATCCCAGGGTCCTGGATCGAGTCCCACATCTGGGTCCTTGCTCAGTGGGGAGCCCGCTTCTCTGCCTGCCACTCCCCCTCCTTGTGCTCTTTCCCTCTCTCTGAAAAGGCAATCTTAAAATTCGTATAGAATGACAAAAGATCCAAATAGCTAAAACAGGCTTGAGCAAGAAGAGCAACACTGGAGATACCACTTCGTGATCTCAAACAAAGCAATAGTAATCAAATAGCATGGGAAGGAAGGAAGGAAGGAAGGAAGGACGGAAGGAAGGCAGGCAGGCAGGAAGGAAGGCAGGAAGGAGAAAGAAAAGAAAAGAAAAGAAAAGAAAAGAAAAGAAAGAAAAAAGAAAAGAAAAGAAAGAAAAAAGAAAAGAAAAGAAGGAAAGAAAGACCAACGGAATAGAATTAGAGAGCCCAGAAATATGGTCAACTGGAGAATGTTCCATGGGCACTAGAGAAGAATGTATATTCTGTTGCTTTGGGATGGAATGTTCTGAATATATCTGTAAAGTCCACTTGGTCCAGTGTGTCATTCAAAGTCTTTATTTCCTTGTTGATCTTTTACTTAGATGATCTGTCCATTTCAGTGAGGGGGGTGTTAAAGTCCCCCACTCCCCCCTATTATTGTATTGTTGTTGATGTGTTTCTTTGTTTTGTTATTAATTGGCTTATATAATTGTTATTAATTGGCTTATATAATTGGCTTATATAATTGTTATTAACTGGCTTATATAATTGGCTGCTCCCATGTTAGGGGCATAGATATTTACAATTGTTAGATCTTGTTGGATAGACCCTTTGAGCAAGAAGAGCATCACTGGAGATACCAGTGTTCTTCCTCATCTCTTTAATCCTCATTAAGTGTCCTTCCTCATCTCTTATTATAATCTTTGGTTTAAAATCTAATTTGTCTGATATAAGGATTGCCACCCCAGCTTTCTTCTGGACCATTTCCTTACACCACACACAAAAATAGACTCAAAATGGTTGAAAGACCTAAATGTGAGAC